CATTGCCCATCCTTATCACAATATTGGATGTAGTTCTTTAGACTTCGAATTTTAGAGTCATTATTCTGGTATTCCTGTCTCTTACTTCATCAATACTACCAGTCAATGAATATAACAATATCCTAAAACAACCCACACGTGTATTTATGAAGTGTCATGTTGGTTTTAACACTGATAGACAGCTTCCCACCCTTGTCTTGTAAGAATACTTATCCGAAAATGGAATAAAGTCGACTGGCAACTCTAAATTTAGCCCACCATTATTCTGTCTGTAATTGGATGAGCGTGTTATTTATGCCTCCTGTGGATTCCATGGAATGACTCAACGTGGAGTCTGTATATCAAATTGTTTACAATACTGTCTGAATGTTACTTTAACGACGTACATAAAATAAAGAATATCAGACTTTGCGAAAGTCAGTTACTAATGTTCTTATCTAAAAAATTAGGGCGTGTTATTATATGAACTAGTGGCACGCCCCAGCTTTGCTAGAATGTTTATAACTTTTAAATCTGTATATCATTAATATGTAAATTATTATTGTTATAGGTTCTATTAGGTTGATAGTGTTGCCTAATAATAGTTTTTATATATATGTATATATGACGCTAAAAGTTAATTGTCATATTTTACATTTGAACAGTATATAAGCTGTTGATTGTTTAGTATAACTATGTAATATTATGTTATCTGTGGTATAACTGTCTTATTGACATACTAAATACTATGTCAAAGATAATAGTAGTAACATCGTAGCTTCCGCACCAGTAAATTACGTAAATATTATTTTTCTCAGACGGAAGTGTTGATAACGCTAATTTAAATGTAACGTTTTTATTTATATACCATTAGGATTTGTTTTCTAAATAGCTCATGTGAATTTAATTTTTTTATGGTAGATAATGGAATCGTGCTCTCACTTTATCTATACATATAATTAATAAATTAATTCTTTATCACTAAATGCAGATATATGGAAATACTTCCATATGCAGACGGTACCTACTTTGTCAAAAATAAATTTTTGTCGGTCTATCTGTTTGTTCTTGCTAATCTCTGAAACGGCTGGACCGATGATAACGGGATTTACACTCGCAGATAACTAATGATATAAAGAGTAACTTATGCTACTTTTATGTTAGAAATTCTATTTATACTAGTAAAAAAAGTTAAATTCCTTTGCGTTCGTATATAGTGTACTACTACATACAAATATATATGCACTGTATAGCTAATTTACAATAAGCCTTAAGCTAAACATTTATAGTGCTCAAACTGCGGGTCTGTCAAACGAATATTAAAGTAGTTAAGTGTTATATTATGTATCTGTGGTTAAACTCAATCAACAGTAGGCATCCAAGGGATATTTGTTTAGTGCTCAGAAGTATGAGCACATAGCTTCATTCAGCTATATGACTACTATATATACGTACATTAGATTAACTGTAATATATTTAATGTTTTATATATTAAATCATAATAATAATATACGTGGACAGTTTACACATCGCCATCTAGTCCCAAACTAAGCAGAACTTGTGTTATGGGTACTAAACAATTGATAGGATTTTTTGTATTTGTTATATACCTATATATAGAAAACACCTAGACCTATACAAAATGACTTACAAGAAATCAGATATTATAGTTATGTTAATAGTGAAAATAATGTATGTTGTCTATGAGAGGAACAATAAAGAATTTTCATTAATTTGTTGTTTTAGACTGGGGTATACGTTATTCTGGCAATAATATAAATAAGCTTTTATGCAACCGCTAGTCGATAGACACTAGTCCGCACGTACCGCGCCCCACTGATTGTACTGTTTTATTGAATTGAATCACGCACTGTCGCCGTCAAATGTAAATATTGGTATTAGTATGACACACAGTACACTTATGTCTAGTGAGCAGGGATGCCAACATTACCAGAATTCTCGTACAAATACTAGAGTTTTGGCTTACAGTACTGAGTTTGATAATTCATTTATTTCCAACGTAACTCACAATTTAGAAATAAGGAATTAAAAAATAACATACAAACTTGGCAATACGGCAAATCCTATTGCCAGCTGACTGATCAGCAAAACAGCTGAGGCAAACCTCAGCTGTTGCTGATATAAGTACAATCTCAATGAGGTGCACCTATACAGCGCTGGTTATCAGGAACCCCCCATTACTCATTAAAAAAACTAACATGCGGGTTTTTTCATTAATTTTTATCACGGATCACGGAGGCAAGCCGGTACTGTGAGACTCCTGCTCATTAAAAACTCGAAGGTATCCCGACAAAGCGCCTATTGCTGGAGTTGCAGGATCGAGTGTCAGTCCACTACTACTAGACTACGGCGGTATCAGCCCGCTATAGCCCCTTCGCTTGGCTTACAGTACTAGGACATTTTCATTATCGTACAAGTTGTTTGTTTATATTTATTTACAGACAAAAAAATTGTTAATATCGCCATGATGTTCGTCAATCTCTAATAGGAGAAGGCACATAAAGTATGCTAGATATTGATGTACTGAAATTAAACAAATACGAGATTTTCTATTTTTTTTCGTGCGATTGTATATTGTTTTAGGTGAGCAACCCTGCTAGAACGTACGCTAACGGGACTATTTGCAACCAATTTCCGTACGTCAAAATCATCAATTCATATGATACACTAGCTCTAATTGACAAATTAATGTGCATTTATAAGGATGAGTAGATGTCTGACAAAAAAAACTTGTTTAAATACAGAAATGATACAAAAGACAAAGGCTGTATGGGCTTTTAGATTCCTTGTATTGTCTATAAGGATAAATAAAACTAAAAATGAGACACTAGCTGAATTGAGAGCTGGATTGTTAGGGAGGTTTAGAAACCCTGTTTTTTGCAACTTCTTACAATAATGCTCGTCTCCAATCGGTAGTAGAATAATATAATATTTTGTTCAATAAAAGGGCTATCCAACACTATTTTTTTTTCAATTCACACCAGTAGTTCCGAAGAATTGACGCGTTAACCTAATAAACAGAAATCTTTAATTGTATAATACTAGTATAGTACTTTTGCCTCTTTTTTGTGCTACGTACGACTGTGTACCATACAATGTGGAGTCAAAGTTGTTTCTTGAATTTCATATAATACAGAATGATGAATATATGATTACAAATAATTAAAATAGGAAGATTTTACTTTTTAAAGTCGATTAAAGTATGATTCATGATACCCAGGATATAGGTGTGGAAACACGGAAACTAATAATAATTCATTGTACGAACAAAGGGCAGCGCGCAACTATAAAATAGAATATCCCCTATCGAGGGGAGCGCCCGTATTTGCATACCACTCCCACACAATTAGGGTGTCTAAACATTGTGGATAAAAATCCAAATAAATCTATACACCTATTGTATGTATTTTTTTTAATGGATGATTATGGAATACTGCTTCCGCTTGCGCTAGCGGTTGACGCTATACGAGTATCATGTTAAAATTCAGATTTAATAATATATTGAATAATTTGAAAATAATATTTTGTATACCGAGAAATAAACGATATTATATCTAATAAAATAATTATGTCTATCTCCGGTCGATGTTGGCACCCAAGGAACAAAATACTCTTTGGCACCTAAATGATTCCATTCTTGTTAGCCCAAATGGAAACACGAAGTAAAAGCTAAATCAGTAACCGGATTCCAAACAGTCATTGTCGCAAACAGTATTGCTAACACTACAATCTGTTCGGGATACAATCTGTCTAACAATATACAATCAAAACCAAAAGTTTTGTAGAATCCTCCTAAAAATAATACGTTTAGACCAAAAAAGTGTCCACGCAAAAAGTTCCAATTTGGAATAGTTGTTCAGCAGCAGTATTATTAATAGTATTACTGGCTTTCGGCTTAGTATACCCTTTACAATTAACCCTGTAACTACTAAAAATACCTCGTAATATTTTCATTTCCTGGTTATGTCCTGAATGGTTCAGAATGGTTCCTACGCCTAGTGCTAGGGGAAGCAGGCGTGTCCAATGCAACGCTCCCCGGATTACCGACTATATTGCATGTCTATACACTGTGTACAATAATTGTATTTAGTGCATAGTATGTATTAGTATACACTAAAATAAAGGCGATATATAGCTTTCTATGATTATTTCGAGTGTGTGTAATCATGAATAATGTTGATGAAGTATGTAATGGAAATATATCTATACTGCGATTTATAGCGTTTATATGTAGTGAACAGGATTATTATATAAAAAAAACACGTGTACAAGATGTTACGGGCTCTTTTGGTTCGTCAATCAATAAGTTACGGCTACGCGGATGGCGACGCGAGCAATACTACTGTGAGAGATGTAATAACTGAATAAATTTATAAATCAGAGTTAAATTTTCATACAAACATTCATTACCTAATTTGGCCTTACAACTTTTATTTTCAAGACAAAAGATAGCTCCATCACCAAGGTCGATACTAACTGTATAACAATAAATAAAATACATTATATCAGTTACGGTAATTCATCGGTCGTGAATATGTAATAATAAATTGACAGACTCTCGCGTTTATATTATTATATTAGTACTTAGTATTTGTATCGTAGTTTTGTTTACTTATATTTTTACAGTTACTTTTATAACAAAAGTCTCAGTGTCCATAGTGATAAACTCGAACGAAATGAATGAATGAATGAATCGTTATGTATTTTTAAATGTGAAATCATCAATTATTTTAAAATATGAAATCAGCAATCATTATAAACAAACTTAGTTATGGGTTTTGTTAATTTTTTGAATAAACATGTATCTTTATTGTTACATTTAATGTTACTATAGATTGCGTATAGCAAACGATAAAATATGACTAACTAATTCCGATCACGAACAACTAAAAGCGTAAAGTGTCAACAAGCGAATAATGAAATAACGAACTCAATCGAACGTTACCTACAAGCATGATATAAATCATCAAGATGATGAAGTTCAAGTCGTTGTTCCGTAGAGGACCGAGTCAGGGGAAGCAGGAGTCCACTCTCAAGGGCGCTCCCTCCGTCTCCAGTCTCGATTCAAAGCATCACAAAGTTGCTCCAGCACGAGACAAATCTCTCAAGATCTTTGGATCGAAAGAGAAGCTACACAAAGCACACAAGAGGAAAGATCTCGGGAATAATAATGCTGTTTTAGAAGACCCCGAATTGAGAGAAGGATTGGAGACGTATGAAGATGGACAGGTTAGGATACATGATTATGGGAGTGCCGAGGAACTGGGGTCCGTAGACGAGAGGGGGTCGCAGGAGTGTGTCAGTTTGCCCGTGACGCTGAACGCAGAACACATGCCTGGCTTCCAGGAAGTGGAGCTCAGGCCTAGAGAACCATCCGAGGTTAGTAGTAATTCTTTTGTGACCATTTGGTAATATCCAGGGTTAATCTGGTAAATGTGAATTAACCTTTTAAAATTATGACGTATCTGTTTGCGGTTAAGGATAGAATATATGATTATGTCACTTATGTTTTTTTAATCACACTAGCTCTGATACCAGATTTGTTCACGGTTACTATTAAAAATTTAACCCTTAAACAGAATGAATTGATTTTTTTATGTTAAGTAAAATTCACAGCATATATTTTTTTATGTCTGACTCCTATGGCATATTGCTTTTATTCCCTTCAAATCCAAATAGAAAAAAGTCAGAAATATAGTTTCGGGGTAAACACTCTTGTTTTTAATATATAAGTATACTTTTGTACAAATATACAAATAATATTTACCGTTCAGCTTAATCAGCTTTTAACATTATAAGTAAAAATAAACATATAACTTCATGATTTGCAGGCATCTTTGGCATCTGGCATTCGCGAGATCGAGTCGCTGCGAAGGGAATTAGAGATGAGCACCATGGAGCGGGCGCAACTACAGAGCAGAGTGGACGAGCTCCTAGAGCGCGCTGCAGATGCTGAGAGACTGCGGGCGGAACTAGAAAGACTGAAGGTTGGTACAAAGAAATCATTTTAAGGAATTTAGGAAAGAAATTAATAACCATGAACTACAGTTTTATACTATTATTGTTAATAAATGAAGCTAATGATTTGTAAACCGAATCAGTATAAGCCAATACACATAAAGTAGTTGTAGAAAATGGATCTTTTGTGCTAACTTTTGAATCGATCTTGAGTAATTAGACAGACATCCGCTGGTGTTCCGTCAGCGTACACCGTTAGCGCAGACGGGTGAACTAGACCAACAATACCAATTAAAATGACAATAATGCCCATTATTATACATAAGACATGTTGTTTAAAACAGTCAGCGGAAATAGAAAGAGAGGCGGCCCTAGAGCGTCTGGCGGACGAGAACGGCGCGCTGCGGGCGCGGCTGCGCGGCGTGGCACACTCGCCGCTCTCCGACAGCGAGAAGCGACAGCTGCTGCTAGCGCCGGCGCCGCGACGCATGCACTCATCAGCGCCCGCGTCCATTGCGCTTGCGCACAATGTAAGTCCTCTAGTTTCAGAATATACAGAGCTAACTTTTATTTATTATTCGATTTCACCCAAATGAATATTATAGCCTATATGTTATTCTGATGTATAAGCTATATTACTGTAAAGTTTATCACAATCCGTTCTGTAGTTTTTGCGTGAAAGAGTAACAAACATCCATCCGTTCTCACAAAGTTTTGCGTTTATAATATTATTAAGAATATGATTACTCTTTAAAATTTACTAAAAACATTATATAGAGTATGCAAAAGGTCTTACCGCTTAAGCGATGTCTTCCAGACAACCTTTTAGATGAGTAAAAGCTAAGGTGATGGATGGTGCATGAATGGAATGAATGAAACAATCGGTCATATTCGTGAACGGGTGCTGCTTGTGGAGACGGGTGTGTTCGGCTTACGGGCACTAATTAAAATGGAATATTCTAATTACTTTTTGACAAAATTATAGCATACTTGAAATGAGACTATAAGTCCTGCCGGTATTTTTTGTGTATTTGTAAAGGTTGCTGCTCAACAATCAAGCTGTAACTCAAAATTGATGTAAAGGGAGGGGACGCCCTAAGAAAAGATGGATTGTGTGAAAGATGATATGAATAAAAGAAGAGTATGTTCATATATGACGACCGATAGAGAGCAAGGGAAGAGAATGACATACTGCGCCGATCCCAAATAATGGGATAAAGGCAAGGCAATGATGATGTAATGGTATCAAGCTGACGGATCAAAAAAAAATTAACAGCCTTACGGACGTCACGTTATTATGTGACATCTACGATACCATTCATACCATTACTGTTTCGGAGGACTATGATGTCATGTTACGCCTTTTATCCCGTAATTTAATAGCTTAATCTGCACCCTACTGAAACACAGATCACAATGAAGCTGATTAGCACTGGAAATTAGTAAAATAGAGTACCTCAGTTGAATCTTTGTGTGTGGGGGGGGTTGTTTGTAATGTGGAGTAATAGCCACATTGCATAGCAATGTACTATGTCGGCTTGATTTTCACGTGGTTCCCCTGGAAACCATCGTGATAAATTCAAGGTAAATTAACCACGATGGGCTAACTGACCTGACCTAATACTCATCTCGTTATAATCCACTGGTGCCCCGCCAGCGTAAACCGTTAGCGTAGGCGGGTGAATTCCATTATCATGTATAAGAAAAAAAGTTGAATTCTAGTGCTTTATATTTATGAATCGCAGTCCATCAGCATGTACATATAATAATTACTTAATATAATTAAAATTAAAAATTAATCTATCTCACTGTAAAGTAAATATTACTTGATATTGGTAATCTTACTATATCTAGGAATCGATAAGATTTTCTACTAATTAAAAATTATGGTGACATTCAATGATAAAATATTAAGCATGCCAAATCTAAGAGGCTTAAATAATTAAATATTTTTTCCTGAAAATCAGCGCTTGAAACTATGTTTCTAGCATTATTCTGAGTTGTGGTCCACATTGACTCTATTTTCTAATGTGTAAATTGTAGTTTGTAATTTTTGAAGTCATTATTGTTATGTCAGTATGAGTCAATAAATAGTATTCTACTATTTTTTTTTTTTCGAAATGGACGGTCACGGTGGTCCAGCGGTTTAGTACACCGCCTTACTTCTGATGGTCGCGGGTTCGATTCCTCGCAAGGTATTAACATTTGTAATCATGAGTATGATTGTTTGTTTCGGTCTGGGTGTTTTTTTATATTTTTGAGAAAGAAAATATATGTATGTATTTTCATTAGTTGTCTAGTACACATATAACAAGTTCTGCTTAGCTTGGAACTAGATGACGCTGTGTCAATTGTCCAAGGTGTAGTGTTCGTATCTGTATGTATAAGGAGTAATAAAACCAAGCTTATCCGTCGAGTCTATTCTATTCTACACCAGAAAGCTTCTGCACTTCTGCCAGGACCTTGATTGACGATTTTAGTAGTCTCGGCTCTACGCACAACGTAAACGGCCCAAATGAGAGAGGCTAAATGCAGAGTATAGAGTCAAATTTACATTTATCTTCTTAATCTATAAATTTTTACTGTCATACATTTCTGGTGGAGAAAAATGTTAATAAATTAATATGTTCCACAGGGAGATGGGGACAGCGGTGATGCCAGTACCCCCGAGTGGGACAAACACTCCTCGTCATCACTCAGCGAGGTGTCCGTCGCCTGCCTACAGGACAGGATACAGCAGATGGAAGAACACCATTACAGGTAACAACATATTGTGCCTACACTTGTAATATTTCTGTCAACACTTGTGACCCTTCCATTACGTCTCCACTAACATAGATTTAAGTTCAGTCAAACAGTCTACGTCCGACTCCGCGTCGAATGTACGCGTTACTAGCTATGTAGCACACTACCTAATAAAGTTACTAATATACAATAAATAGTATAATTATTTCACTGGTATACTCACTACCTACATACTACAATAAACAATATCTTATGTAACGACACCTCATCACATAATATATAACGCTACAATGGTGAGGTGAACCGCCGCGCTACAATGTAAAAATGTTTTAAGATAAACTTTGCACGAAGTCCTCTGTTATCTCAGCCTCACCTATTTCTTTTATGCCAAACTCTCTTATGACGTTTGAAATACCAAAAGTGTCAAGTGCGCGTTGCTGACTTTCTATAGAGATACAATACCCTTCTTAAATATATCCATTCTGTAGTCTCTAGAGAAAATCACGGCAGTTCTATACACAAGTAGTGTGTACAGTAGGAAACTTCTCTGAAACCTCAAAGTCTGAGACACACAAGTTTCAGGGTGTAGAGACAGCGAATTTCCATCCGCCTTAGTGATTCCAATCACATAATTATTCTAAAGTTCAATAACATATCTATTCTATTCTATTTTATTCTATTCTATGCTATTCTATTAGTCCTCCGAAATGGCGACGATGGTTGCCAGTTTATACCAGGTATATAAGCAAAATGTAGATCATCATTCCATTTTAGAATTTGAATAAAGAATGGTTCTATACTGTTTATTTAATAAAATCTGCAGCACAAGCGAAGAGTTGCAAGCAACGTTAGCAGAATTGGCAGACTTGCAGACGCAGCTGGCGGATGCGCACGCCGACAATGAGCGACTGGCAGAGGAGAAACAGGTGCTGCTCGAGTCTCTGTGTCAGCAGACGGAGAAGTTGGAAGACAGCAGGACTAAGGTTTGTGGGTTATGATGTCAAACAACTTGTCTAACAGATAGACATTTATTTAAATTAATCAGTAACAATTTATTTATTTATATTTTATTTATAAACTCTTTATTGCACCAATAGAATTAATACATAAGAATTATACAGAAAAGAGATATGGAAGTACAAAAGGCGGTCTTATTGCCAGAAGCAAGAAGCAATAAAATTTATTAATTTTATAATTTATATAACACAACACAATAAAAACACAGAACTTTCGATATTTCAATGTTACTCCTCCGATCAATCCCCGTTTATTGGACATAAACGGAGATCGAAATTACGACGACCTGAAACGAGTTTCGAACCCGTGAGATTACAAATAATCAATACCTACCACCAACCTAGCTGACAACCCCTACCGTCTTGTATATATATAATTTGGTATTTCAGGTGGATACACTTCAGCTCCTGTTGCGAGAGGGTGTCGAGCCGGAGACTATACCAGCTGCAGATACTGAGCAGCTCTTGACTGTTTTAAAGGTATTTTTTTTAATAAGAACTCTATTTTCTAACTGTTTAGACTCCGTCATACTTGCGGTTCATTTAACTACAGAAACATTTGTTATGATATCTGTTTGTACTGCCTTTATATGTATTTCTATATGTATTATGTATGTATTTACAAAAAAGATATATTTAAGTATTTATATCAATTGTCTTGTACCCATAACACAAGCGGCAGAGCTTTGTTTAACTGTGAATTGTCCTGTTTTATTTATATATACATCTCCTCAACTATATTTAGTACTTTCATATTATATGAATGGAAATTTCCCAACAAATCCGAACTTAGTCACTTAGAGAATGCGCCACTTTCTGACCTCTGGTCATCTATATCCAAATATTGTTTGGAAGATACCTTAAGCAATAAGATCTCTTTTTATAGCCTATTACTATGTAAATTATTTATTTATTTATCACCATATGTATGTATTTTTATAGCTGCTTATAATAAATTTTCATTATTAATATTTATTACAACAGTTGTCGCAAGAAGAGCGACGTCACCTTCAGAGTAAGGTGGAAGAGCTCGAGACGGAGATAAAAGATGCCAAAGCTGCGTTGGAAGAGAAAACCAAAGAAAATGAATCGCTCACAGAGAGAATTAGGTGAGTTATTAGCTATGTTTTTTATTACTTTAACTCATTACAATAACACAAACCTATCAAAACAATATTATATAATTATAAACTCTCGAGTCAAATAAAAAATCTTTAATAAATAGTGACTAAAAACCATCTTAATCACGTTTATTGAAAATAAAGTAAAACTGCATCAATATTGGTCCATTCTTTTAGGAACTACGTTGCCTCAGATATACAGATACCTCCGACTTATAACACTGCCCTTTTTGCGTCGAGGTTAATAAAGAATCTAACCTATCTAGCTTAGCTATTGTTACCACGCTGACTGGCGACTTGGTATAGGATTTAGTATAGATTTTTAGTTTTTAGTCTCGATATGTGTGCTTAGCGTTTTTTATTAATTTGTTGTTTTTTTGCGATAAAAATGAATGCTAAGAAAATTGTATAGCAATTGAATCTACAAGTTTGTAAATTGTCTAGGATGGTGGAAGGTAATACTGAACGTCTGGAGACCGAGCGGCTGCAGTGGGAACATGAGGCTACCGCCCGCCAGGAACAGCTCCATAATCTCACCAACTTGCTGGATGCCGCTAAAGCCAAGGTAATTGCATCATAACTGTGTGATATACTTGACGTTTAGTTTAATTCAAATTCAAATTCAAAAATCATTTATTCATGTAGGACATTTTAGCCGCTTATGAACGTCAAATTTTTACATTCAAATTTTTTTTTTTCCCTACCGTCCAGTTCGGTATATAGATCCAATTGAGAAGAACTGACAAGAAACTCAATTGAATTACTTTTTTTTTAAAGCCAGTTTATTTACAATGTATATTTATATAGGTGTCTATGTCTAACATTAAATGAAAATTCAGTGCATGAACAACTATTGCCATGCACACTCGTCATTCAAGTAATCGTTTAGTGAGTAATAGGCTTTGCTCAGTAAATATGATTTAACAGATGTTTTGAATTTATTTAAGGGTAATTCCAACATATCCTTTGGTATCTTATTGTAAATTTTTATACCTATTCCCATAAAAGACCTATTAACTTTTCTAAACGATACTTGGGAACAGCAAGTTTGTCTTTAAATCTAGTATTAATATTATGAATATTGCTGTTTTTTGGAAATAAGTCAAGATTTTTATGAACATATAGGATATTTGAATATATAAATTGAGAAGCAACGGTGAGAATATTTGCCTCTTTGAATTTCTCTCTTAATGAGTCACGACTCTTCATAAAGTAGATCGCTCGAACGGCACGTTTTTGAAATATGAATATATTTTTAATATCTGCCGCTTTTCCCCATAGTAATATTCTATAAGAAAGTAAACTATGAAAATAACTAAAATAGACCAATCTAGCAGTATCAGTATCAGTGTATTGTCTAACCTTACGCACGGCAAAAGCTGCTGAACTTAGTTTCGCTGCAAGGCTTTGAATTTGTGCACCCCATTGTGTTTTATTATCTAGTGTGATTCCTAGAAAGACAGTAGATTCTATAAATTCGAGAGATTCGTCATTTAATTTAATATAGCAATTAGTATTAAAACTTTTAGACAGAGAAAAATTAACACATTTTGTTTTTTTAGCATTTAACATAAGATCGTTAGTTGTAAACCAGTGCAGGAGACGCCGCAAAGCACTCACATCGTCATAATTATTAGTCATTCTATTAACTTCAAAAATCAATGAAGTATCGTCTGCAAATAATACTATGCCGCATCTATCCTGCATGGCATATGGGAGATCATTAATGTAAACTAGGAATAAATAATAATGGACCGAGAATGGATCCTTGAGGTACACCCATTTGCACAAGTGACCCGTCAGACGTAGCGTTGCTAACTTTCACTTTCTGTACATATCAGATAGATAAGATTTTATTAAATTTAAAGCATTGTCTTTTACGCCATAAAAAGCAAGTTTTTTTAGTAATGTATTATGATCAACGCAATCAAAAGCCTTAGGAAGGTCACAAAAAACACCTATCGCATCCATTTTAGTTTCCCATACAGCAAATACGTGTCTAAGCAACTCTGCACCTGCGTCTGTAGTTGAAAGACCTTTGGAAAAACCGAATTGACTATTGTGGATTAAATTATTTAAATTGAAATAACTGACAAGTTGCATAAGGATTATTTTTTCAAAAATTTTACTGAGTGCTGGGACTATAGATATAGGTCTATAATTTATTGGGTCACTCCTATCTCTAGATTTAAAAAGCGGTATGATTTTACTAATTTTCATTATGTTAGGAAATTTACCCTCATCTATACATTTATCGAAAATAAAAGAAAGAGACGGCGCAATAATTTCCATTATACTATCTAGTATTTTAACAGATATACCCCATAGATCCTCTGTTTTTTTATTATTAAGCTGTTTAAATATTTTCATTATTTCTACTGATGTTGTATGTCTAAAGTTAAATACAGCTGATGACTTGCTAACATTGTCTGTTAGTAAAGTTTCAGCAGCAGACGGGGAAGATTTTAGAGCCTATGTCGTAATTAATGGAATATTAGTAAAATAAGATTCCAATGTATCCGCGACCCCTGTGTCGGAATTTACCAATTTGTTATTAATATTTAAAGCTATTTTGCTATTTTGAAAATTAACTTTTCCAGTTTCGCTATTTATTACTTTCCAAGTGGCTTTTATTTTATCTTTAGATTTAGTTATTATTTTACCTAAATAGAGAGACTTAGCTGAATGACAAACCTTTTTAAATATTTTCGAATAAGATTTTACCTGTTCATGAAATAAGGGATCGGATATATATATAAACGGAATATAATATAAACGGTTACAGATCTATCAATTCAATCAGTCGCGTGGCTTTCTATCAAGGGATCTCTCTGAGAATAGCAGTTCCCAGGATTTCTGTGTTCTAGGCGATAAAGAGGTGACATAGATACTATAGGGGAGACATATATATAGAGGTGTCCATGCTGACCTTCAGCCGGTCCATAAGACCTTCCGCGGAGTTGGAGTGCCATCTGCTCTATCTCATCTGCCAATCCTACGGTGAAGCCGTAGGCTAGCTGTGGCCGACGGCATTAGAGTACTACGAAAAAAACAATAAATAAATAAAGGTGTCCATGCTGACCTTCAGCCGGTCCATAAGTCCTTCTCGGGGTCGGAGTGCGATTTGCCCTCGTCCCCTGTCGTCCGGTGAAACCGTAAGCACCAGAGGGCAGGCGCGCATGGAGACGCGCTGGTCACAAAAAAAAACGACGACGCGCTGGTACACACCCTCACACCTACCTCATACATAGCATACGGCGGCGGCGGCCAATGGCCGAGCGGCTGGCGCACGCGCAGCGACAGCTCGACCGCGCGCACTCCGACGCGCGCAAGCTGCACGACGACGCGCTGGTACACACCCTCACACTTACCTCATACATAGCATACGGCGGCGGCGGCCAGCGCGCGCCCAGCGAGGCACACGCCCACGACGGGCCGCAGCGCCTGGCGCCGCGCAGCGACAGCTCGACCGCGCGCACTCCGACGCGCGCAAGCTGCACGACGACGCGCTGGTACACACCCTCACACCTACCTCATACATAGGAGCGCGCGCCGCGCAGGCGCGCAGACGCGCTGGCCGCGGCGGCGCACGCGCAGCGACAGCTGACGCGCGCAAGCTGCACGACGACGCGCTGGTACACACCCTCACACCTACCTCATACATAGCTGGCGGCGGCGGCGCGCGCGCCGCGAGGAAGACGCGCTGGCCGAGCGGCGGCGCACGCGCAGCGCGCCGCGCGCACTCCGACGCGCGCAAGCTGCACGACGACGCGCTGGTACACACCCTCACACTTACCTCATACATAGCATACGGGGGCGGCCAGCGCGCGCCGCGAGGCAGACGCGCTGGCCGAGCGGCTGGCGCACGCGCAGCGACAGCTCGACCGCGCGCACTCCGACGCGCGCAAGCTGCACGACGACGCGCTGGTACACACCCTCACACTTACCTCATACATAGCATACGGCGGCGGCGGCCAGCGCGCGCCGCGAGGCAGACGCGCTGGCCGAGCGGCTGGCGCACGCGCAGCGCGCGCAAGACGCGCGCAAGCTGCACGACGACGCGCTGGTACACACCCTCACACTTACCTCATACATAGCATACGGCGGCGGCGGCCAGCGCGCGCCGCGAGGCAGACGCGCTGGCCGAGCGGCGGGCGCACGCGCAGCGACAGCGCGACCGCGCGCACTCCGACGCGCGCAAGCTGCACGCCGACGCGCTGGTACACACCCTCACCCTTACCTCATACATAGCATACGGCGGCGGCGGCCAGCGCGCGCCGCGAGGCAGACGCGCTGGCCGAGCGGCTGGCGCACGCGCAGCGACAGCTCGACCGCGCGCACTCCGACGCGCGCAAGCTGCACGACGACGCGCTGGTACACACCCTCACACTTACCTCATACATAGCATACGGCGGCGGCGGCCAGCGCGCGCCGCGAGGCAGACGCGCTGGCCGAGCGGCTGGCGCACGCGCAGCGACAGCTCGACCGCGCGCACTCCGACGCGCGCAAGCTGCACGACGACGCGCTGGTACACACCCTCACACCTACCTCATACATAGCATATACCATAAACGATGATCACTGATTGTCGCCACCCATGAGAACTCGCAACACCAGCAGAAATGCAAATTGCATAGCATTAGCGTAAGCGTTCCTTATTAGACTCCAATTAATTTCAGCTCATTCCAATGAAGATGGAAATTACATCAGCTTAGTTGCCTTCGAGCTGAGGGTTCGCAGGTGGGAATTGGCCTTGCCTTCATTCGTTCTATAAGTCATTCCGCAAATTTGCACTCTTTTTCATTTTCGCCCCGTGAAGATATATTATAAACATATGCCAATATTATAATTTCAGGTGTCGCGTAATAATGCCAAATCGACAATATCCGAGCTTGAATTTCAATTGGAGCAGCTGAGACAAGAGAAGGCAGCTTTGCAGGGCGAACTGAAAACCCAACAGGACAATGTCGCTGAATTACAAGCACAAGTAAGATAACCTCGAAATATATTTAATTGTTTGCCTGTTGGTACCCGGGTTACAAACGCCTTAAAACTCGAGTCGTAACTCGATTCCAGCGGCGACACCTTTAATGTTAGTATACTCTTGGGACAATATCCTGCTTTTTAGTTGCGTAGTGTGAGTTAATACCTGCTTTTACACGTACGCTAATTCAAGCGTGAATAGGTTTTCACACAGGAATGAATGTGCATGTAAATTTAGACAAAGAGAACGAGAAATGCTACGCGCGACGCCAGCTCGCGCAACTTACTTTTTTCAATCGTGCGTGTTTTACCGGCTTTTGGCGACATTTGACTATCGAACAAGCTCGATAGAGTGAACAAAAATAGTACTCAAATGCAATCCCTGACGATCGCAAACGCTGGCTTTCCCCCATTAAAAGTGTGCGTACAAAGGCAGCTAATTCCGTAACGCGGTTGTCAGGTGCAGGTGACGGCGGACGAGAAGCTGTCGCTGATGTCTCGTGCGGGCGAGGCGCTGGCGCGCGCGGCGGAGGCCGACCGCCACCTGCAGGACGCCCGCGCGCGCCTCCACCAGCTCGCCAGGGACCGCGACCGAGACGTACGCATCCATACCATACCCTACTATATACAATACAATACTAAATCATTTATTCAAATAAACATAATTTAAGCCCCTTTGAATATTCATAACATTTTTTTTATAATACTAGCTGCCCCTATTATCCTCCCTCGCCATTAAAATAGGGTTTCATGGTAGAAGCGTGAAAATTTAGGATTATATATACTTTTAATGCGGACACATAAAAAAATATGGCATAGTCAAAGAATTTTTTTGGAATGTGACTTCCTTATCACATAAACAACCTATTGTCAGACCGACCGCGTATACATATAAAATTTTATTTTATCAATTGGTTGTTATTGTCCTTAACTTCATTTCACTACTTAATGGACGTACATAAAATTGATAATATATTATCAATTTTATGTTATATTTACAATAAATTACTGATTTTTGATCCTTCGAGCCGGATGGCCGAGCTGATATTGCTGATTCATAAGAAAATGGCAATTATGACTTGTTAATTTTTTAGTTTCTGTAATTTTAATTACAGAGAAATAAAGATTTTGATTTGATGAAAATATGAACACGTTCTCGTTTGAAGTGTATAATTTAAATATATCTCTGACAATCCAGGAAGCGGAATGGAAACAATTCGAAAGCGATCTATTAATGACTGTACGCGTCGCAAATGACTTCAAAACAGAAGCGCAGCGAGAGTTAGAACGGTTGGTCTCCGAGAACAAGATACTAAGAGATCGAATTCGGCTGCTCGAAGATCAGATTCACTCGCTCAAAGGTGAGTTGTCGAGATATAATAGTACGATAAGGATGACGTTGCATGTTGTAGTATTTTAAATTCTACAGTATAGTAGAAATCGCATACATATTTGTACAGTGGACTTTATAACTTAAAAATACATATGTAAATAATTATTGAAATTTAAAGATTAATATTACATGTCCTTTTCTATTCTAATACGTAAATATGACAACATTTGCTTTGCCTTTGATATTTCGATCATAATTATGTTGTGGAATATTGACAAACTCTTTTTACCTTTTGACCTTTCTACCTTTTTAACCGTATTTATAATGATATTATTCCATAAATACTGTTATTGTTCACAGCAGAACTGTTTTTTTTTAATTTAATATTCAGTAATTATTTTTATATTTAGAGTTGGTGATTTTTTTACAGCCGGCGCTTGTTGGCAATCCATCGACAGTTATTCCTATTATACGTTACAATGTATTTAAATTAGTTCACTTTAAATTTTATAAATGTGATTTCTGCTATTGTACATTGCAAGTTGTAGATTTGGTTTTCACAATCACGTACTATAGTAATTTTTATATAATCACTGCTAATTGAATCTAGTAAATAAGTTTTAGAGATCTGTAGAAGGTATTGGGTGTGATTATTATTGCATGATTGTTTAAACATATTATACATTATATTAGAAAACTTTAAACATACATGATATATAACAACACAAGTTCCCATTCATTACGACTTTTCCTATTTTACTTGACAGAATTAACGGGCAATATCATGCACTAATTCTGTGTAAAGCTTCCGTTAATTTACTTGTAAGATCATAAACTAACAACATATCAAATTGTGTAAACATGTTAGTATTTATGAAATGTCTAATCTCGATTTAATGTACCAAAACAGGTGATAACACGTCTCAATCTGTGGATAGTATTCACAACTATTCGGATGACGAGAAAAAATTATCAAATGAATCGCTATTAGACTATCAAAGTGATAGTTCAGCAATAGATGTATTTAAAAACATCAGGACTAGATATTTATCTAGAGTCCATAGTGTATCTGATCCTTCGCATAAAGACACGAGTGTAGTCGAACAGGCTTTCTGTAAATTAAACAGCTCGCCAGATTCTAAAACTGATATAAAAATTGAAATTAAAGACGTTACGGTGGATGAAACGGACGATACAAGTTTGCAACTAAATTTAGATAATGCGGTAATAGAAAATGATGCCTTGCGTGAACCAGTTCTACCTCGCTTTGAGAACAAAGAATTTAAGAGACAAGATGCTGTAGATATCGATTCTATCACCAAACAAGACATTAATGATGACAGGCTGCATTCACCAAACATTTCTGACGATGTGTATTACATAGATCTAGATTGTAGTAAGCATCATGAAAAGTTGGTCACTCAGTCTGAGCATAGCAAAATTGTGACACCGAAAGAAAGAACAATTTTTAGTAGAAGTTTTTCCGGCATGTATAATGGTAAACCAAAGTCCTATAGTATGGATAATTTGAATTATAATGAAAAATCCAAAGATAATTTGAAAGAGGCTACTAGTATAGAATTTTTAGGTACAAGTTTTACGTGTAGTGAAATATCTTTAAATACTGTAGGTTCAGACAGTGTCTTCACGTCGCCTGTTGATAGAAATAATACGGCGTTTAATAAATTGATTATAATGGATTCTCCAGTTCAAACGGCCAGTCCAATAGCGAAATCAACAGAAAACATTTCTGGCTCTAAAAATGATGGTAACGCCAGTCAGTTCCAACCAGTCAGCAGCAGACCATCGGTTGAAAAAGATGTCTCCAATAAATTCGAAAAAGATATTAGTACAATACCAATAGTAAAAGCCGAATCTATTCTTCCTTATCCGTATCCACATGACATAAAACCATCAATGGAAGTTAATACCTTCGTGCAGTCGCTAGAAAAGCCTACTAACAATGCAACTCTTGGTCAGGAAATTGAAAAGGACTTAAAGAAAGCAAATGAAGATATAAAGATGACCTTTAAAGCAGCTATAGATAGAATAAAAGGAACAAGTAAAGATAAGAGGTCTCCATCTCCGCCTAAACCGAAAAAGTTAAATGTAAAAACTGAGGTTAACATAACGACTGATAAAAATCATGTTAGTATTGTTGATTCAATTAAATTTCCCATTTCTAGCTCAAAAAAATATGAAAAGAAGAATGATGTAGGTATAACAGTTAAAACAGCGGAAACAACAAGGCACGCAGATAAGTCTAACGTAACGGACATTGTTCCAGATAATGTTCATAGTAACAATCCTTTTATACAATCCATGGAAAACAACATAGGTACTTTTAAAAGTGAAAATGAAAAAATTGACGAAAATGTTAGTTATCATTTGAAAATTAACACTGTTAATGAGGTACCAATCAGTCAAAATAATACAAATTCAGCATTAATGTTAAATAATGCATCCACAATTAATATTAGACCTATGACCGGAAGACTTAAAACATTTGTAACACCAATAAAAATAGTAAATAGCACTGGTAGTACATCCCCCATTATTTTAAGTCCTGTTTTAATCCATCCTGTAATATTTAAAACTCAAAAACCCGATGTTGATATTAAGACAGATGGTAAAAAAGGTACGGTATATTATAATGATATAGATCAAGTCATTACACAAGAGAACGTTAATGAACATAAATCTGTAACACATAAGAGTGCAAGCGACGATAATAATAACATTAACGCTAATACTGATCATTCAAGTAATAAAATTGATAACTCTCATATCAGCAAGAAAATCATATATCAAAAAAATTTAAAGGCAAAGCAGTTACCATTTTTGTCATGGAAGAATTTATCCAATGAAAACATAACAGAATTGAAGTCGTCTACGTCATCGAAGGTTTCATCTAAACGTACTGAAACAGCATCTCTGCTTCCTAAATCAGATCCGAAAGCTAAAGTGGGAAAATTAAGTAAGACTCCAGAGTGGTTGATCGATAATCAGTATTATCAACCCGTTGAAAATGTTTCTTTTATTATAAACTCGAATCAACCATTAACGCAACCGATGACCCAATCACAAAACAATCCTACTACAAAAGATCCGATACAATTCAATAATACAAATCCATTTTTACCATTAATACCACCCAGAAGAGATTCAGATCAAGAGCATTATTACGAAGAGATTGGACAACCTATATCAACCACGAATAATAAAAACATAGCTGATGATGTTAAAATATCGAACAAAACTAAAAACACAGTAGATGAATTTTGTTCAGTGACCCGTGAGGAACTTTTAAAAGTTCCGAGAAGACCCAAGAAACCAAAGAAACAACAGATTCCATTATCTAAACCGGGAGAACCTCCAAGTATTGTGAAAGAGATGGCAGGGATTACTAAGTCAGTCATAACTTTGTCTAGAGTCCCTAGTGCAAAAGATTCGTCCAAAACACCCAGTGCGCCTTTTGAAGAAATCGTACACAATTTAGAAAAGAAACCTCCTTGTCCGGAACCAAGAATAACTGATGTGACTTTAAGAAAAACGTCACTACAGAGAGATGAAGCATTCAGTGTAGATATGAATACAGGGTCATGGCCCCGAAACCCTAAACCATACTGGAAAACCTTAGAACACAAGAGGCTGTCGCATCCTATAAGATCGTTGAACGACCCCTCGCCGCCTAGACCGCTACGTAAGTTGGAAGGCTTTTGTCCCCCAAAAACTAAACGTGCCAGTGTGAGATTGTATGTAAATAACTACGTGTATATGTTCGTTACGTTTTCTTTAGTGTAGTATATCACAGTTATATCGTACCGAATTTCTATAATGTTGCTACAATATTTTTCTACTAATTTGATAGTTTTAAGACATTGAATAGCAAGTCAGTGCGATATACCTTTACATTTGGTTTTGGTTTCAGTAATGACGGCAATAAGGTGGTGGTAAATGTAAAAGGACACGTTATTTTTAAGTGATTGTATGTCATAGCAAATGCACGTACAAACTGTTTCTGTACAAATATCTTAGATTTGAACAAACTTCAGTGTTTTCGGATGTAACATTAAATGGAAACATTATTTGATATTATGCTCGTAAAATTTAAATAATTCTATCATTTTTATAAGTCCAAACTAACTTTCGCCTTCTATTTTAATATTATGATTTTGTGGCATTTGATGGTCTTGCCTACCTTAGATGGTATAATAAGATGGTAGAATTTTAATAATTTTGTGTTATATGTATAAACTAGATATTAAATCTTTCCCCTTTGTAGTAAATTGTAATTATATAATGATCAATTATAACTGACAAAATAATTAACAAGTAAAATTATCCGGTCTCATACCCGACCCAAAGCTTCCCATAACGCTTAGAGCATTTCTGCGCCGAATTGCTAGAGAAAGATTGTAGATCATTTAAGAAAAAAATATTGAGTAACACTCTTTTAGATTGAAAGCAATTACAATTAGAATAAATGCGTGTTTGTATGAGCTGCTTTGCTTGTAGCTTCTAGTGGTAATTACCTCCATTACCACTAGAAGCTACAATTACTGCTTTCTTGATGTGTAACATCTATCCTCTCTCTCACATTAAAATCTGTGTGCGTGAGTTCGGAACAGGAATCTGAACAGAACAGGAATCTGGCGAAGCACGCGCTATTTGATTTGGCCAATTATAGCGCATGATACAACTTGGCTACCATATGGTACCAACCCATTTTTCAAAACGTTGGTAAACAGATATCAGTTTACCAACCTTTTGAATATATTATGTGGATGGTGGAACATACACATCATATGCAACCACTATAAGGGTCGCTGTTTTTTTCATAAGGTTGGTACACAGATGATAAATGTTACACAGTATATGATGCTGCCACTGATGCTGGTTCTCGCGTTTGTTGGTGTTAAAGGTTTTCTTTTCTAGCTAACAGTAATATATCCGTTAAAAGACAGACAGCTATAACTTTCTTCTGCACATTAAAACATAAAACATTTAAAGAAATTTATTAGCAGTTGCACTTATAAATAATTATGTTGTTACTGACAACCTCTATGATTATTGGTAAGGCAGTTTGATTTGCACAAGTGAAGGCAATGGTTTAATTGTAGATCTAGATCGATCTAGAATTTATGATGTGCGTTTTTCTTTGGTTTGGGTCTGGGTGTTCTGATTGTGCTTTCAACTATTGTGTGATTTCTATAAATCTTATATATTTTGTAACCTACTTTGAGATAACATAGCAATGCGGAATTTGAAAAATGAATCATTGTAATTTTATTTACGATTTAGTTTAACTTGTTTCACGCTTAACTTTCCTGAAACATGAATAGTTTGTTTGAATACCAGTTTAAAGAATTATGATACCCGGCATACTTTGTTCCATCCAGACCAAAAATCTTTCCTGCTAGACAAGAAGGAGTATCGCTCAAAGTTATGTAAATTGTTATTGCAAATCAAAGGTGACACGCCAACAGCAGCGCCATCTATTGAGTCTCCCGTTGTCTTTTCAAACCATACCGAAACTCATTGATATGTACGTTATGAATGATATGTATGTACCACGTATTTTTTTTCTATATGTGGTCAGTTTAGGAGGAATTAGGTAACAAACATACGTACAGAAGAATTATGTGTTTGAGGTAGACTCTGTATAAAGTTGTCTTAAAGGCACCTATATCTCGCCTACAAGCGCCAAGCAGCTTGCTTTAAGAAGTGTTTGAATTGAAGGACGAGATAAGGCAGTGAAATTACAGGGTAAGAACGACATTATAGTAGTCTCTATCTATTCCGCCTGAATGGCAACATATATGTGGACATAACCCATCAGCGTCCTGCCACTGAAATATTGAAATAGATAATTACCAAAAGATTTGCTACCTTTACACATACCGCTCTTTCACGTTTTCATGCAGGAAAGAAAGTGCATGTGCACCTGTTCCCAAGTGAAAGAATATGTCGTGTAAAGAAAGCTAATAAGTTCCAAGAATGTGTGAGGGTAAACTGATATTGTAATGTGCAGCGATGCCGCCGCGGTCCGAGGAGGTTCCTACACCGCCTCCGTTACTGACGAGTGCCTCTCTGCAGGACATCATGGCGACAGCTGCATCACACCGGAGGACCAAAGGTAAACTGTCTCAAAATAATAATAATAAGATTATTGTTATTCCTTAAGCAATCTTTTATAGACAATCTTTGGATGGAGAAGAGTGGGCGAAGTTAATAAGTGGCGCATACTGGATAACTAAGCTCGAATTTCTTGGGAAGATTTCTTTTCGTGTAAATATAGTTACACTACGCTATGTAGTCCCATGCTAAGCAGAGCTTGTGTTATGGCTACTTAACAACTGATAGAAATACATAAATACATTTTATTTTAAATACTGACTACTAATACTAATAAATCTAAGGAGAATTAACACAGCGCCATCTAGACCCAAGTTAAGCTACCTAAATCTTGTGTTTAGGGTACTAGATACAAATACATAGATTTTTGTTTTCGTAATAGCATACATATTATACATAGAAAATACCCAGATCGATACAAACAATCATACTCATGAATACAAATGTTTGTGCCGTGCGAGAACTCGAACCCGCGACCGTCGAAAGTAAGACAGTACGTTAAATCGCTAGACCACCGACGCTGTCAATATTTATAGGATATAAATGAAGCTGTATGTATTATTCATTAATTTGTTTAGGTGTAAGCCGGCAAGACTCACGGTTGTCAGTGAAATCGCTGATAGAGAGCATAGAGAATGCTGCAAAGGCAGCTAAGCAGTCGCCGGCCACTACACCCGTTGGAGAATGGCCACAGGTATATTCAGTATATATATTGTTATTTTATAACAATAATAACGAACCTGACAACACAGTCGGAGTGTATTAAATCTACCGCCGAATACATATATAACCACAACATATATACATACTGTATTTTGTAAACAAAGATTTTTATTATTCATATTGTAAACCTAGTCTTAACACGAAGAATTTTATGGTAAATGAAGGTATCCACCTCTCTCTACGTGGTGGTGGAGGTGAGAGAGAGAGATCGAGAGGGATCTAGATTGCGCTAGCCATGATCAGCTCGTGAAAATATCTGTGTTAAGACTCGTTAAATATTAACAATATAAATAATATATATTAAATACGAAAGTCTAATTAATTTCTATTTGTAGATTTTGAATATTTAGAGTCATATATTATTAATTTGAAGCCTAAACAAATAGGACTTAGGTCTAATGAATATAAAAAATACTTTGTCGCCAGCAAACCACTGTGGTAGCAGCTACAAATACCAGCATGAAGAACGGCCTAACAGAGACATCATCAGCGCCCACTAATGGACTCTCCAGTAACACCTTCGCCAAACCACCAGCAGCCAGGAATTCCCGACCACCACCCTTAAACAGTGGTGAGTTGATATTTTAGTAAAAGCACTCTTAGTAACAAATGATTGGGTTTTTTAATGCTTCAAGAATAGTTATAGGTCTATACAACTAATAAATAATACAGGGTTAACAATAATTTACTAGTTTTTTTCTGAATTTTAAAATGAAGACTACTGTAGTGATGCCTATAGTGACTCCCATTCAGGAAACATACTGTAGACTAACTATGCTATATAGTATTCAGTGGGTCACCATACATGACTAGGTTGGTGACAAACAAATAATTCAAGTATAATTTTAATGATGAATTAATGATTATCCAATTACTTTAGAAATTTACATTAATTATTAACTTAACAGTAAATTGTCAAATTACCTACTAATTCAAATTCGTGAACACAATAGATCTAAGCAGGTCGTATTACTACAGGTCTTAGCACCTGGCAGCCCATTTTCTTTTACTAAGAATTAATATATCTAAAATATTCCAGTCTACGGTGGATTATTAAAAGAAGGCGATCTTTTATAAAAAAATACTCTAACAGTTAGGTCATTTGTTTATATTAGTCGCTGATAATAATTTTAAAAGTAATACTCACAAGAATTCATTGTATAATATAAAAATGCAGTAGGTCGATATGGTTAGAATGGATCTTATATGTGTGCAATTTATTTTATCCTATTGTAATTATATTATGAAACTAAGTAGGTGTAATATATTAACATTATTGCAATTCAGTATTTTAATCATAGGCGTACCCAACTTGTTGAGTTTAGGCTGTAGATATTAATTTTACTCGGAGAAAGTTTTTTCAGGAATTTGTATATAATATTTTATAACGTTTTTTAATTGGTGGGCAGCTGGCCTCCACCTTTCTCCAGACCGTTCTCCTTGAGTACGCCCATGATTTTACCTGTATTAATATCACAAAATGTACTAGATTTATATATATATAACTGCATGTAAGTCGTGGCTTTTTATTTTCTTACAGCATGGCGGCATGAGACAGGCGCCTAGTATTAGTGTTTATAAATTAATGTATCCGTTATTCTAACTCATTGTGTGTGCGTACGCGTCCTGTAATTACAATATTGCATGTGTGCACCGTTGTTTTTTTTCAAACCCCATCGAATAACTGTTGAGTGTTAGAGTAAGCTCATATTATCGACGCAATTTGATTGGCGCATTGGTTGCTACGCTCCGCCTTCTTTGCAAATACGCCAATCGTCGTCGAATCAAATTGTCGTACAGACCCGTCGGTATGGGCCGTCGGGTGTGTACGAACTTGATAATGTGAGCCCGCTTTTAGTGTTCCTATTCCTTAAGTAGATTGTGTTTCATTTATTTATTTGATTCTTGACATTTGTTACATTATGTAGACATATCTTGTGTACTTACAAGGGGACTTGATGACTTTGGGGTCATCATATACGTCATAAATATTTTAATTAAAAATATATCATTTCGGTAGATATACAATATCAATGTAGATATACATTCAAAACAAAAAATAATAAAAACACATTTAAAATGTAGTTCTATCAATTATGTAGAAAATGAGAACGAAAACACTTATTATTTAGTAATTGTTTGTATTATTTAACATTTTTGGTTGCTATTTATTTATGCTTCATGAGCGTGGACAAATATTTTTTATAAGTGAAATTGATTCCTATTATATAAGTGCGCTTCATGTTTATTTAGGCAATGCATATCTTCTCATTTCTGTCGGGTTTGTGCCAGGTTTCCTATTCATAGAACTATAACATTTACATATAACCATAGATAAAATATTGCTACATATATTTTTTTCTATAGTTTAAATTAGGGTTGTCCCCTTTTGTAGATGTTTATTTTTTAATAATCATGGACTCTACACTATTGTATTATATTTTATTTATTTATCAGTTTTTCACATAATATTAAATTGTTTTCCTATTCTTAAATATTGAATATAGTTATGTTATATTATTCCCTTATCGGAAACGGAAATAACGCTGTTCCATTATTTAATCATCTTTGTAAATATATATGCATTTTATAAAACAGTTGCCATTTGTATACGGTTAAGTATATAAAATGACTGAGAACATATTATACAAATTTATAAAAACTTTCCTAAAATAATAACCAATATTTCTAAAATATGCAGTTTTTATATTTTAATTTAAAAGAAAAACTTTAGGTGGCAACTCTAAATGCGTAAATACTAACACGGTGAAGGGTTCCATACTATAATCGGAGGCTGGCACTTAGCCGTGATCATATTGCTTGCGTTGATGTGTCTAACTAACGCGTGGGGCAGAGACGGCGCCGGCCCCGGCACCAGGGTCCAACATACCGGACGAGCAGCGTGCACTGGCCACCTTGCAGCAAAAGGCCATAGAATCGTTCGTCAGGAGGAACAGCTATGGAGACATTTGTAAGTATTTAATACTTATAATAGGAACCAAGCCCATATATATTTAGAACACAACAGTTCTTTTATAATACTATATACTGTAACTTTAAAATAATATTACAGGTGGTACATATATTTTCAGTTTGATTCGCGTAAGGGCAAACTGTTAATCGTAGTGATTATTTACTCATAATCATAGAATGGATTGAGTTTATCTGGAGAACCATACATTTATATTCCAAAATTAGATATTTTTATTTTAATACAAATAAATAATGTGGTGGTTAAATATAAGAAAAATCAATTCGGTTGCCTGTGTTGTTTTTATCCATGAAGAATAATAGGCAAAGGTCAAACTGTGTATAAAGCCAGCTTCATTTTCTATATAATTACATGTAATATTTTTTGTATAAAATTATACATTCTGATATTAACTATAGTCAAAATGATTATATTATAAAAAATATATATTTTTACTTAATCTATATAAGCAAACTTTTTTTTCAGTGTCCAGTCTTTAATTCCTAACATAATGAAATTGAGCTTCAATTGCATGTTTATGTTGTGATAATGTTACACAAAATACATAACTAAAAATGATTTGGTAACTCCTTAAATTCTAACATATATTTTACTTTTCACGTATCTTAACTATACATTGTATGTACGGGTAGGTCTTCCTTCATTAGGAATAAAATACCAATTTTTACCTTTTTAGCATTATATTTGTAAGGAATATTAGCATAAATTTATTTTTAAGGTTTTGTCCTCATGGGCAAGCGCGCCTCAAATAAAACAAGCAATTTTCATGTGAAATTGTGTAAACTTTTCTTTTTTAGCACTATATCATGCAAATAAGTGATTGATTAGGACCATTACAGATTGTTACGTATATTAAGTTATGGTTAATTCTCATAAGATTTCGCATGTTACAAAACGTAGCGTTAATTGCTTTGTGCAGTAGATATTATGACTATTATTCTATGTTATAAACAGGTGAGAGAAAGGACCCTCTCAACGCGTTACAAGTGAAGAATGGTGGATCGAAACGCAACGCGTTACTCAAATGGTGTCAACAAAAGACATTCGGTTACAACAATATCGACATCACGAACTTTAGGTGAGTGACATTTTACTACAGTTACAATATAAAAATGTGTTTCCCAACCTTTTTGTGACATAGTACACCTTAGCCTTACTAAGATTCTATATAACTTTGTTTGCTATTTAAATTGCGTAGAAAAAAAAACTAGTGTATGAATTGAGGTCAAAGAAACTACATTTTTTATCGAATGTAAATCAATAAATCCATAATTTTTAGAGATTTGTATTCTGAATAAATTTCATAAATATTCTGAATTGCATCAACCCCGCAGTAGCATTTGCCCGTACACATAAAAGTACACGGAAGACCCATCAACAGTCTCCAAATAACTATTAAAAATACACATATCGTATTAATACAACGGGTGCTGCTTGTAGGGACTATCTGCTCTAATCACTATGACTGATTTCTATTTTTTTCTTTTTGATATTTAATTGAATTAGTGCTAATCGGTGGTTTGTATTCACACACTTAAACTTAAATTGTAAGTAAGAATAAATTATTTAAAAGAGCAACACACAAGTTTCTTGCTTGTTCTTCTTGTGATGAGACAGCATTCCGAATGAGCGGTAGATTAAAAAAATAAAATGTTATGACTATTCAAAAGTGCTTCAATGTAAGTTTATTTGAATAAATGATTTTTCTATTCTATTCTATAGTGTTTTTGTTATTTCACGTTTTGTTAAAATTCAATGCAGCTCTTCGTGGAACGACGGGATGGCGCTGTGCGCGATACTACACTCGTACCTCGGTGAGGGCCGCGTGCCGTACGCATCGCTGTCGCCTCACGACAAGCGAACCAACTTCTCCGTAGCGTTCGCGGCCGCGGAGTCCGTGGGAATACCTACCACTTTGGTTAGTAACTTATCTATTTTATATATGACTAGCTTTGTTATTATTATTATTACTTATTTACATATACATATACATAAATACCGTATAGACTAACATACATTTGAAATAATATTTTAAAACTAATATATTGATCTTGTCTGTGTGGTCAATGCACAAACGACAGCAATCTGCCACGATAGCGCCAATACACCACACCCTTATAGTGACTTTGACCAAATAAAGCAAAAATATTCAATAATCTAACTCCAAAAAGGGAAAGGAAAAAGTTTAATCATTCTTGCTCCAAAAATGTCCATTTTACATACAAACTTTCATTAAGGGTAATATTTTTACAAACTTTAATGGTCTATTTATTTATATTTAATGTGGCCTAAAAAATATTTCAAACCTTCTAGTTTTAAAAATACCACCCTTCCCGACCTGTCAGAAATGTAAACTCTGAGCGGCCGAACTGTAGTCCCGAGCGCCACTTGTTTTAAATGTACACAGAAAGATATTCCATATTATTCTAGAACATTCAAGACATGATCCAGCAAGAGAGGCCCGACTGGCAGCAAGTAATGGCATACGTGACCAGCATCTACAAACACTTCGAAACTTAAATTTATTGACTATCGATAATTGTTTATCGTCTATTCGATTTATACCTATCGAATAATTTATCGACTAAATTCGCTACATCATCGTAGTATATTGAGGTGTAAATTTGAAAAATTGTCAAATAATGTTATAGTTATCTAGACAACATAATACAAATCGGTTATTATGAAATTATATATCCATATATACTATATATAGGCATATACATGAGAACTTCATGAATATAAAGAATCAATAATCTGAAAATCTACCAAATGTACAGAACCTAAAGCATATGAGGTTTAATATTAAAATTATTAAAGAAACCAATATGTATAACACTGAGTCATATACATATTATGAATATTGGTGAGCATTTTATAATAAAATATATGCGTTAAATAAAAAAGATAAGCTCTTTTAAAACAACTTATCTTAAATGCTTCAAGTCTATATAAACTGTGGTTGATACAACAAGATTAGAATTACATTCCTTAAATGGTAGCTTTTAATGCGGATTGTGATATTTTTGGAAATGTAACATAGCCGGCGTTTTGCTATCGGATCTCGGAATTGCCTTTATATGGCCTTCGTAACTAGGTTTTGTGTAGGAAATAAGGTAAACACTGTCACTTTGTTGTTAGTAATACGTGAAAGATATCTGAAATTTTCCATAAAAACCCAAATAAACTTATTTTGTTGTATATATGTTACTTTTACGTTTTACTAGCTGTGCTCGCAGTTTAACCGCGTTAAATTTCAATAAAAAATATAGCCTATATGATATTCTGATGCATAAGCTATATTACTTTAAAGTTTATTATATATATCCATACTCACGAACAAACACGTTATAATATTATTAAGATATCTCTGCGCCCTAAAGTTGGCAGATTTGGCGCAATTCCAAATGTCTCTTATTTTATTAATAATTCACGCTAATTATTAAAAAATACAGAACAGGAAATATTGATATACTTATTATGAACAACAAAGAGTAGTTAACCTTATAGGTGTAGAGTTCCATAAACTACATGACATATTACTTGACATATGGCGTCGGAAATAGTAGTAACTATTCTTTCAGTATAAAGAGTGCTATAAAGATAATATAAATGTAAAATTAATAATTTTCTGTAATCCTCTGAGACCCCCGAATGATAAAAGAATTCTTATAAATTGCAACTAAGAAACGCCTTCATCACGTCAGCTATCAATTAAAAAAACGCATCATAATCGGTTTTGTGTAATTTCTTTTGACGCTATGTCACAAACAAGCACAGACACATAAAACTTATAACGATCCTTTTTACATCGGGGTTTCAAAATTATAACGAATGAAGTAACTACAGATTATGTAAGGATTCTTAAAAGTAAAAAAAAAAATATAGTTTATGGAACACTATGTTTAAAACGTCTTTCCATTATTTAAAGACTGATACGATTTGTAGTGTCGCATGTACGTGAAGATGATGGTACATGAGACGGAGCTTGAGTATAATGAAATATAATTATTAAAAACATCTAGGTGTAGGTAAAAATAAAATTGTAATTTTGACAATTTTTAACGTCGACTCCTGCTGTTGTACTCATGTTTTATCATCTTCATTATTTTCTGTCTGAATGTATGTGTATGTAAACTAGTTTGTTACTCATTTGTATTCAACTATGCCACTGTTTGCCACCATCGTGGTATAAAAAAAATGTCTATTTAATTTTACTTATTTACAGAGACAACTATTTGTATTATAAATCGTTCATCGTACAAAAAACGTCCAGATTATTTTTTGATATAAAAATACAATATTTCCGTCCTCATAGACATAGTAACTATGTTTACATCCAATTTCATTAAAATTTGCTCAGCAGTATAGTTATGCTGAGGTAGCATACAGACAGATATTCACATTTATTATATTAGTATGTATTATTACACTGACAGAATCCGTGATAAATAAATAAATATCTCTGGACAATTAACACAGCTTGTGTTATGGGTACTAGACAAACTGATATAAATACTTAGATACTTTTTTTTGTAAATACATGCATAATATACTTAGCAAACACCCAGACCAATACAAACAGTCATAGTCATGAATACAAATGTTTGCACCGTGCGAGGAGTTGAACTTGCGACCATCGGAAGTAAAGCGGTGTGCTAAAACGCTGGACCACCAAGGCCGTCAAATATATATTACATACATTATATTATAGACAGAAAATACGTACGTGCAACTAAGTGATTGGATTATAATGCCTTATAGGAGTGATTCTAGGCCTTGATTTGTGTACGTAATGTTTACTATATCTATATATAAATATAAGTATATACCATATTAATTACTCTGTATCTAGACAGCTAAAACTAAGCACTTTGTAATCTAATATAAAGTATAATTTTGTGTACTCGCAGAATTGTGAAATATATTTTTCTAATACTCGAACTTGTTCTTTGAACCAAAAAATTACGATGAGAACTAGTTAGAGCAAAAGTATTCTACGCTTAATATATTTACTTATATTAGTAGTTTTACTATCGCACGTTTATGCATATTCTTGACGATGTATATGGTACAGCTTAAGTATGCTATTCCGGCCTTTCTTATATACTAATTCTGACGTAAAGTCTAATCATAAAGCTAGGTCACCGTTTCATTATGAACACCATTAATTATGTGAACTGTTGTATGCTTATAATATAACGCATTAAATCGTTAAATTGTGAATTGTCTATGGACACAGATAATCTACTGCCAATACTGACTAATCAGGGACGGATAATAATTTCACGAGCGTCAAATTCAGACAGATTGTAAACACCTTGGTAAGAATACGTTTTAAATATAGTTAGACTTAACACGTAAATAAGTGTATTTACTAGATCAATAAAGGTAGCCCGTGACCTCTAGTCGGAACCTCGAGAGGGGTCTTTATATATATCATAAAATTATTTGTGTTAAGAACCGATTGTATTAATAAAGTGTATTAAAAACAAAAGTTTCAAAATAACTAAGAATACGTTTATTCACAATTTGACAGTTTCAAATGGATAAATTACGAACCATCAAAAATTAAAATATAGCTGAGTTCACAATTCACAATCTCCCGAGATTATTGTAATCTAACGGTGTTTATAATTATATGTTGTGATATATTTATATATCTTGCTATTATATACGTCAATGTATTTTCTAATCTGCAGCATTTTTACATTAGTAATGTGATATTGTGATATACAGTCTTTCTATTTTTAATATTTAAACAGAGCATGTTCGAGCATGTTCATATTTAGCTGATTAATGGCAGTGTATGTAGTTTTGTATTCTGAATTATTTATAATATGAAATTATTGTTTATTGTGATTTATAAACAATTTTCACATGTATTTGTTATGTGCATGTTAAACTTTCGCCCCATGTTAATCAAGTGTTGTGTATTCAATTTATGATAATATTATATTCCCCTAACTCACACATATTATTATAATACTATACACTATATATACTGCAGTTGTAATTGCTACTAATTTGTTTTCATGAGGTCTTTCTATTTGTTTCAATTTTACAAAGAGGCAATGATTTTGGTTTTGAACAATTGAAGCTGTGTATTAATTATAGTTATTGTCTATTTTGAGAGAATGTATTTTTGTAAATATAGCTTAAATAAAGTTCCTGGTTTAATTATTTGTGCGACTTTTATTTTAAAATCTTTCATTTATATCATTCGAATTAATTGTATTGGGACTTTTCCTCATGCCCTTATGCGTTACTACTATATCTTAGATCGGAAGGTCGAAAACACCTTCGTGAAGTTTTAATTTTTATTTAAAAGCTTTAAATAAAAATTAAAAATTCACGAAGGTTTTTCACAATTACATGGATTACATTAATTTATCATTTTACTTCAATTATTCACTAACTTCTAATTCCATGGTAGTATTCCTTTGTATGGTGACGCAGTAAGAATACATTATATCATCCTTGTATACAGTATAACTCCTTTTCAAACCATATAAATATATATATATAATAAAAGTTATATACACAGGCTATAAAGCTGGTACTAAAACTCCAAGCTGAGAAAAAATCGCTAAATAATGCCTTATTTCAGTATTGCCTAATAATTTTCAGCTACAAATAATTCTAGTCTCTTAAGGTTGAATAGCACTAGTATAAAGTCTATGACTAGAGTGGTTACTAGGGCTATCCTCCTTGTTTATTGTCACTCTAAAAAAAACTGAAAAATCATATATGTATTTGATAAATTGTAAATAATAGTGTTAAAGTGTTCGTGTCGTGTCGTGTACCTACTCGCCCGATCCCTTCCAGTTTGTGTCGCTATCTGCTTTCGTCTCCACCGCTTACAATATTTGGTAAGCCACTCTAGTTATATTATAATCTACCTGCGAAATCAGGTATAATTTCCAAGGGATCTTTAAAAGAAACAGCTATTATGTAACTTGTAAGCATTTATTTATTATTCGTTAAACTATTGACAATACTTCATACTCTGATATATATGTAGGTATATTTATGTATCCATATGTGTCTGCAGACCACAGGTTTACAAATATTGCCCTATACTATGTAACATTATCTTAACCTAATTGCCAAGCACCTTGCCAATTAATCGAGACTAAATAGTTCTCTTATAACTATGATTAGATACATCTTCTTAGCAATGTCCCAATGATGTCGGGTTGGCTCTCCTAATTTTGCGGAGCCAGGACAATTTGTTCTGGATTGCCGGGTCAGACAATTTTTAAGTTTACTCATGCTGGTCCACCAGATGACAGGAGGTAGTTAGTCCTCTACATCCACTACGTGCGGTAGTCTTAATGTTTTTTGACCACATAATCCTTGACACTTCGCTTTACATGCCCATACCATATGAGGCTTTCGATAACTTTGTTCGTTATTGAGGCCAATTTGTAAGAGTAGACACAAAAATAAAATGATTTATTTCCACCTTTAGCACATATACAATACAACAAAATATTAATACAGATTTTTTTTAAATTATAAATTGGTTCGTACAAATTTTGAAAAATAATATGTTATTTCAAAAAGTGGTAGTGTTTCCCAACCTTTTTAGTGCCATGAATTTTTATTCATTCATTTATTCTTCTTAATACGTCCTCTATTATTATTTGTTGTGGTTTTATGTACTGTTACATATATAAGTATTATTTTCAAAATTACATTAGTTATTTACTTGTTATTATAATCTTATCTGTAATTATAATCACACAACAAGATATTACGTGTACTGTATTATCATATAAGAATAAATTGTATTACACACAAAATACAAGATCTCGAAATCATTCCGAACTGACGGTCATATCATAAGAGTCATTTTAAAGATATTTTGAATTTGAATTTGAATTACTTCAGCATTTTGTAGGCTTAACTCTTAACAATAATTTGAAACTAAACCTACTCTAGTAACATCAAAAACCCGAAACTGACTTCCACTCGGGAGATGAACCTACATACTATCAAGGGTACCTTTAATGTTCAGTAGACCCCCATACATATTACAACATTCGTTGTTATACCTATCTATACTCTACTTCTATAACTCTAGTGCTCCGGCTTATTGGTAACGTCATTTCATGATAATAATACTTTGTATAAATAAGTTTCTTAAAATCTTATATATAGTCATAAATAATTAGAACTCGAGTACTCCTGGTAAATATTTGTCTATGAGCGATTCATAGTAAGGCCACAGTGCCGCGACGTCCGGAATAGCAGCGCTTTTAGTGTATAGGTCATATCGACTGAAATAAACAACAAATGCATTATTATTTAATTATTTTCTTATTATCGTCTGTACATACGATACGAAATTAAGGAACAATATATCACTGGTGGGAAGCGCCCTGGATCATTTGGTAGGTCTCGCCAACTGTTTTACCACAGATAACATAATATTGTTTTACTCTGCACACGACTCCACGTAACCATAGGTGAATGGAGTAATGGCCAAATCATGATAGTTACATTATACTAGTGGTATTTCTGGTTATGGCACCTTACGTATGTTTACGGTTTGTTACTTATATTAGGTACAAGTCGTAAATTGACTTTTTATATTATTATAATAATGCTATGGGAGGTAAAGTTTGTAAGTTTGGATGTTCGGAGTAAACTCTGATACCTACTACTGATCTGATTTTATATCTGATCTGAAAATTCTATTAATATTGAATAGCTCATTTATTGAGGAAGCCTATAAGCTATATAACATCACGCTACGATCAATAGAAGCGAGGCTAGTATAAAAAATGTTGCCAAAACGGGGAAATGTAACGGTGACTAAGTTGCTCGGATCATATAGTCTCAATATATAAACTCAAAGGCGACTGACGTAGTGATCTATCAAAGCACAGCCCAAACCACTGAACGGATCGGGCTGAAATTTGGCACGCAGGTAGATGTTATGACGTAAGCATCCGCTAAGAAAGGATTTTGATTAATTCCACCCCAAAGTGATAAAATAGGGGATGAAAGTTTATATGAAACTTTGTCAATTAAACCGATCGAACTGAGACTTTGCATGCATAAAGCTACTATGATGTAGGCATCTCCTAAGAAAGGATTTTGATAAATTCAACCCCTAACGGGATAAATTAAGCGAGGCAAAAGCTAGTAATCAATAAAAAGTAAACTACACATTAATACTTATTTATTTTCTTATTATCATCATGTTAATGTATATTTTAATAAAACATTTGCCATCATCATGTAAAATTGATGGATTGACTTAATGATTCAAATTACGGATTTGATACGGATACGGATCTAATATGGATTGAATAGAATACTTACTTGAATTTCAGGACGCTTTCTCTAATCTTCTCGTCTCCATCTTGGAGTAAATGTTTATAATCACCACCCGCATGCCAAGGATAGAACGAATGATATCTGAAATTGATACAATCTAATTTGTCACAGTGGAAGTTGGTAAGTATGGATAATTTTTTATAACTTTTTTCAGTCAAAACTATACGACGTAGGTATGCAAATTAAATAATTCAGTGCATATTTAAATCATATGCTAGATTATCACATAAGACTCAGTACAATACTGGATTAATTCAAAAATTTCAAACATTGAATAAATCTCTTTAATTCTTTAACTTTAAAGTCTAATTTCAGCAATTTGAAACTTTTGAACCTAGGTGTTATAAGATATACTAAAACTTTTTATTAAAATACACGTGAGCAGCGCTTATTTCATTTAGTACCTAATATATACTACGTAGATAATAGAGAGCTTCATAGTCTAGTAGTTTATTACTCTGAACTGCGTCTAAAAGTTCTTAAGTTTAAATCTGGAACACAAAATTTCTGATAGTCTCTCCGGTGTAGGATATACCGATATCGAACTAAAATAAAATAATCCGATAGATGATAGGCTCTTCTAGACCCATGCCACCTTGGATTCAAATATACCCAACGAAATGTTTCGGTGTTTTGTATTTAGTAGCTGTAATCACTCAATATCTAATATTATTTTTTAATATTGCATTTTCATGTTTATCTATTTAATTCTGTATATAGATAAACTTTAAAAGTACAATTTCTTATGTAACTGAAATAATCCAGAAGCAAATGACCCACCTAACGGAAAGTGTTAACCGTCGTCAACAGAAATGAACGTGACCATGGTATTACATTCAAGGCAATTGTAGAAAGATGTTATATGAAAAGTGGTAACTTTCCATCAAGTGGGGGCCATTTTGTTTGCCGTTGCAGTACCATAAAATAGAGGCTTTAAGAGAGTACAAATAACCTGATCATGTAGAAGGCCTCTTTGGGTAACTTGGCCTTGTTGTGTATTAAAAATCTGTAGAGGTACTCGTCATGTCCCCATGATATCATCAAATTCTCCAGTCCGCAGTTCGGAGTGTACATCCCGTATTCAGTACTAAAAAGAAAAAGAAAATTGTTTATTAGGTACATAGCAATTATAAATTTAATTTTTAAATTTTAAGTTACATTATATAGGTTTATATTAATTTCATAGTACCAAATAGGTCTCGGCTCAGCATATGTCGGACGCGGTGCCACGACGCTGGTATTCTGCGGATACCTTCATAGATATATTAAATATAATAAAATAATAATACACATACATACATAGATCTAGGCGGATAACACAGAGTAAACATTTACGACATACTACCATATATAAATAACATAAATATAAATATCAAACATAAATATCACAGTACTGAAACATAAACATTAAATTAACTGTATTCTTTTTCTTCATTATTACCTACTATATTTCATTCAACTTATGGGATGGTGATTATTTGCAAAATATCAAATTTAGAAAAAACGGCGTAGTATAAAATGTTATTTAGTAATACACTGTATTAAGAATCGAATAGAATAGAAAATCATTTATAAACTTATATTGAAGCACTTTTGAATAGTCATTATCTACATTTTTTTAATCTTCCGCTCATTCGGATCATATACATACCGCTCATAAGAAGACGTATATTAGGAAAAATCACGGAATTTTACCACGATTTGTTTATTATATCTCATGAATGGTCAGGGGGCCATCGAAATACAGAAATATAAAAATTCCAACCCGGAAGACGATGTAATGCCTGGAATCCAATGATGGAATCAATTAAAGAAAAAACGCGATAAGAAAGTGTATTAAGTGTACGTGAAGATACTGTGATTATAGTTTGCCGAGGTGAATATCGAGAGAGTTTCAATAGTAGCAACAAAGACGTGAGAAGGTTCACGAATATGTCTGCCCATAAAAGATATTATTTACCATCTCTACCCGCTGCTCTTCAGTTTACCGGTGAATAACCGGGAGCAGCGTGGCGGTTGTAACATTTATGAATTATCTGGTACTCGATTAAAATAAATAAAACGTGAAAAATACCGTAATTTCTTCTAATTACACCTATAAATAATGACTGCGTCAAATATAAAACTGTATTAAGTTAATAATCTTACAGAAATATGTGTATACTACCCACATTTTTTTTAGATTAACATTAGTCTATGTCCGTTCCATTGCTACAGTGTATTATACATACACGTCAAATACTAATAAGAGTAATGAACAGATAGACCGACAGACATACTATGGATTCTACAATATTCGTAACCTAATAGATAAACACACCTATAATATGGAATAATAATGGAATAGCTAATTTTGCTTGAACGTGTTTTGAGTTACCAGATGCCAGAATAAATCTTTTTGTAACTTGATAACCCAATCTTTAGGGTTAACAAAATTAAATATGATATGTCCATTCAGAATGAACAACGAAGAATTAATGGCAATAATAATATTCATCAAATCATGAAATAAATGTAGGTATACAGACGTAAAATTATCTCTTTTTATGGAATAACAGACAGAGAACACTATTATAATCATTAGAATAAAGGGGGTTTTGTGTTAATCTCTTTAGATAAAGAAACGTAGGTACTTGAACGTGGTTATGTCTGGGTGATTTATCAATGTACAGTCTCAACCACAGGGATTATAAATCGGGTTTGTAAGTAGGTGCTGTTCGTAGCTATAACTATAACATATATATATATTTGATAAAATTTATATGTACATATAAATTTTATCAAATATTTTTTAATTAAATTTAATCATTTCAATCTATTAATGAAATTAGACGAAAGAGATAAGGCCATGAAATTAAAGGACATGGAGGCATCCTGAGGTATCCTTAGTTATCAAGAATGACCACGCATGAAGGATACTACGGGAGACACGTGACATACATATAAAAATATAGACAACGGTTACCACTTACCATCAGGTGGATCGTCAGCTTGTTTACCATACTAGTTGCATAAAAAAGTAACCAAAGTAATAATAAAAAATAATTGCAAGTAGTAATAATAACTAGGATCAATTTACATAGGCCCAAATTAGCAAACACAGCTTGTACTATGTGTACTAAACTGATAGAAATACTTAATTTTTTTATAGTTACACACATAAAATATCACCCAAGAATCCAGACCAGATTATACTCATGAATACAAATGTTTGTATTGTTCGGGAATCGAATCGACAAATCAAAAGTAATGTACCCTGCTAAACCACACATGTGTTATACCACAATCAAATGCGTTACGTAATTAAGCCCAAATGATCTCTTACTTATACTTAGGGTTGTAAGTGTCAGGATTCTCCTTGAAGCTATCGTCACCGTACACAATGTTCTTGCCCCACTTGCAGCCTACCACGAAGGTATCACCGACCACGCACCATTGTGGTTCGTCGTAGAAAGCCATCACCTACACAATCAGTAGACAAAAGAATATGTCAAGTTGTCAACTCTAATGTGTTGTTATTTCTAAGTGTGTCTCTATAACTGCAACAGCCATGTCACCGTTATCTGGATATTAAAATATAAATTACTTTAGGTTCCCACAGATGTCGAATACAGGATGAGAGGCATGACCTCTTAGTCCTTTATAATGGCAACACGTCACAGGTGTCCGTAGTGCTATCGGGTGAGCCGTCAATTTGTTATTCCAATAACTTAAAACATTATCTTGCCCGGACTAAATGAATCTTCTCATATAGGCAATATAAAGTATCGCTCAAAAACGCCATCTATCGAGTCAAATTGTATTTCCAACGCATCCAAGAACCAATAGAAACATACATAAAAAAATTATCCCAATTGGTCTAGCCGTTTAGAAGCTAGGAATAAATAATTAAATTTGGTTCACAATCAATGATAATATAGCGTAATATGTTACGTTATATCATCATTAATATAGCGTAACACATTATGATCAGTATTCTGAATTATAGTAAGAAGTTAGATATTAATTGATAATTAAACTATAAAATAATATGAATCATTCGGAAATACCAATTGTAAAAAGTATAATCAGAATGGTCAAAGTTGTCGCATAATAAATACCAAACAAACCTGACAATGAATTACGCTTTAGAATTTGGTGAGGTTAAGTACCTTTGATCTAATTAAAATTTTCGATAACCTACAAAATCTGCCATTTATTTTGTAATAGAGGTTATCAAAACACTATATTATTGCGAACTTTTTTCGCTAATCGAAAGACGTCACATTTATCTACTAGAGTCTAATAGAGTAATGAGAGAGACAAGCAAATTTTCCAAGACTTCTGAATCTTTGGAACGCGTAAACAACACGACAGGCGTACCATAAATATTATGTTTGCAAATAATCAGTATCATTATTTACAGACGGCCGAACACACAAATAGTGTTTCCTTTCTTTAAACTTATCAAAACATTATATTATTGCGAACTTTTTTCGCTAATCGAAAGACGTCACATTTATCTACTAGTCTAATAGAGTAATGAGAGAGAAGCAAATTTTCCAAGACTTCTGAATCTTTGGAACGCGTAAACAACACGACAGGCGTACCATAAATATTATGTTTGCAAATAATCAGAAATATATTTATTTAACATTTTAATGTAATAAAGAGGAATGATATCATTATTTACAGACGGCCGAACACACAAATAGACATTGACATTTATAATATATTTATGGAAAAAGTAGAAAAAACTTAATAGGTAATATTTCCAAGTATAGAAAACTAAATTCTTAGCAGGTAACATGGGCTGTATTTTATTTTAAAAAAATGTTGTATTGTGTTGAGTTAAATATTTTTTCATTTTTGTAGGACGAAAGTCGCGGTAAACACTCTACCACAATAATTGCACCCTTGTGATGACAGCTTGTTAAACATATTTTATTTATCAACTGTGTTCTTTATAAAGACATATTAATTTGTTTTTGATAAAACGTGCACTTATTTTGAGAATAGGCGCAAATAACTGCAAAATATGATTACTATTTTTAAGGATTTAAATTAAGTTTTTAAGTTAAATTTATTTTATTAACTTACCTTGCCTAAATCGTGGATGAGACCCGTTAAGTGGAACCAGTCATCATCTGGATAGTCTTCTCGGATCTTTTCTGCTGTTTGGAAAGCGTGCACGATGTTCGGTAGGTCAGTGTCGGGATCCGATTCATCTACGAGCTCATTTAATCTGATCAAAGCATCCTTTATTGTTGATTTGAAGTGATTGAACTTCAACCATTTCTCCATTTTACCTGGAATTGTTTAATAATAACAATTTATTTAGAACCCTTATTAACTATATTAAAACCCATATTTAGGGGTAAATTTGTATTTTATGGATTACTATCTCAACATAACATTTACCTGAGGTATAGAGGTAGAAAAAAGGCGTTTACAAGTACGTGGTGAAAATCCTTTTAAAATATGAAATAAAGTATTATCTAGCAGCCAATGTACACTAATTTTATTTAATTTTTTATTTATTTAATTAAAACTAATGAGACCTACATACAGTTTTTACCAGGCCGATGTCATATCTACAGATATTAATGAACACAGTAGATATGTTATCTCAGGCGTCCATAGGTTATGGTAACCATTAACCATCAGATGGGCCGTATGTTTGTTTGCCACCATCGTAGTATAAAAAAGGATATTTAAAAATTTTATATTATTACGTCTTTAGACCTATATTAATTACACTAGAAAACAAGAGAGTTTTAAGATTTTTTCTGCCTATTTGTATGTGCATGGCTAAAAAATTATTGTATAATATTGTATGCAGTTTTTACCGATGTATCTATCTAACTAGAAATCTAACTACAACAAAAATATAGTTTTAATTTTATCGTAGTATAATAGTATGTACACAATAGTAATAAATATAAATAATAGATTCAAGGCCGAGTCGCTTCATTCATATCTAGCTGTGCCCGCGGTTTCACCCGCGTTAACTTTCAACATAAGATGCATAAGCTATATTACTGTAGAGTTTCATCAAAGTCCGTTCAGTAGTTTATGCGTAAAAGAGTAACAAACATCCATACTTAAACTTTCGCGTTTATATATTATATAATATTATCACAGATAATATAATAATTAAGATAATTTGATTTAATATAATTAAATTCCCTACTCTCTTACTTTTAACGAAGTCTACAGTCATATTGGTGTGCATTTCGTAGTAAGTCCTCCTTACACGCTCTCTGATGGGGTCGGTGTTGTCTATGGTATAGTCTCTGAATGCATCTATAGGTTTACCATCGTACACTTGCTCCGGACGCAGCAGAAGCGACGGGTCCAGAAGGGATATATGCGAATCCTGTTAGAAACATTACCAATCTCTTCATTAGGTACATTATCATATATTATGTGGATTAAACAGGGTGTCATCACGTCATCATGATAATTAGCATCCGTCCGTCCGTCTCTAAGACGTCCATATCCATCCATATCCCGTCTGAAAGACGGCACAATGCAAAACTGTATTACAGCTGAAATTACTGAGACAGAAGTACCCACGTAGTGTGGAAAAATCTTCAAAATCCCCTGCCAGAGTGGTGACGAGTTATGTGGGATTCTTAACCAGTAAAAAGACAGAAGTATCCAGACAAAGAAGGACGACTTTGTACATATATCTCGTTACCAAAACATTGAAATATATAAAACACTAGCTGTCCCAGCGACTTCTGCGTGGTATAGTGACTTTACACAAATAAAGAAAAAATATTTAATAATCTAACCCAAAAAGGCCAAAGAAAACACTTTCATAGTTCTTATTTAACATTAAAAAATTACGAATTTCCATACAAATTTTCATTCTCTATAGATATTATTTTAAGGGTAAAATTTTCACAAACTTTAAATGACATATTTTATACATTTAATCAACAGCTTAAAATATTATTAATAAAATAAGTTTCAAGCCTCTAGTCTTAAAAATAATGATACTTCCTTACAACCTTTCATCTCCCCTTTCAATCCCATAGACCCCTTTTTTCGATTTAAAAAGTAGTATATCCTTTCTCAGTGCCTACACTATCTGTGTACTGAATTTCATTTAAATCGGTTCAATAGTTTTGGCGTGAAACCGAGACAGACAGACAGACAAAGACAGAGTTACTTTCGCATCAAGAATTGTTATTAAACTAGAATTACATTAACCAATATTGAAGTATATTTGTATTTTAGAGAGCTCGTATATTACTCACAAGTTCACGACCGTAATTATCTTTAATATGTGTAGGTATACATCATATGTGTGACTAGCTGTTGCTCGCGGCTTCGCTCGGGTTAAGAAGTATTATTATTAATCAGGTATAGTTTTTAGGGATTTACTTTTGTTTCCATTCTTAGGGGATGTCTACGTCATAGTAGCTTTATGCATGCCAAATTACAGCCTGATCTGTCTAGTGGTTTGGGCTGTGCGTTGATAGATCACTGCGTCAGTCATCTTTGAGTTATATATATTTAGATAGGACAAGGATAAAATTACCACAGATAAAATAATAGTCGTATAGGTAATTTTAACATTAATAAAATTAGTATTTTGTTAAAGTTCATTATTTGTCACGATGGTTTCCATAGAGAATCGAGTGAAGTTCAAAATGACATGGTTCTAGCTCTTTTAGCTAAAGCAAACGAATTCTTGGGAATGCTAATTGTTAGCATTAAATAGAGGACATATTAGATTATCACGCTATAACGTGATGTTATATATAACTATAGCCTATCGCTTATAAGCGATGTCAATAGGCTAACAAATATAGATTTTTTAAAGTACCGGGGATTACCCCTAAAATATAATCTCAAACTCGCAAATTTTATCTCTTTATAATATGAGTATAGATATAGTCTTGTTTGTATTTATTATCAACTGCTATATTATACGACGTACTAATACAAATATTTTTTTTATTAAATTGGTCCGACCTAGTATATAGAGAAAGAGGACATCTTCATTGGATACTAAATATGGAGTCCCAACAGCTATAAAACTAATCATAATAATAAACCTGACAATTCACACAGCGCCATCTAGTCCCATGCTATAAGCATTTCTTGTGTTATGGGTATTAGACAACTGATACTGTACTGGTACTGAAAATACTTAAATACTTTTTTCGTAATGTATAGATATTATATTAAAAAACCCCTAAACCAATCAATCATATTCATGAATACAAATGTTTGTATCGTGTAAAGAGTCGAACACGCAACCATCGGAAGTAAAGCGCTGTGCTTAACCGCAAGACTACCGAGGCCGCCAAAAGGTATCGTATCGAACCTATCTATATAATTGTATGTACTTATCTATACATCTATACATATAAATAAAATTGGAGTATCTATTTGTAACATTGAAATAACCGTTTTTTACTACATGCGTAGAATATAAATACGGTACATACACCAAAAAACCGAGTTTTACAATTTTTGTGTGTCTGTCTGTCGGTCTGTTTGTTCCTGTTAATCTCTGAACTGTTTTTGGCAGGTAGCTGATGTAGTAAGGAGTAACTTAGGCTACTTTTATTTAAGAAAAATAAAGTTAAATTCCACGCGGACGAAGTCGCGTGTACAGCTAGTTAACTAATAAATATATAAGTCGTTATGTCATTTAAAGAAACCACTAACATCTATTTATTTACTAATTTAGATAGGTCTGTAAATTCCAATTAGATAATTTCAAATTAACAAATAATAGTCATATTAGCAACTGGACATACCGTGTTTTGACCGCCTCGGTGGTCAAGCGGTTTTAGCACACCGCTGCACTTTCCGCTAGTCGCCGGTACGATTTCTCGCATGGTGTAAACATTTGTGTTCATGAGTATGATTGTTTGTATCGATCTGGGTGTTTTCTATGTATAATATGTATGTATTTACGGAAAAAGTATATCTATGTATTTGTATCAATTATCTAGTAACCAGTAACGCAAGCTTTAGCTAGTTAAACTAGAGTCTGGCGAAATGGAAATGGCGCTGTGGGAATTGTCCTGAGATTATTATTTTTATAATATATAGATTAAGAACTCACCAGTTTTAATTTCATGTTGATCGTGTTGGTCGGCCCTCAGAAAAACACTGAATAAACTCTGTGTTTTTGCATAACATCGTTTTATGCTCAAGATATTAGATAATGACAGGGTCAATTATACGACCAGAGGCTATCTCTTTATACGTTGTTTAGTATTTCATCAAGTACGATAAACTAGAATTCAATATGATTCCGTATTTTAACTCTTCTTCTTTTAATTTGAATGGCTTCCAACAAATAAAGCCGGTGATATGTTTTATTATTTTATTTTGACACAAAACACCAACAATTTTAATTGTTTGATAACAATTGTTAATCAAAAAGTTTGCCGTCTTGGTTCACGACATAACTTGAGACTGACTTAACCGATTTCATTCTTCTCTTCTGTATTATTTTCTAATATTTCGTGGAAAGTTCTTACGGAACGATAAATCAAGAAAATTTCTCAGAAAATTAAAAAAAAATCAGAAATTTCAAAACTTTGGGCGTTTGACAGAGCTATTACTAAAACGAAGTTATTGACTCAACTAGTTTAAAATAATAATAACAGGACAATTCATACAGCGCCATCTAGTACCAAGTTAAGAGTTTGAATTTTGGGTACTAAAATCTGATAGAAATTGTTAAATTGATTTTTTTTGTAAATATACAAATAATATTCATAAGAAATACCCAGACCAATAGTCACGTTTATCATGCAAGAATCGAACCCACGGACATCGGAAGTACGATAAGAGCATAACCGCTAAAACACCAGTAAATAAATATCGATATTAAAATCGGTTGAAAATACATTATTGAATTAGAATAGATAATAGAATTCTACTTCTAGATTGTCAGAAATATAAATAATATTGAATGAAATAAAGTTTGTATAAGCACTTTTAAATAATCATATTTTTTATATTCATATCATCATTCAATCATATTTAAAAAAAATCAAGTAAACTAGGTAACTAATTAGAAAATTTAACATAGTTTTTAAATTTTCTTACAAACAATCCGTGAATAATTTAATATTAGAAATGTAAAAAAACTCAATACTTCGGGTTCAGTTTTATATAGTAGTAGTAGTGTAGTATAAGTATTTCACTTGACTTGTGACTTGGTTGCTACCCACTAACCACCACCACTAACTCTTTAGATATTAAATCATATCATAGTTTATTAATTTGACGGATTGTAAATTTATAATATTGATTCCTATTTTATAATTAAAGAGACATCAAATTAATTAGTACCAGTTGTAAAAGGATCATTAACTAAATGAGTAATTACCAACTTTTTAATAAAAGCTATATTAAAATTTAAGTAATTACATATTTTTATTTATTTATTTAATTCAGGCTATATGGCCTATATTATAAATAACTTATAGACTAACATACATAAGAAATAATAATATATATAAATTCAAATTGTCTCTATGGTCACGGCACTAACGACGGCAATCTGCCACGGTAGCGCCGGTACGCCACACCTAGGCGAGGAGTCCTCCTTCTTGAAGGTGGGCATGTTGGTGGTAACCCGGGCCACGAACGCTTTGAAGCTCGCGTTGTGACTCTATTTCAGCTGCGTCCTCCTCAATGTCAGGTTAGTTTTGGTCCGGATATAGTCAACAACGTCCTTCCTTTTTCCTTGATGGCGTAGTGTAGGCGGGACAGGTACATTGCCGTGGTCAGTGTAGCAGCACGCAATAGAAAGTTGGGCCCAGTCGGTGCTATGTGTATAACATATGCCGCTGTTAAATCCGTCATATCTACTTTTACCATTAGATTATGTGCAATAAAATTATTTAAATAAATAAAACAAATATTTAATCATTTATAATTTATTATGCTTACTTATTATGACATGATTATAATTAAGTACAATTTGAAATTATAGACGTCGTATAGCCATTTTTATACATAGACAAGTCATTTTTCTTCCGTCTATTTCGTTTAGGTACTTTAATAATTAAGTTTCTTTTAATAATTAAAATAATTCTTCGCTGTTACCACTCACAAACGCCAGGTATATACTTATCAATTAGACCTTCGTAGTATGGCCATAGGGCTTCGATGTCCGGCACATTCTCACTCTTTGTGTATAGATCATATTTACTGAAACAAGAAAAAATATATTGTAAAATAGCTATTAAAATTAAACATTGTAAATTATGTTATTATTATTGTTATTGTTCTATAATAAAATATTAAATTGCGTACGAAAACATTATTTCAGACACTTATACAAAATTAATAAAAATACCTACAACGTATTCCAAATTCAAATCAAACGCACAGAGTAGTGCATCACAAATACAGATAAATACGCTAAAATTATCTCCCATCGATACATAAAAATTAATAAACAACATCCAAAATTTTTTACTTGTGCAGAATGCTGACTGCTTGGGACTATGATATATTTCTTATAAATCTTTCTAACATAGTTAACTAACTCACTTTTACGTTTATAATATTAGTAGTAACACAGATAAGATAACATAATACTAAGAAGGATTAAGAAATATAAAGCATGTAGTTATTATTAGTATTTAGTTATTTACTGTATTTCTAAGAAAATGTATATCTATAAAAAAATAATAGATACGTGTACTTACTTAAACTCAAGCACCAACTTGAGCGTCTCCACATCTTTGCTGTTGCTGAGATGACGGTAATCACCACCTGAATGCCACGGGTAGAAAGAGTGGTACCTGTCAGGGGACAATTCAAATTATAATTATGTGTGGAGGGATTGCTAGTTTGTTGCAATGTACTATGTCAGAACGACCTCCGCGCAGTTTCCTTGGTAGATTGCCATTTGCCAAGATGGACTAACTGATTTCATCCTCATTTTATCATCCTCCACTAGTGTCTCGCCAGCGTAAACCGTTAACGCAGAGTGCACCAAACCATTATCATCCATAAAAAAATGTGTAATTAAAATGTTTTATTACGATGTTTCTTTTTCAGAAACTAGAATGATCGACAATATATTGAACTATAGAATTTTAAATTATATTTGACTTTGAATTATATTGAACTAAAACAACGTAACCATCATAAATTTAAACAATTAAAAAAAGATACTGAGTCAAGCGCGATCATTCAAACACACAATGAATTATATTTCATAGGTAACGCAAATTTCATTGTCTATTTATTGACACCAGCAGCGGTTTAGCAAATCAGCTTGATTCGATGGTAGCAGATTCAATTTCTCGCACGATACAAACATTTGTAGTCATGAGTATTGGTTCGGGTGTTTTTATAGCTGACCCGCGAAACTTCGTCTGCATTACACCACTTACTTCACTTATCGTCATATCTCGCCCAATTTACATAATATCTTTTTAATTTATAGCCTATGTGTTATTACTGATGTATACGTTATATTACTGTAAAGTTTTCCATATGTCCGTATCCATACGTATATCCGTATATCCGTCATCCATACTCACATACTTTGCGTTTATAATATTAGTAAGGTTTACAAAACAAAATATATTTTATAACTTCTATCAGTTGTTTAATAATATAATAATATCTATAACATAAGCTCTGCTGGCTGGATTAGATAGTACTGTTGTCCTGAGTTAATATTATTAAAATATAAATATTATACCTGATCATGTACAGTCCACTTAATGGTATCTTAGAATTGTTGTGACGCAGAAACTGGTAAAGGTACTCGTCGTGGCTCCATGACATCAGTAGATTGTCCAGGCCGCAGTGGGGCTCGTATATACCGTATTTTGTGCTAAAAAATACTTTATATTTTATCGAATTAGGTGTGATTTTAAGGAAGAGTTTTCCATTTCATTACTTAATGGAATTAAGAATGCATTACTTCAATTGTTTATTCATTAAATACGCATACCATCAGAAAGGCCATCAGCTTGCTTGCGATTTCAATTACATAAAAACTTATTAATAGATCTTACTTATACTTAGGGTTGTATGTATCAGGATTGTCCTTGAAGCTTTCAGGTCCATAGACTATGGAGTCCGCCCACTGGCAGCCAACAGGGAACGTGTCCCCCACTACACACCATTGGGGTTCGTCATAAAACGCCATCACCTGACAAAGTTAACGTGAAATTATCAGATAAATATGGTTGCGAAAGTGATGTCCTTGGTGGTCTAGCGGTTTAGCACACCGCCTTACTTCCGATGGTCGCGGGTTCGATTCTTCGCACGGCACAAACATTTGTATTCATGAGTATGATTGTTTGTATCGATCTGAGTGTATTTACATTAAAAAATCTAATTATTTATATCAATTGTCTAGTACCCATAATAGGCTCTGCTTACCATGGGACTAGATGGCGCTGCGTTAATTGACTAAAAAAATATAGAATTGCAAAATCACTTCGAATTTATATCGTAAAATGTATCAACCCCCAAAAAACTCCTAACGCCTATACTTACTTACTTAGGCTGAGTGTTGAATAATTAGTTTGTACAAACGATTTTGTTTATGCATTTACTTACAGTACCAACTAATTGAAAAGTTGATTGATGAAATATATTCAAAATTATCTTTATTCCAATAATCTTAACAAAAGTAGGTACTTCTGAATAGCATTTTTTTTATTCTATCACTTATTCCGAATCCAGAATGAGCACAAAATGAGTAAGGACGAAAATTGCCCACTGCTCATTTAATCGAATTACGTGGGATATGATAAGTTTTCAACACAACGTTTATTTTGACCAATGCCTTTAACTAACATTGAAAAGTATAGTTCAATTGAAAATATATCTCACCTTTCCCAAATCATGAATGAGACCAGTTAGGTGGAACCAGTCGTCATCAGGGTGATCCTGTCTGATCCTCTCGGCTGTTTGGAAGGCGTGCACGATGTTCGGCAGGTCAGTGTCGGGGTCGGATTCATCCACGAGCTCATTTAACCTAATCAGGGCATCCTTAATCGTCGATTTAAAGTGATTGAACTTGAGCCATTTTTCTCTCTTTTCTGTTAAGAAATGTGTAGACATTTATCACCATTTCCGTGAGTGGGACGTGGGTACGAATCTAACTTAGACATTGCCCATAGAACAAAGTTTATATTCTGTGTTTTTATGTAATGACATACATGAACAGCATCACAAACCGTTATGCAATCCATGTGGATACCGGAGGAATATAAGATGAGATGCCGTATACTGCAATTTCACTTCCTTCTCTCACCTATCAACACAGCTTACAAAACCGGCAGAAATATATGGGAGGAAACACTTTCTGTAAAATCGATACGATTTTGTAAACAGTCTACTTAGTGACTTTAGTTATATATATACTCGTAGTAATATATTGTTGTATCAATTTAAGATGTTATTTGTTTCTACCCCTGGCATGCGGGTGGATATTATAAATACTTTTTCAAAAACAAAGAAGACAAATCAAGAAGACGTCTTAGAATTTAAGTAAGTTATCAACTCCTTCTCTGTTAAACCAATTGGTTCACTGTTGAAGTGATATTACTATTAGTTTTAGGGTACAATGGAAGCACTTGCATGTACATCGTATGGTTTTTAGTGGGTAAAAATCCCACACACCACCCCATCCGTCCGGCAAAAATCTTTTGAAACTTTACCACACGTTTATAAAAATGGGTCCCTACAATGGTTCTGGCATCTACTTTTGGTTCGTACAAAAGTCCTTAATTTACAAAAAAAATATAAACAAAAATCCTTCCGGTATTTTGAAATTTGATCATTCATTCTATAAATAAATTTTATTATTATGTTAATTTATTTCTTGTATTATGCTATATCAGCTCGTATCTTTACATAGTATAAAGAAACTCGCCGCTGTTATCTGTACGCCTAGGTCTTTTAAATTATGCAACAGATTTTAATGCAGATTTTCAGCAATAGACTGAGTACCTAATTGAAGAGGAAAATTTATGTGTATAATACAAGCATGTTATAGTACAGAAAGGCCAATAATGCATCCGTGCGAAGCTAGTTATTGTAATTCAATTGAAGTAAATCTAAGCTGTGTTTTGATTGGCCCACCAGACGATTTCTTACAAAGGTTACATCAGCAAACTTATTACCAAATTCCTAGATATATTTTTTATTTTTCCATTGCGATCAGCTTTAAACGAAAAATAGTTATAAGATAACAAAATAAGTACCTATTTACAAATTAAATATTTAAAAATATCACTATAAACGAGACCACGTGTTATTCATTGGACGCAGTGACCTGAGCACTTGACCGAGGCACTTCATCAATAATGAATGGACGCAGTGTATGCTAAATACGAAAATAACCCGCTATAGTTATTATTAGTATCATTTATATAAATGGTTATTGTACGAGTAATATTCACGTGATGACAATTTAGGAATCAAACGGGGCGTGATTTGATAAATATAGATTTGTTTTTAAGTCATTTTGATTTGTCGCTGTCTCATAATTTGTAGTTGCAGTCGTTTGAGTTTGTACAAAGACGTCTACATGGGTATTCCTTTTTTTACTCTCTACTCTAATCTAATGCTGTTTGCTGCAGCTGGCCTATACAGTAGTATACAGCTTCACCGGACGATAGGGGGCGAGTGCAGATGGCACTCCAAACCCGGTCCTTTCGTATAGAGCGGCTGAAGGCCAACTCCCGCCTGACGGATGGGTTTTCCTATCTCACCTCTTTCTGCCGCTAACCAGGATGCTTTCTAAGCTGTGTATCAATTCAAAGGGTAATTAAACTCCTGTGATACTACTCATGTGTTGGGGGAAGGAAATTAATAGTAATGTGGGTTGCTGATTCTATTGCTAGCAATGTACCATGTCAGGTCGACCTATACGCGGTTCCCCTTGAAAACCACCGTGTTAAATTCCAGGTTAATATATCATGAAGGGCTAACTGACCTGACCTCATGCTCATCTTATCTTCCTCCACTCGTGCCCCGCCTTTGGTATGACACTTCGACGCGAATGCAACTTACGTTTCACTAAATCAACGGTGACATGTGTGTGCATCAAGTAATAGGTCCTCCTCACGCGTTCCTTAATTGGATCTGAATCGTCGATAGTGTAGTCCCGAAAAGCATCTATTGGCTTGTCGTGAAATACAGGTTCAGGACGAAGAAGCTGCGACGGGTCGATAATGGAAATACCTTTCTGCCAAGCATATACAGAAGATGATTTAATTTTTTTTCCACATAAATACAAATTATAATGGAAAATATTAATTATGATAATCTTTACATCGTATAAAACAAAGTCGCCGCCGCTGTCTGTTCGTTTAAATGTTTTAAATTATGTAACGGATTTTCATGCATTTTGCAGCAGTGTATCTACTGCAAAATACTACAGTGATTCAAGAGAAACATTTATATGCATAATACGCATGTATCATTTTGTTATAGTGTAGAACAAGCTGAGAAAAAGCTAAGCTATGCAGGGATCGGCTGCTGGTAATTAAAATTTTATAGTAAGATAACACCGTTTAATAAATTAATTAACAATGATTTGTTAATTAAATAATGAAACGATGACATCGTAGTATACAATAGGTACACTTCGTTTTCACTCAATATTCCCGCCAAATAGAATAAAATTTTGTTGTAACTATTTTTAACAATGTATCTATACTAGGTTTACGGCATTCCTCGGGTTTTTTTCTTTATTTGTTTTTATTTTAGTTCTTGTTATGCTATTGTAATCTTTTAAAGAGAATAAACAATCTACTTACTATATCAGCAGACGCCATTTTCTCTTGTTTCAACTAACGATCCTTTTAATAACGTATTCAGTAGAACAATAACTTATATGATACCAATTAATTTATTTTATACCTGAGACGCTCCTCATGAGTGCTATCATTTGATAGTATGGTGATAATAGTAATCCTGTAATGCAAACATATACTTAAGTGTGATTGTCATCTAATCATAACAATGCATTGCTGTGTGGTAGAAATTGGTACTACTTACAAGAGCTAGACTGAACGAACTTGGCAGTCGAACTTGGCAGATGAATACACATGTCATGTGACAACTTGACCACTGAGACGTCAAGTAATTTGTTTGTGTTCAGTGCATTTGAAATGTATATATTATAAAGATATAATTGTTAAAAAAGATACAATAACTAATTGGCTAATTGTATTGTAATATGTATATTGTAAAAATATTGGCCGGAGGGAGAGGGCGGCAGAGTGTTAGGGAGGCGGCATTTTTACGAAAACAGTGAAGATCCGGGGCTGTCGCGTGGGTATCTCAGTCTCACATAATTCACCTGCCAAGCAGCTTGCCTTGTAAGCTGTTACGATTGTAGGGTGAAATCATAATATGAGAGACATGACATCTAAGTCCTCCTACATGCATGTGTATCACATGATAACGTGATGGCCGTAGTTCATGTAAATAGGCGACCATTACCGCTTACCATCACGCAGCCGGTCAACTTGTTCACAATTAACATTTTTTACAATTTTTGTCTGTCTCTCTGTTTGCTCCGGCTAATCTCTGAAATGGCTGGACCGATTTTGACGGGACTTTTTTTGGTAGGTAGCTGATGTAATAAGGAGTACCTTAGGCTACTTTTATTTTAGAAAAATAAAATTAAGAACCAAGCAGACGAATTCGCGGGAACAGCTAGTAACATATAAAAAAATATGATAGCACCGAACCTGAACCATGTATGTTAATTATAGTAATGGATGCCTATTAATCAGTTTGGAAACCGATTAGCCTCTCTCGATCCTGAGTCAGATAACGCATAAAATAAAAAAATAATACAATTGGGCCTGTAAGTGGGAAAAGGTTAGTAATGTGGACTGATGATTTCATTGCTATGTCAGGATGATGATGACGCAATGTACCATGTCAGGTTGACCTCCACGCGGTTCCTCCCGGAAACCATTGCGATAAATTCTTGGTGAATTTGTCACGACGGACTAACTGAACTGATCTGATGCTCATCTTATCATCTTCCACTATAACGTTACCGTTAGCGGGGGCCAATATTCCATTTTCATCCATAAAAAAAATTTGGGGCTGTAACCTTATGATGGAAGTGTCCACTCTACAAAAAAATCAAACATGAACCTAGTTTTTAACATGAACACTGACATCAGACATGAACACTGTATCTCCATAGTCGAGCGAATTTGTGAACCCACTGTAAACAGTAAACATCTTCTAGACCCAGCGTAAACAGAGCTTGTATATATCCATACATATTAATCATACATGAGTGAATGTGATAATCCATGACCTTATACATTTAACTTATATATGTAATTATATAATTTTATAAGTATATTTATACATTTGTATGTATATTATTTTTGTGTATTAATCTATTTCATATGTCAATTAAAATTCCCTGTCTAACTATATCTCATCAACGCGATGGTTGACTGGTAGAGAATGCCATCAGGCATGAAATCCGCCATGTATACAATTTTACGTGCAAAATAATAAATACATCCCTTTTCGAAATATATATATAAACAATATAATAAACACAGGACTACACAGAATCATAATCATAAGTACAAAATGTTTGTATCGTGTGAAAATCGAATCGACTATCATACGTCTGTTAAAGTGCTAATTGATGAATCAACAAGACCGTCAAGCAGCATATTTTTTAAACATGTTAAATTGCTTTGTAATATTTTTTCCATATACATACATATATAAGTATGTATATATAAAAAGTAGGTAGGTACATACGTTTCAGAATATTACAAAACATCTTATTTGCAAGTAGATAAGATTAGGAAGCAGTCCCATAAGCTTAGTTTTTACTACGTCTTATTGTTGATATCTATATTATAGAATACAAATGTAACTGGTGGCTGTCTGTACGTGGAAGTTTTATTTATTTATTCTGTTGCAAACAAAAATGTATACATAGTGGATTTAATGCTTGATGGCACTCTCTACCAGTCAACCGTCGCATTGATCAGAGGTAATAAGATGGTGCACTTTAATAATTAATATAACAAATAAGAATAGATCAATACGGTGAATATAGTGCATGAAGGAAGGAAGGAAAATGCAGGAAGTGCATTCCAAAGATTGATGGTGTGAGAGCTTGAGATGAGAAATTAGAGTGATGAGAAGATATATGTGAAAATCTATTATTGGAAGACTTTATTGAACGCACACAAATATAAATATTAGCGGCACCATCAAAGCTATTAAAAACGTAATAGAACTCAAAAAAATATTTTTATACCGTTGTGTGAGCTAAACTCAGAAACGGTTTAGCTGATTTGTGTAAGGTTTTAGTATTACGTTACAGTACAGCGCCATCTAGTCCCAAACTAAGCAACGCTTGTGTTATAATTATTAGACAACTGATATTTATACATTTTTTTTTGTAAACACCAGACTATATATAAGCAGTCATACTCATGAATATAAATGTCTCGTGGGAGGAATGAAATTTATAAACTATTATTGTTTCTAATACCTACTACGGATACCAAGTCGCGGGCTGAGCTTGTTATTGGTAAGTATCTATCTATGTTGGCGGCTGTCACTATTTTGATATTGAAGTAAGTACTTAATATGTCAATATACACATGATAATAGTATTTGTTAAATTGTGGAATTCTTTTAAATAAGATAAATTATCTGCTCAATATATTTAACTACATCCTTTCTAATATTATAAATGCGAAAGTAATTCTCTCTGAGTGTCTGTCTGTCTCTCGCTTTCACGCCAAAACTACTATACCGATTTTAATGAAATTGGGTACACAGATAGTCTAGACCCTGAGAAAGGATATAGGGTACTTTTGAATGCGAAAAAAGGGATGTAAGGGGTTAAAAGGGGAGATGAAAAGTTGTATAGAGGTATCGGCATTATTAAAGCTAGAGGCTTGAAACTTATGTCTTAGACTGTTGTTTAATTATAAAATTAATTTGACGTTATAAATAGAGTCGAAGTTTTTAACAGTTTTACCTTTAAGGGGGTAAAATAAAATAGGGAGTGAAAGTTTTTAGGGAAATTTCCTCATTTTTGATGGTAGAAGGATGAAAGATTTTTCTTTGGCTTTTTGGGTAAGATTATTAAACAATTTTCTTTATTTGGTTAAGGTTGCTATTCCACGCGGACGTAGTCGCGAGCACAGTAATTTTTTTTATAAAATTAGAATGGTAAATAACCTGACGGCCCATCTGACGGTAAGCGGTAACCATCGCTTATATCATAAACATCACTATGTATATCACGTTATCATGTTCCATCCGCATTACTTATGCGTTACCATTCTATAAAAGACTAAGATCATGCCTCTTATCCTGTAATTTTACTGTCTAATTGCACCCTACAATCGAAACATAATATTATAAATGCGAAAGTAACACTATCTGTCTGTTGCAAAGCAAGCTGGTAGGAGACTGAAATAGTCAAGACTGATCTACCCACTCAGACGAATTTTTAGTCTACCTTGAATATAGATATCTACTCTTTTAAAAAAAGCTTTAAAAAATATAGATAAGTCGTGATTTCAAATTTGAACGACTCCAAAATAACTGTGTGTTAATCTATATTTCTGACTTACTCCTAGGTTATGGAAACAACGGTAACACATACGAATGGCAGGTTTGATTGATAGCAAATTTACGTCCCAGCGTTTGGTCATATCAAGTTTACGTTAATCAAATCAAATCAAATGGAAAATCATTTATTCACGTAGGACATTTTAATCGCTTATGAACGTCAAATTTTATGTATTAATATTTTTCCCTACCATCCAGTTTAGTATAGAGATTTAATAGTGAAGAACTGGCAAGAAACTAAACTGAAGTTATTTTTTTTAAAAGCCAATTTGTTTCCCTCGTTTACTTATGTATGTATCTAAATTCTGTGCATGAGCAACTATTATCAGACAATGCTTCTTACGAACCCTTTTTTTTTCAGACTACTATGTCCGAATGACACTCCAAACCTGCGGAAGGACTTATGGAGCGGAAGAAGGCCAACTACCGCCTAACGGATACGACTTTAGTCTGAAGGCACCGCTAGGGGTTCGAACCTCAGCTCAGGCCGTCGTGATTTCGAACCCGTCTGGGTCTGGTATAGTAGCCGTGGCGATATTATTATAACATATGGGTAGTGGTAAACATTATGATTATGAAAACTACTGTACCAAAAATTCTGGCACAGCGGTCGTAACTGTTATAGTAGAGTGACTTTTAATAATATGGATTTATATGACAAAAATGGAATTTAAAGGTTTACGTACCTTTTGTTCAATACCACATTGATTATATTGCCTATTTATAAATATCGTTATATCTTTGAATCTAGGAGATACATTTGTAACAGGCAAACATATAGCTAAAGAAACGGAAGACGACTGAATTAAATTGTAATGAAGAGTACAATTTATTTCAGTCATTCAAAGAGATGTCCTTTCAAGACAATATAACAACGTCATCAGTGTTTGCTCATACTTGTCTACTTATACAGGGTTACTGGTAACTCGACGTATTCCCGTCAGGACGTGATAGAGGAGCTCAAATGCAATAATTTTGACCCTATATACGTCAAGAGTTGATAGTTTTCGACTTGTTTTGAATTTTGAGATTTAAAAAAAATATCCAATTCAGCGTCTTTAGAATATTATTAAAAAATTGGCTTGTTGAATGTCTTTCAACCTAATTCTTATGTGTAGAGGACGTGGTAACAAAATATAATAACTCACAAAATACCCATGAATGCTTAATAAGTAATAGCTACGACTACAAATGATTTTGTTTTGGTAAATCAAACGTTACTTGAGTTTAAGTGCCATGTAGCTTAAAAAAATATGAGTCTAAGCGTACAAATTACAAATAAAACTTTCTTATTAGATGACATCAAGACTTGTTTTTTAATTTATGATAATGGATTAGTGCACTCGCTTGCGCTAACAATATACGCTAGATGAGAAGGGAGTGTAAGAAATGGGGAATAGTAACCAAGATTTTTACAATGTTAAGTCGACCTCCACGCAGTCGCTTCTTGAAACCGTTGATTAATTCCTAGTGAATTCATCACGATGGGTTAACGGCCTAACTTCATCCTCATCCTATCACACTTCACTAGTGATTTGCGTGCGTATACCGTTAGCAGAGGCGGGTGTACCATACCATTACCATCCATTAAAAAAAATATGTAAGCCGGCGGGACACCAGTGGAGATGGTAAGATGACATCAAGGCCAGTTCTGTAAGTCCGTAGTGGCAATTACACCAGTAATTTATTACTATGTTTTCAAGAAGGAACTGCGTAGAGGTCACTCTATTATCTACTCTATCTAGGACGCATTATTTAATTTTGATTAGTTATTTAATATCAAAATTCATATGTGATATCACAAAATTAAATATGGGGTATATTAAATTTCGGAGGAGACATCTTAGATTTTGTGATTTTATACACGAACTTCGTGAGTCGTCCAACCATTTATCAATGTCACAATATTGTCGCCCCCTCCACCCCTCCTAACAGTCATTAATGGAACGCACCTTAGCATAGGAATAGTATATGGGTACCATACACGGGAATAAATGAGTTACACAAATTCTGCTCCAATCTATTATATAATTTTATTTACTTAATACAGCTTTATATACAATTATTCTATATTACTTATTTACATATAAACGTTAAAAATCCCTGATTACAGCACTTGTTCACGGAGTCTTGTCTTTTTTCAGGATCATTTTCAGCCCTGAAATAAAAAAATCAATAGAAACAAGAATAAGATACTTGGGGATTTAGTAAACAACACCCTATTCTCAAACTAAAGGCACACAGATAATTAGAAGCGGTTGAACGAACCGTGCCGATAACTCCCGTTCGATTGGCTCTCAGCCCTTTGCCCTCTGCTGTAATGTAATACAATAGGTACCAATACCAATAGGATAAGTTGTACCAATATCAGTATCATAGGTTGTACTAATACCAATATAATACTTTGTACCAACACTAATATAATAGGTTGTACCAGTAATACAGAAATTACAGGATAAGAGTCATGACCTCTTAGCCCAGTTGCAATGGCAACGCACAAGTGCTATCACGGATGCCACATGTTAATAGGATTCTCGTAGTGTCATTGATGTATATAGGCGACGGTTACCACATACCATCTTTGATATGAATGTAATTGAAGAGCTATCAGTTTCAAGAGGGGGAGGAGAACAACAAGGCACAGTTGCGTCAAGCAAATTAAAGAAAGTTGAAGACGTGTCGTATCAAAATATAAAAAGGATGATAGAAGATTGTGGGAATTAGCTAGAGCTCCACCGACAAGAGCGTGACTCTTAAATTATCAATGAATAAATACAGTGAACATTGCGTAAGAATTATTAATTAAAAAAAACACTGCTCTATACTAAGAAATAAAAAAAAATCAAATTTAATGCAATACCTAATCATTCTTTGTAGATGGAGAACATCCTGAATCGCTGTCACTCGACCATTCTCCTTCACTATACTCTCTTTCCTGTTTCTTATTCTTCACTCTTCTTGGTTCCTGTTCCTCTTCCATGTCATCGGATGAGGATTCTTGCCTTAAACTGTGCTGTATAACATCATCTACTTCTTGGAGCCCTAATTCTTTGGTAGGAGAAGATGTCCTTAATTCCTTGAGAGTATTTGTCAGGTCTATATTAAGAGGTGGGTCTACTTCTATTTCCACTTCACTCCTTCTTTTCCTTCTGCTCTTCGAGGTGCTGCGTTTTTTGTCTTTCTTGCGCTTTTTCTTCTTAGATCTGGAAATAATAGGAATGTTTTATTCTAAAATGAAGATAATGGGTAACAATCAATATGCAGTAATAAGTTTGCGCAATATCGTACAAAGTTTGTACAATGGGTGCTCATGCATTGCGTGTCATTTGCATATAATAAAGCAGTGAATTTTGCTAACTGCGCTCCATTGTAAACCATTTTTAAAGATCAAATATTTATTTAATATGATTTCATCATGATATATACTGGTGGTCTAGCGATTTAGCACACCGCTTTACTTTTGATGGTCGCGGATTGGATTCCTTGCACGGTGCAAAATTTTTATATTCATGAGTATGATTGTTTGTATCAGTCTGGGTGTATTATATGTATATTAGGTATATATTTACAAAAATATATATAATTCTTAATATCAGTTGTCTAGTACCCATAACACAAGCTCTGTTTACCGTGGGACTAGATGGCGCTGTGTTAATTGTTCAGGGTTATTTAGTTATTATATTAATAAATTCATATATTAGGACATAAATACCCCATCAGTTAGTAACTTTTTTTTAACCTTATGTTTGCATATATATAATCATTTTAAATATAGAGTGAATCCTGTGTTATCACTCATGTGTTGTTACTTCAGAGAAATAATGCGTCGTGTCTCCATACCGTGTAAATTCACTGCCATAACTCAACCTTTAACCGATAAACAGCTTACTTAAACAAGCTGATTCGCGGCTGAAATAGGCGAGATTGAGGCAGTTTCCACGCAGAAGACTTTATACAAAGTGGACCTCTGTAAACTATGTAACATCATCTATACATATAAATAAAATTGGAGTGTTTGTTTGTCATATTGAAATAACCGTTTATTACTACATGCATATGAATATAAATACGATACATACATCAACATTTTTTTTTTTTAATTTTTGTCTATCTCTCTGTCTGTCTGTTTGCTCCGGCTAAACTCTGAAATGGCTGAACCAATTTTGACGGACTTTTATTTTAGAAAAAACCTCTAATTAAAATGTTTGTTAAATTCCACACAGACGAAGTCGCAGCTACTTAAATATATAATATTTACCCATCGTAGTCCGATTCCTCGTTCTCGTCCGATGACCTGAAATATAACATTTTGTTAATATAACAATTTATAATTATGTTATATTGCCTACTGTTAGCAATCAGGTATAGATATATATATATATATTATTTAGATTTGATAACTTACTTGTATTTTCTACGTTTGCTTTTCCTGTGAAACCTGTCTGAGCCATCTTCATAACCTATAATAAAAAATAAAATATAATATACAAGCAATACTCGAGTATGATGGATGAGCCAGTCACCACTGCGCTCGACCGTATTTTAGGTACCCCAATGACTCTGCCCACCACGCCGCTTTGGATTTCATTTGCAAATGCAAACTTCAATTGCAAATCTTTTGTGTAAATATTTAAACGGGTATAAATATTTAAACAATATGTTATCCCAACAGCCCAAAAAAAAATTGAGATAAATATAAACAAAATAAAAGAAAAGATACTATTGTACCAGATGGGGTAGTAGTAGGGTAGAAAGCCGTTGTCAATTGTCGAAGTACATAAAAGCGACAGTAGACATGCCTATATTTCAATCGGTATATTTTTGTTTGTTAACGGTGTTTCTATCACCGGAGCGTCAGTCATAACGATAAACAGATTTGAACTAAAGTGTCTCTTTAATATAAAAAATACAATTAAATGTCGCACTCGCCTTGGAATTGATCTGTATGCGTCACGGAATGCAATGGGATAAAAATACACAATTAATTACAAATAGGTCAAGTAATTTGTTGCTAGTAAATCACAAATAATGTTCATGTATGTAATGCTAGCTGTGCCTTGAGGTTTCATGAGCGTAGAAATATAGCCTATGTATTATTTGATGTATAAGCATCATTCATTCAGTCATTCTAAAGTTTCATGAATAATAAATAAGCCTGGACAATTAACACATCGCCATGTAATCCCACGGTAAGCAAAGCTTGTGGGTACTAGACAACTGATACAAATACTTAGATAATTAAGCTAGCTGAGCGATGCAAACAGTCATACTCCTGAATACAGATGTTGGCAACGGTTACGAGTAATCGAACCCGCGACCATCAAAAGTAAAGCGGTGTGATAAACCACTACACCAACGAGGCCGGCGACTATAACAATTCTTCTCTTTATTTTTATTACTTTAAGTAACGTATTAAATTTTCGTGTTTGTTACCAAACTCTTCCGAAACGGCTATAACGGTTTTTATGAAATTTTGCATGTCGGGTAAGTCTGTGAATCGGGCAACATCTATGTTTCATACCCCTCAATGATAAGACTGACCCACCCCCAAATATTTATTTTTTATTACTTTTTTTTATTACAAATTAGTGTTGAAAAATAAATACACTTCACTAACCTATTTTTATAGCGATATTAATTTATATGGCAAAACCTTTGTTGGGTCAGCTAGTAAATAATATCATTTGAGTTCAACTTCAGGTTGTATTATACTTAATAACCTGTTAATAGTCTAGTTAGTACTCTAACTACTTACAAATAGAGTATAGTTTGAAGTAAAACTAGTGTAATACTACCGTATCTGTCTCGATGCCGCCGCTTTTCTCGTCGGCGACGTTTCTCTTCCTCGTCAGCCTTTTTTCTACGTAGTGACTCCAATGTGTCCACCTAAATGATTGTACAAAACAATATATTTATTTTAATTAATTATATTTATAATACTTTATTGCACCAAACTTAATTCTATTCAATTTATTTACTGGAATATGTGTACATAATGGTCTTGTAATTATAATAATACTTTCATACATACATACATTATTTGAAAAAAGTGCTAATCTTTGTTTAGGAACATATAGCATCCATTTATGTCTAAAATGGTACAACAAATTAATTATTATATTAATTAGACATAAAAAATGACAGACTTAAAAGCAACTGTCACTTTTTTCAGACAATCTTAGTACAGGATATTATAGGAGGCATGACATCTTATTCTCCCTGGCAAAAAGTCCGAGGACAGAATAAAAGTCAGACAACGCACCATAGCGCTAGCGAGTGAGGTGGTAGGCAGCGCAGCGGCGGCGGGATCTACACCAACTTTCTTGAGAAACTCGGCCGCTCGCCGTCTCCTCTCTTGTTGCTTCGCTCGTTCCCCTTCTGTTTCGCACTCACCTACAAATATTCAGTCATAATAGTTTAATCTATGTATAATTTATATTTTTTAATATCACTCAACGATGATCTTACAATCTATCTTTATACAAAATAACTCGTATTTTTTTAGAAACTTAAAAATTGAGGTAAAATTTGTTTTTTAAAAATACAATTTAGATTTCGCGCTAAAACGCTACAATAGCAATGGCGTCGCCTACAACGTTAACCTTTCGGAAATACTTAACAAGTGACAACTTACAGTAGAGGTGATATGTTTGTTTATTGGAAGTTTTTGAAGGCAAAATTGATTGCCAATTTTTGGTGGCAATCAAATTATGAGTTAGTGTCATCATGCCTATTACATATAAGAAACCAAATCAATACTAGGCTAGCGAGCCTATCTAATTCTAATTCTGGGCTAGGGAGTGCCCTATTATGTTGGATTCTAATATAACGACTGAATGTTGTGGATATAGCAAACATTGCGTCCAACTCGACGTTGACAACTGATAACTACGCCCATCTCAGATAACAATCGCGAAAATATATTATTATATATAAATATTTAAAAAAATATATTAATAATTATATAAATATATAAAAATTTAAGATTTCGTTTGTTTAAACACTAATTTTGACACTACAAAATATTCTTATAAATGGTTGTACGACAAATAGGCATATACGCGCAAATAAATAGATAAATTATTATTTAACGATTGCTCTAACCATTTGTAAATAAATTGTTAGTAATATGGACTAATGACCCTATATGTTGCATGATCTTATGCTTATCATCCTCCACTGGTGTCAGCATAAACTGTTAGCGCAAAAGAGTGCACCATTCTATAAATAAAAAACTAACCTTTTGTATCTGATAAATCGCCAGTCAAATCAATAAGGTCATCAGAGTTGTCCTCTAGCGAAATAATCTCATTCTCCAATTCCTCTTTAATAACCCTCTGCCTCTTTTTCTCTTTATCAGCCTCTCTTTCTCTTTCCCTTTCCTTCTCTCTCTTTTTTTCTCTGTCTACGCTTCTCCTATCTACTCTCCTATCCTTTACTTCCTCTCTACTTATTGACTTGGAATGGTATTCTTTTTTTCGGTCTTTATCTTTATCTCTATGTTTCTTCTTTTCTCTTCTAGGACTGGACCTCTCCCTTTCTTTATACTTTTCCTCTTTTCTCTCTTCCTTCTTTTCTACTGCAGGTTCAATTTCTTTTACTATCTCTTCAATTTCTTTTGGAGTATTGTTTTCTAATTCAGTTGCCACCAATTTTTCTTCTTCCGTTGGTTCCTTACGTATTTCTTTCATCTCGGGTACTATTATTGGTTCTGGTTTTGGTATTGGTTTTGCGATTTCTATAGGCGCAACTAATTGTACCTCATTATTTTGTGTAGCTTCTATCTTGTAAACAACAGCTGACGGTATTATAACTGGTGGTATTTGAGGAATGGTCTTCGGTACTTCCTTTGGCTCTTCTACTTTGTCATTCTGTTGTTCAGAATCGTCATCTGAACTAGACTCGTAAGGGAGAGCTGGTTTTGGTAAAATAGGATCTGGTTCCTTCAGTTTCTTTATGGAAAACGATACAGGCACTGTTAGAAAAAAAAAATATTTTAAAGTATTATAAGTAAATAATAATAATATTTTAACTTGTATCTAATGTTTGTCCAGAGTGAGTGATAAGACCACCTTTTATACTAGTTTTTTTAATTAATACTTTTTCGAAATGAAAAGTATAAGTAAAATTTAAGTAAAAACCTGGACAATTGCGCTCATCCTATCATACTCCACTGATTCTAGGTGCCATTAGTGCAGGCTGGTGCACCATTCTTTTACCATCAGAAAAAATATACATATAAATACATACCAGAAGACTTTTTCTGTTTCCTCTCCCTGCCTTTGCCATTCACATCAACCCCTCTTTTTGACTGCATCAGTCTTTTGTAATAGGGGTGATACACATTGTCAGGGTCGAGAAAAGTGAACCTTGGATCGTTTTTAGCGCGGACTATCTCGGCAAACTCGTCGCCATTTCGTGCGACATACGCCGCCATTTTGTCGATCACCGAGTGCACGTCCTCAGGAGGTTGTACTACAGGAGGTTCCCTACTATCAGTTGAGGAAGTGTCATCAAAATCTGTAAAATATAGTATTTATATATAATAATAATCTTATATAAAAAATGAATATTTTTAAGCAAACCAGACGACTCACCAAATGCGTAATAGCTTTATGCGCGATGTTAATACTACGATGAGTATTAAAACCTTTTGTTGTAGAAATGCCTTTTTAACTTAGAGATCTAAGTTCAAATTCGGTTGAAGCTACCTTGATTACACTTACCAGACACGTCGCTGTCGCTGTCAGTATCATAGTTCTTCATAAGACTGAGTCCGGTGGACTTTAGCGGCGCCGTTGTCTCTCTCTTCGGTTTAGATGGCGCATACTCAGCCATGTACTGCTGGTAGTACGCCGCGTACTGATCTTGAGGTGTTTGAGGAGTTCCAGCTACTAATGATGGCGCTGTTATAATAACCAATTAATTAAATTTATATATAATTCTGTAACAACTTCAAAAAGCATAAAATCCTAGTTGTATTTGAAATTGAAAATGCTAAACAAATATTGTAATTAAGGTTTTTATTATGTTTAAAGACTATAATTGTAGGCACTCTCTGAAAAAATAACTTGACAATACATCGAGCTACCGCATATGACTGTATGTGTGTTTATTTTATATAATCTAGTGATAATAGATACCAATAATGAAAAACCTTTATATTTATTATTTATACAGGTTAGAATAAATCAGTAATTATTTAATCTGTTAGTTTTTATATCATATTTTTTAAAATATATATTAATTATACAGTTTCATACATGTTTATTATTTTAATAAATCTTTATTATATATAAAATATACATGTCACTGAACTGATTTCAAATTCGATTTGCACATTGTGTGTAAATCAAATTTGATCAAATTGATCCAACTTGAAAGATAGGATAGCTTACATCTCAATTTATAGTCGCAATATTATTTAACCTTAGCCACAGGAACGCGTGGCTGGGTCTGCTAGTTATATATATTGTTTTCTAGTTAGCAAGAACCTAAGATTAGGTGTAGGCCTCTTTAAAAGATGTCCATTCAGTAGGCTAAACTATTATTATCCAGTACGCAGACCTTCAGTTTTTATTTACATATTTCTAATATAAACATAAATTTCACTTTGTTAATATATACATAAATGCACCGTCACGTCTACATATCTAATTTGTCACGATTAGAATTTCATCATTTGTTCACGCAGTTTAAAACCGTTTGTAACATTAAAATATACTTACCACGATGATTGACATCTTCAACCTTATTATACATGACGGGGGCGCGAGATATCTCCGCATTACATCTCGGCGGTAAAGGTTCCGTTCCTGGGGGCGCCACTTCCCCTGGCGCCAACTCCGGCGTGTAAGCCTCGTCCATGGTCGCCTCTCCCCGCATTTTCGATATAAGCATGGTGTAATCACAGTCTGCTGACGGTTTGTAGTGTATACTAGGTATTGATGGTGCCTGTAATTACAATTAATATGTGAAGCAAAAACGTTGCAGTCATTTTTTTTATTTAACCGATGGAGAAGTAAGTAATACACACTATATTCTCTATATTCACACACATAGTTTACTAATAATTAATAATTTGCGGGGTCAGCTAGACCCCGCATGTTTTCTTTTGCGGGTTCAACAAATTAAAATCGCTATTAAAATGGTGAAAATTTAGGGTTGTATGTATGTTTTAATGTTTTATTTTTAATAAAAAAACAAAAAAAATTTAGGGGTGAACAACCCTTATCACTTAGGGGTATAAAAAATAGATAATAAGACCTACTGTATCTGATCATACAATTTCATGAAAATCCGTCAAGCCGTTTTGGAGGGGTATGTTAACTAACATCCTGATGCAATAATTTTATATATAAGAAGATATTAATAAAAACCCAGCCCAATTTATACAGCCCTATTTAGTTTCAAGCTTAGCAGAGCCTATGTTATTGATAGACAACTGATAGAAATACTTAGATAGTTATATAAGACTCGTTTGTTACACTGTTTCATGCCTTAATGGTGTAACCAATCATAATACTATTTGGCACATATTATTTGGGATGAGATAACATATGACTGCCAAACATGGGATTGCACAACAAAAAATTTGAGTATAATAAAGGTATGTCAAAATAACATGGAACGAAGTATTCTAAACATCAAACTTAGAGACAAAATCAAACTCACTAATATAAGAGAAAAAACTGACAGATGCAGTCAAAACCATTAAGAAACTAAAATGGAAGTGGACAGGACATGCAATAAGAAGTAAGAAAGAGAAATGGACTAAGGATGTTATAGATTGGTATCCAAGAGAACAAAAAAGAAAAAAGGAAGACAGAAAAAGAGGTGGGAGGGTGATATAAGGGCAGTGGCGGGACCAACATGGAGAAGGAAGGTATTGGACAAAGGAGCCTGGAGTCTTTTGGAGGAGGCCTATGTCTTGGGACAAGCTGATGATTGTTAGCACAAAGGCTATAAATAAAATAAATAAAATAAAAAAATTTGGGATGAGAAGTCACAGCACAGGACAGAAGCAGTTAAATAAGGTATAGGCAGGACATTTACTCACGGATTCAATAACCGTTGATGCTAAGCTGGGATGTAAATACTCTTCAGGTTCGTGAGGCTTTTCTGTAACAATAAATTGAAAATAATATATACAGCTGAATTTAGATCATCCTTAATATTTTTATGGCTATAGCTTATTGATAAAAAAATGTAGTAGATTAACCAACTGTTAGACTAGTTTCTTTGTCGACTTACTCTCCTTTTTTCTGCTGGTCCTAGCCATTTTGTTAATTGATAAATCACCAATTAACCAAATCCATAATGGATTGAATGGAATGATATATAACTCACCTTCAATAACTTCCACTTTCTTCTCCGGCCATTTCCCTGCTTTAACCAAAGCTATCAATGCAGTATAATAGGGATGCAGTACAGAATCCTTGTTGAGGAATTGGAACTGTGGATTGTCACCCTGTTTTGTCTTGATGAGTATTTCCATCTGGACTCCTTGGAGAGCAATGAAGTTAGCAGTCTTCTCAATTATGGCATTTTGTTTCAAGGAGTCAGGCTGTAAAATTACATTTAATTCTATAACCAGTATGGTAAACGAGCTGACTGCTTGCTTGATGATAAGTGGTTGTGTGTTGTGGTAGGTGGTTGGTAAAACACCTACATAATGTGATAGAAACTTGTAACTATTCTGATAAAAGACTGTCCAAATTTCAAACATGACAATGCCGGCAGTGGACTGTTCAAAATCCAGGTTTTGAAGAAATATGTCAAAATATAAGTCTGTATATTGATTACGTTTTTTACAGTTCTCAAAAATTTTTAAACCACTAGGTCCACATAACCTATTGTTATTTTTTATATGTGGAAGATCATCAGTTTCACAATAGATTTGTGAAACTGATGATCTTTCTTCACTTAAGCATGCCTGTTCCACAATTCCTGTTCTTTTTAGCCAGAAGGTCTGCATACCTCAGTCTCACCTATTTCAGCTGCCAAGCAGCTTGCTAAGGTTACTTCCAATTATAGGTGCCATTAGCCAGTGAAATTACACATTGAGGGGAAGAGGCATCACATCTTAGTCCATCATGGGTGTCATATGATAATGTGATAGCCATGATTGTTCTTCTGTTCATGTACGACATGTGGCAACAGTTGCCACTTACCATCAAGTAGGCCATAAGCTTGTTAGGAATTCCAATTTTAAAAACAACATTGTTTTATGACCTTAGTCTAAGAACACTGGTAGGAAAGTAAATCTCAATTCAAGCCGTAGTAATTTAATTCCACATTGCATTGAAATAGAGGGACAAAATTTATATCTATATGCTTTCTTTACTTACCAACACTACATCTACTGGTAATAGTGCTTGGAAAGAAGGTGTCGGCAGGAACGGTTCGTCGACCTCAGTTGGCTGCGATACCTGCGCCGGCTCCGAGGGAGTATCATAGTTGAATCCAACTTGTCCATAACCAGCTGCATGGAGACGCTTCAGCTCCTCTTCTGTTGAGAACATATCACACATGACTACAACATCTAATCCCAAAATAAGCAGGGCGGATGGTGGATTGTTATTAATGGGAACTAATGTCTTGTTTGTCAGACCATCACAATATCATCAATAATAAATTTGTAAAAAGAAACACTTACAGCTCATTAATTAAATTACAAGATGTGTGGCCTGAGGCAGGAAATTCAATATTGAAGAATTGAAACTGTTTTTTATTGACGGCCTCAGTGGTCTAGCTGTTTAACATACCGCTTTACTTCCGATACATAACACAAGCTCTGCTTACTATGGGACTAGAACGTGCCATGTTATTTGTCTAGGGGTTAATTATTTATTTACCTTTGTACATTTCCTCTTCATCCTCATCTGTGTGCAGAGCTCTGTATCTTTCTTCATCGCACAGCTGTTCAACTTCCAACTCGTTCCTTGTGAGCTCTATGCGCCAATCATACCCACCAGGGGGAGCCTCCAGAGACGACAGCTCATGCAGGGCACCTCTTGCGTCATACCTGTTCACATATATTCAAGTTTGAGAATCAGTGCTTCAATATAAATTTATTATTTTAATTATTTACTTCAACTAAGTTATTTTTATTTTCTAGTGAAAAAGTAGAGTGATCATTGTAAGTTTATTCATGTCTGTTTGTCTGTCTCGCTCATGGCTCTTAAAACTGATGTACGAATTTTGATGTTGCTTTGTTTGAAAGCTGACATAAATGAGATGGTTAGCTAAAATTTATGAAAATCAATTAAGACTAACAACTAGTTTTTTAGGTGGCAAAGACAAGTTTCACATATTTTTAATTTACAGAAATGATTCATTAGTAAGTTCAGTTAAATATCCTGCTTGATAGGTAAAAAATATTGGTTATGGTACAGAAAGCTTTAATAATTTAGGTATAATCACATATTCTTTGTTACTTTTCACCAGTTTAAAAAAAATACTATAATGAAATTATATCATTAATAAACTGATCAATAGAATTGTTAAAAAAAAATTGTCATAATGGAAACATTGTTGCTATGCACAATGCAAAAAATCTAGACATATTTCCAGACACAAAATGCGGAATATTCAAGGATACCGTTCCAAATTATACATACCACCGAAGTTCATCACCATAACATAAAGCGCGTCGCAAGCGCCACGCACAAGAAGTCCATCCCCGGTGCTGCTTCAAACATCCTCTGCGAAAATCTTAAATATCTTCCAAAAATTTAGTATTTCCTGGCCGTTTACTTTATTTTAATTATTTTTAGCGCCACAGTTAGCAGTCTTATAGTAAAAAACAGTTCGAACCTGTCGATTTTCAACGTTTCATCCCCCATCCACGGAATGAGGTGTTTTCCTTGATCAATGTGCAGTGCTTTTTCGTTGTCCCTGAATAATTTGCATGAGTAGCCGAACACAAATAGGTCTTCTTTCTTCTCCTTAAACTCACTTTTACGTAAAATACCCGATTCACTGTGATTTCCAGTCCATTTTACCGACATTTTGATATCAAAGTTTGGTAAAAATTTAAATTAAAAATATCAATAAAGCTAAAACGCTATAACGTAGTATAATTCATTTCAATTTGATTGCTATTGACTGACAGTGACTGACAGTCGTGCATGGCCGAACATGACAGTATTTGACAATATTGGTTGCGTTTAGAAACTACTTATTAGTTTGATTTTGTTCTTTTTCTTTTATTATATAAGAAGCAGCATTTTAATTATAATTAATGTTGTTCCCGTTAATCGAAGTAATAAGATCTATTATTTAAATACATATAGTAATTCTTTATTACATATCTATTAAGTTGATTAAATTTATTAAAAGTAAAATTTATATTTACTTTAGGATAAATAGTTTATTTAATTTTGTTATTCATTTACAAAGCTCTTATTCTCATTTTTAAGCATTATTTAATTGCGATAATATGAAGTAGAAAAGAATACTAATACCTGCAATGTAATATAAATTAGCACAAAGAACGCCGTTTTCCAATAAAAAAAGGAATGAAATGGCAACTGAATATAACCCAACCAAAGTCAGAACCTTAATGTGTAAAATGATTTTGCTCGTCACGTAAAGTTTTCAAGTGTATTCCGAAATCAAGGGTATAATATACGTTCAAAAGGCATATGGCGGACGTTTTATATATTTTTGCATCGAAAACTGATGAATTCTTTTAGTTATGAGTATCTTGTGACCGCTAGAGCGTATTTGTTAAAATTAGATGGTAAACGTTAGTTTTAATGTGTAAATAAATATATTATAATCTAGAGTCTTGTATATATTGATAGTATTTTAGTGCGTGGACGTTTTGATCCGTATTGAAAACGAAAAGTCTGTGATATAAACAATACATAGGTGATAGAATAATTTCCTGTACTATTTGTAAATATTGTAAAGTTATTTTAGAATTCTAACAAAGTTAATATATTGAGAGAAGACTGAAAAAATTGTGTTTGATCTGAGACCTGCTAGCTATGTCAGCTGTGAATTTGTTGTCTTCTTTGAAGGAGAAACCAATCGTCGAAAATCCAAATGATGGCCCCAACGGCGAAGGTGAGTTCATTATGATACATACATTATTCAATAATTATGCTAAATGTCCCAGTTTTCTTAAATCCCAATTTCTTTGGCTATCAAATATTAGAAGCCTCAATGTTTACACTATAAAAATCTTATACAATTCTAATTGAAAGTTGCTAATTAGCGTCCTATTTTTGAACATTATGAATTGCTTACAACTATCCTAAAATACAATGTCATGTTGACTAAGGGATTAATAGATAAATTAGTTTCATTATCAATTGAAACAAGTAGAAATAATTATGTTAATATTGAATCAGGTAAGACTTTCTGAATTGGTAATAAAGATGTTATTGTTGTTATTTGTTGTGTAATGTTTAAACCTTAAGGAAACTGTTTTTTTCTAATATGAAGGTATCAAGATTAAGTTATAATGGAGGTAATATGTTGACTATTGTCCTAAAATTCCTAAGTAAATAAAGAAAAAAAGATTATTTTCTTTAAACACACTATGTATAATATAATGTGCACATCTAAAGTGCTTTGTATAAGGAAAGTGTAGTAGTAAGGAAATTTAAATGAATATTGACAAATTATTCAATATTGTAGGATGAGTTGATATATCATTACATAGTATAAAACAAAGTCGCTGTCTGTCCATCCGTATGTATGCTTAAATCTTTAAAACTATGCAACGGATTTTGAAGAGGTTTTTTTTAATAGACAGTATGTATGATGATGAATATTTATATATATAATACATGTACACCTGGGCGAAGCTGGGGCGTGTAGCTAGATAATTACATCTATAATCTGGTATTTCTTGTGTATTAAAGAAATGGTAAAATGGTAGGGTGTATTTTTTTAATGAAATAATTGTGCATGTAATGACATCACTCATCCACCCGTTTTAGCCATTTGGCTAATACTTCTTTATTTCGAATGCCTGTCCCCAATTTTATTTGGTTGGGTTTGGAATTCTTATGACACTACTACTACTTACTACAGGATGGAAAGTGAACAAATTTAAATTAAATTATCACCATATAAGCTATATTTTTAGATTTAACAGATTTATGTTTATCTTTCTTTTTACTATTATTCTCCTTCCAGTAATCTCCACTACCTTCCCATTTAACCTCACAGTCCCAGAATGTCTATCTTTATTCTAATCATTTCCTCTATTACTTCGTCCAGTTTTTCTGAACTCAATAACATCCTTACATTCCAAGTACTTATTTGGCAAGGATTTCGCATGATGACGACCGGTTCAGCTTTGCTTCTGCCCCTGCCGGACTTGGACCACCACGGCATATTACATTGTGGAAGCCCATTGGCAAGAACGTTACTATATTCCACTGACAAGAGCATAGCTCTTAAATTATGAATGAAAATGAATTTCTTTTTACATCATGCAAAGCTGGGATGGTAGCTAGTAAAAATATATACATTGATAAAACTTATATACATGTACACACACACCTCATTTTACCTATATTTCACATTCTCATCCAATCTCCATATATACATTTCACTAATCTGTCACCTCAATATTATAACAGCTTAGCAACTTATAACTTATGCTATAATGCATAGCCATAGAGCATTCCTAGATAAATAGGTTATCCAACAATAAATGAATATTCAAAATATGAGGAGTAATACTAGAGATTATCCCTGTACATCCAAAAACTTTAACTCATTATTATTAATACAGATCACATTGAATTTTTTTTTATGAATAATAACCCTGCTCAATTCAGCATCTCGTACCAAGCAACAAGGTAACTGATAGAAATACTTTAAATTTCTTTTGAAATACAACATAATATACTTAGAGAAAACCTTTTTTTTTTTACGAGGGGAAAATCCCTCATGGAGACCCGGCCGTCTCAGGGGTTGGACGGACGGGTACTGTGAGACTCCTACTCACCAAAAACCCCACGAGCTGGCAATCAACCGCGACCCCAGCGGCGGTCGCCCGCAAGCGGGCCCTTCTTAACGCGTGGTGGGAACTCTTCCCAGTTCCCCCGCCTCCGCCTACCGTGGGGAAGACGCACCGGAATACGGGATGCGCCTCCCCCCCATCTCGGCTCCTGTTGTGTGAGCGGCAGACTTGAACCCCTGAGATTGCCGCCCGCTCCGCACGTGTCTCTACAAGAGAAGAGTCATAGCAGGAGCGGGCCATCAACGCGACGCTTAACGGCCTGGACGGGCCCAACCTGGGCCCATTGTCCCAGCCTGCGCCGGCCCCCTTCGCCGGACTATCGGCCGACATAGTAGCAATATCCCGAAGGAACTACTACTATCCCGCCCAGGGCGTACCAGAACCAAACCATTGCTCGGCCACCGTTCCCCGCGGACATATCCACGAGGATGGGGAAGCCTCCCAATGGCAGGAACATACGAGGAGGTTGCCCGACTCACGCACCACTTGGAGAATACCTAAACAAACACAAACATTAATACTTATGAATACAAATTTTTGCATCTAGCTAGGAATCAAATCTGTGATCATCAGAGGTAAGGTGATGTCTAGACCATCGAATCCATCTTTACCAATTCAAATTGATTTTCACACATATTTTCTTGATATGGGTTTATATATATATTTGTATTGATGTATATTTATGTTTTGAATTTGCATCCGAAACTAAGAAATGTATTTCAAATTCCTCTGCTCCATTTCAATGTTGATTGGCCATAAGGGAGTGAGAAAAAAATGTGAGTATTCAATTATGATGCATTGTTGCATTTTTTTTGTTCATAATAGATACATTTTTCAGAGAATGCAAAATTGTTTAGGAGAATAAAATTTAAAAAAATTCTCACCTATAGAAACCTGGCTATCAGTGAGTTACCATGTTTAATTTTATTAAAAAAAATAGTGAATAGCACTGGTTGACTATTTCTAGTTCAATTTAACTTTTGTTTGAAAGCAATGGACAATAAGGACATAACAGACATCAATTGTATTGAACTAAAACAAAACTTAATGGCGTTGGAATAAAGATAGCCTTTATTCCGACGCCATTAAGTTTTAAGAATGAAATACTGTGCATATAGTAGTAATAATAGACCCTAACAAAGGACTTTGTGTTTGAGAGATCAAAATGTGCATTCAGGGATGCAAATACTGTAGGGATTTGAAGGTCAAGGGTGGCTGGCTCCCCTAATGTAGGTACAGTTATTACGTAAAATGTTTCAACTAGATTGCAATTTTTTTTAATGGATTATAATGGAATAGTGTTCTCGAATGTGTAACGGTATACGGGGCACCAGTGGACGATGACGAATTGAGTATGATGGTATGTGGTCAGTTAGCCCATTGTGGTGAATTCAATAGGGTTTAACCACTGGTTTCCAAGGTGGACCGCGTGGAGGACGACCTAACATGCTACACTCAATTGAGGGGAAGGGGATTGTTAGTAATGTGGATTAATGATCCCATTGCTAGCAATATACCATGTCTGGTTGACCTCCACGCGGTTCGCCTTGGAAACCATCGTGATAAATTCCTGGTGAATTTGCCACGATGGGCTAACTGACCTGACCTCATTCTCACCTTATCTTCCACTGGAGCCCTGCCAGCGTAAACCGTTAGCACTACAAACTAAAACTACTACATTTTATGCAATAAAATTTCATTTAATTTCATTACCTTGCTGGTAATGCTACTACCAACAATCGCCTTCCCCCTACTGTACAATATGAACATGAACCATTTAAATTATTTGTTGTACACAATGCCGCAATAGAATATCTTCTAGTTAGCAAGTTTCATGCACCACTATTTTGCTTGGCTTTACTCCAAAACGTACGAAATTAAATACATTTATTGTACAAAAAATATTTACGAGTGCTGACAATATGCGCTCTCTGTATTTGACTCTTTAATTTGGTTATAATTATATGAGGATTATTGTGACATTGTTTCACGAGGTTTTAGTTTAAAAAATATTATATTGTAAATCTTTATGAAAGGGATCGTATTCATCATCAATATTGGGAATCGTTCACGATGAGGTTTACTATCCTGATTTAAACTGATATGTCGCCGGTTCCAATCTGGCCAACACCAAAAATCTTTATGTGTCAAATATGTCTAAGTATTTATATCAATAGGACACGCATAACACAAGCTCCGCTTACCGTAGGACTAGATGGCGCTGTGTTTATTATTCAGGGATATTTATGTATTATGTTTATGGATTGATATGTATACCAAACTCACAAAAATATGAGCACCCTAGCTAAGCCGTTACTTGGTCAACCGTTTTTAGGAAGATAGAATATACTTTATTTGCAGTAGACAGTCGAGAAAGACCCAAATGATATATTAAATTAGACAAATATAATTACAAAAAGGCGGTCTTATTGCTGAAAGCAATGCTGTCTTTAATGCGTAGGATTGCCGTCATCTGTGACCGAACAGACAATTCAATATATAACTTTTATAATATCAATTCATACGTATGTCAGTCTATAAGGTGTATATAATATGGGTCTAGCAGCTGAAATAAATAAAATAATGTTCTATATGGTATATTGTTTTCTACAAAACAATACTTTTCAAGGCCAAACGAATTGTCGTGTTGATATTAAATGCAGTATAAATTAGCATGGTATAATACAGTGGCCACTGTCGTGGCTTCAGTCGTTTGTCACTTGAATAATGTAGAGGGGTTATTAGGGGCCATCATAAATTGCGTCACACGAAATTCATATTTTTTACCCTTCCTCCGTTATGTCACAGTCGGTCACATTTGTCAAAACCCCTTCTCAGTATGACGTTACATATTGTACTGTTGTATATGTGGACTGTAGACTCAACGTCTATGCGGTTCCTTAGGAAAATCATTAGGAATAGAAATAATCTTTATTCAAATAAACTTAAGCACTTTTGAATAGTCACATTTTTTTTATTCTACCGCTCATTCGGAATGAGACGCATCACAAGATGAATGAGCAAGAAAATTGTGCGTTACTCTTTTAAATATTTTGTGATACATATATATACTCTTTTATATACATTGTGATAAATTCCTAGTAAATTTGTCACTGACTATTTGACCTGACCATGTTCATTCTATCGTCCTCCACTAATGACACCACCAGCGTAAACCGTACAGCAAGCTGGTGAACAATCCATCATCATCATTCATTACCATCCATTAAAAAAAAAAGAAATAAAAGTACGTTGTACGTTGTGTAATCTTGGCGAAAACATCGCTCGCATACCCTGCAAATAATCATTATTGAAAATTTTGAATTCCAAATTTTTTATACCGCTACAAACATAATGTTGATTTAACGGTAAAGAATTATTAATAATTTTGGTTATTACTCATTAAAACTACTTAATATGGCAATGTGTTAATACAAACTCCTAAATATTACGAGAGAATGAAAGCCATAATATTTTGTAAATACAATTATATATTATAAGTCAGTCGCAATAATCGTAAACAAAAACAATCGTATACACTGTTTTGTCATTAATATATCTTTACTTAGGACAGCAAAGATTATTGAAATTATCTACAATCAAGTTTTGATACAATTGCGTTATTTATTGTAAATATGCAGGTACACATAAAAAGAGCACGAAAAATAAAATGTATTTTGAGGGTACACTGTATGTTCTGGTAATGGTAGCGGTTACGCCAGCCGACCTTTCAGTTTTTGAGAACACTGCGCGTTATCGTGATCTATAACTTCGCCATCATCGCGATTCAGTGCTACGTAATTTGGACGCTAATCGTTACACGTAAATTCGTGTGGTCTCGACGACAAATTAGTATTAATATTTTTATTTTATTGTATTACTTAGTTTAATTTTAGTTGTTAGTAATTTTACGTTAGGTTATAATATTTGAAGCCGCCATTTTGTTTTGCGTCGCGTATATTGCCGCGATAAATATGGTGAGCAAGGAGGTTTTAGCTGTGGCCGAGGTGAAGAAAAAAGATAGAAGGAGACGTCGTAGGGCGGGAAGTAGGGCCGCAAAAAGACGAGCAAGGAAGGCAGCAACTCATTTGCTATTAGATAAAACGTCTCCTACAAAATGTGCGGTACATGTGTTTCTGTTGCGGTATCAGAGTGCATTGAGAAAAGTGCCCGCGCAGCTCCCGCCGAGGGTTGCGTCTGGACCGCCAAGCAAAAGAGTGAAGCGTGTCTCGTGGCGTAAGTTAATTCTCTTTTCTTAAAATAATTTTTCGCGTCCGCATATCGTACGGTGTATGTGAAAATTGGTTTTAATTAAATGCACTCTAAAGGGGAAAGTTCTGGAAAAGATCAAGTATAGTTATCTGATCAAGTCACTAAACTGAACAAACCGGAACATCCACACTGAATTAAATACAAATATAGATAATATAAAACACATTTTATTAATTATCTTGGATAAGTGGAGATAATAGTAAAAAGGTCATCTATGGAAATCCACACGCTCCGGGGTATGTCAACATGTGCTGCCGGAGTCTTACAGTTTAGAAATCCTAGAGTTCCATTTCTTTACTTTTTGCCAGGGTTACGTGAATACGCTAGCATTCCGCAACAATTTAGGCCTAGTTGATATTAATTTTTTTATTTTATTTAATGTTATAATACATTTTCTTTCGTATGTTAAATGTTCTGTAGTGCATTGGTATTATAATATATAAAAAATTTGCACACCTGTTTACAGGCTGAAAACGTTGGACATAATCTATACAAATAAATAAAATTTAAGATTTCGTTTTTACTTTCAAATTAACATCTTTTCAATAAATACATATAACAGTATATACGAACATTATTTTTTAAAATTAATGTCTCATTGTTCTTGCTAATCTCTGAAACGGCTGGACCTATTTTGACGGCCTTTAATTAAATATTTTTTAAATGTATTTCTTTCGTGTAATTTAATTGGCAGCAATAAATTATTATTATTATTTTTTCTATTCAATTCGCCCGGCGCGACGGTACTGACTTGGTTCCTAGGGGCAACCGCGTGGAGGTCTACCATTATGTTTTTACACCACCGGGGGGGGAATTGTTGGTAATGGTGATGAGCGTAGGCAGGTGGGGTGCGTCGTTTCAAATTTATATAAAAACATAGGGTAAACAAAAATGTCTATTTTTTTATTAGCGGGTTTGGGCTATTGTAAGGTTTTTGGACCTGTAGCACTGCAACATACGGACAACATTTTTCAGAGTTCGCTACCTAAACCTGTCAGCGACAAGAGTTGAAGGATATTCTTAGGAAGCGATGGTTTTTATCTCCTCATTATAGAGTATAAACTTTCCAAAGGAGATATTACGTTTACGCATGGGTGGGCTACAACCACATAGGATGTATAGTGGCATTTCCTCTTCTGAAAACGAAAGTGTCTAACTCGTTATGAAAACGAAATTATCATATTAAAATACACTTTAAGTCGTAGGAAACAAGGATTTGTTTGATGTTGTCATAGCTCACGGGAGGCGAGCCAATTTTACACAAATCCGTTTCAGGGTGACTGATCAAGACTAGCTTTATTATATGTTACAGTTGACGGCCTTGGTGGTCTAGCCGTTTATCAGACGGCTTTACTTGCGATGATCGTGGATTCGATTCTAAGCACGATGCAAATATTTTTAGTAATAGGAATATTTTTTTCTATTCTGGGTATTTTCTATAAATATTATATGTACATGTATTTTAAAATATGTATTTTAGTTTTTGTAGTCTAGTACCCATAACACAAGATCTGCTTAAATTGAGACCAGTTGGCGATTGTATGAATCCAAAATTATTATTACTAGCTTTCCGCCCCGGCTTAGGTGCAATTATTGTAGGATCAATTTCGTTAAGATAATAGGATATTAGCCTGAGTTACTTGTCGGGCTATTTGAGATTTGAAACACTATACTCGTTTTCGTGATGCAATGTATTAAATTAATTCACTTCATACAAATCAGTTTTAGTTGTGAAAAGGTAGTAAACAAACAAACACACAATCTCATTTATAATATTAGTAGGTACACAACTAGATGACCAGTTTTTTACATGTCAAGCTGGGTAACCAGTTAGACCAGTCATTTAGTTGAAAATTAGAGTAATTTATTGTTTAAACCTGCACGAAAATGCTTTCATTAGTTGTGTGACCGGTCGAATGGTTTTGTTATGCTCTGGAATAAACTAGTAATAAATTAATATATGTATCTATCTATCCTGAATATATACAGTATTCTTTATACGTGTAAATTCATGCAGATTTAAACATTATTAAATTATATTTTTTATTAATTTATATTATTTTTTACTAAGTAGTCTAACTATTTAGTACCTAATTACGTTAGTATTTTTTTTATATAAAACTAGCTACTCGCCCCGACTTCGCACGGGTGTATGTATTATATATAAAAACCTTCCTCTAGAATCACTTATGAATTTAAAACCGCTTTAAAATCCATTGCTTAGTTTTGAAGATTTAAGCATACATAGGGACGGACAGACAGCGACAGCGACTTTGTTTTGTACTATGTAATGATAATGATGAGCATATTTCATTCTTTTATTTCTTCGGCGTTTGCGTCTACGGTATACGCTCGATTCTGCAGAGAATTAAAATTTATTTTTGTTGTTATGTTTATTTTTTGTAGTTTTTTTTTAATTGAGTGGAGTTTGTTAATAAATTTGAGTTATTTAGTTTAAATTGTGACTTTGGTGGAGAATATGATTTACATTTACCACTTACGGTACAAACATTTGTATTCATGAGTATAATTTTTTTTTCTATATATATTAAGTATGTACTTACAAAAAAAAGGTTGTATATGTATTTATATCAGTTGTCTAGTAACCATAACACAAGCTCTGCTTAGCTAGCTTGAGACTAGACGGCGCTGTGTGAATTGTCCTAAATATTTTTTTTATTGTCTGTAATACAAATAAATGACTTTCTCACTATATAATAAGATTGTTATTCCAAATAATAGTTAGTATATGTGGTATTATGAATCATGCAGTGATGTCGTGTTGACTTGCTACAACTGTAGTTATCATGCACCCAGCTTCCGATAGAACTGATATGAATAAACTTTACTCATTCACCACCAACTGTCCTCGTACAAATACGAGAATTTTAATCTTCGTACTCTTTTGTACGAGATTTTGGCCTACGATAATTGGTCAAAATATAGTATGGTGTGTATGAGGTAAGAAAGACCAATTGAGCTAATATCCGAGATATATATATGTTTTTTGTACATGAGTGTGCGTGTTATGCATATATATATATATATATATATTTGTGTATGTGTACATAGATATGTATCGTAATGTTTGGTTGTGTATAAATATTTCAATGCAATTGTTCTCCATGTTTTTCTTTCTCCTTTCTGTAATAGAATGGTTTAACATTATAACTTTTTCGCTTTGACAGGTCACGACGACACCCAGGCACCAAGTGGGGGCAGTGACCCGGCGGTCCTCGCGGTGGGTCCTGCGCGGCGCCCGCTTACCTACACTAGAGAAGAACTTATGCGCCTGCGCAACTCACCACTCGTCAAGAAGGGGCTCGAGAACGCATTCGCCGGTTGCGACGCCCTGGCGCTGTGAGTGATTCATTGTTTACTAGCTGTGCCTGCGGTTTAACCCGCATGAAATTTACATGTTATTCTAATGTATAAGCTATATTACTGTAAGGTTTCATCAAAATCTGTGTAATAATTTTTACGTGACAGAATAACAAACATCCATACTTAACTTACTAACTTTCTCGTTTATAATATTATTAAGATTAAGATTTATTTCAGGCTACTAAGCCTATATTATAATACCTTATAGTAACGTAACATACATATGAATGAATATTATAAAACTATATTACTATAATATTGAAATTGATCCTGATTACATTATTTATGTTACAGGGTGTTGAAACGACGTTCCGATTCACCGAATGAAGATGATAGAGGAGCGAGGGGGGACGCCCCCAACGAAAACCATAAGGTAAGCGTCGGGTTGTCATTTGTTATGACTCAAACTAAACAGAGCTTTTGGTACAAATGATATACATACAAATTTTCAAAACTCTAGGCCTAAAAGTAGGTAATTGCTAGTGTATTATAATTATTAAAATGTTACTATCTTTTGCTTGTATCTATATCTGCTCTCTTTGAGCAGCGGAGCGGCGGTTCCGGGGGTTTGTTAAGAAGCAGTAGTTAGTTTAGTAGCAACATTATAACAAAACCTTGTCAGTCATCTTAGAAGTTTTGACCGGGAGGATATAATTGACGAAAATCCATCTGGCTCGCAGACTATAAGCGGATCGTTGTATATCGATAGGGCGTGTACGGGCGAGACCGCGAGCGGCGGTCGGCGGATCCGCGAGAACGCGTGCGCAAGGAGAGCGAGCCGAGCGGCGGCGGGGGCGGCGGGGGCGGCGGGGGCGGCGTGGGCATCGTGCTGTCGCCGCAGCGCCGCTCGTTCACGTCGGGGTGTGGAGCGCCCGCCGCCGCGCTGCCGCACGTGGCGCCGCACGTGGCGCGCACGCGGCCAGACTCGCCGCTCTCGGCCGCCGCGCCCCCGCCCGCCGCACCGCACCAGCACCACAACGCGCCCGCCAAGCCCGACCAAGGTACCGTCGTTTTATAATATATATATATATACTAATCGTTTTTACTTATGTATACCTATAAAAGCTAGGAAAGATCGTTGATGTTATATTCCTGCAAAAATCTGTATCTCTTCAAAATTGTCCTACACTAATCATATTTGCTGTGTTTTTCGCTAAACGGCAACTGATTTTGGGGGCGCTATTGCGCTTCTCGGCACTCTAATAGCATGTGAAGCAAAAAGATTGTACCCCTTTTATACGAAAAATGTGCGAACAAAGGAGTATGAAATTTAGAACTTAAATTTTTTTTAAATTGAACCTAAAAGTACATTAAATTTATAAAAAAAAATACACACACTAACATGTATTTCACTCACATATTTATATATAATTTTACCTTTACCTTTTGTATAAGTCTGTGGTCAAATTGAGAATAGATTATTATTGTTTGATTTTAATATTATTTGTCTATAGTCTTACTGAATGTCAAATTCATTATGGTCAAATTCGACCACTGGGCGACCAGCAGTATTTCAAAATAAATAATGGCTTACATTGATTCAATACATGTATTTTATCATGTTATTGTCCTGTGTAGGCCTATATAGAGCGTGGCATACACAGGTGATGTGAGTTTTGAGATGTGACTCAACATTGTATGGTGTTGCCTACATTTATTTATTTATTTACGTCATACTAAGTCAACTTTACAGTCTCCCACTATGTTTACTTACTAAGATTGCATACATATACATCAGTTACTAATATATACACGAATTAAACTAGGAAAAAAAAACAATCTTAATATTACATACTACATAAATAATCTACTGCCATCCTAAGTAACTCGAGGAAACAAGTAAATATGTCTAGATCTGGAAATCGACTAATTACACCATTGAGTAGACTCAATGCCAGAGAAAATCCCACCATCCCAAACAAAAACACATGTTTATGTTACAATTTGGCTAAGAAGTGTATACTTACTATTACAAAAGGGTGTTTAATCCTTAATCGTCCGTTAGGCGGGAGTTATTACTCGGGTTTAGTTTAAATAATTAATAAATGTGATTATACCAACATATAATGAAACCCAATCTGATATTTTGGAAAAAGTTTAGTCTAAATGACTGGAGAAACAAAGAAATAAATTCTACCAATATAAATTCTAAATGTTATAGTATCGGTCATATTTTTTTCCATGTATAATATAATAATAATATCTCAGGACAATTCAAACAACGCCCTCTTGTCCCAAGTTAAGCAGAACTTGTATTAGGGGTACTATACGACTGATGTAAATATTTTTTTGTATATAAATATATATTTGCACCGCTAACAATTATTTTCACCACCATTCATGGTTAACTGCTGATAATGCCGCATGGTGTTAAGTCCGCCATATGTACTTTGGTATTGTGTGCATTTTAAAGTTATTTAAATAAATATATAGTATGTGTACTTAGAAAACACCCAGACCGACACAAACAATCATACTCATGAATACAAATGTTTTCACCGTGCGAGGAATCGAACCCGCGACCATCGATAGTAAGGCGGTGTGCTAAACCGCTAGACCAATGAGACCTTCAAATATGAATACGTTTAATCATACGTACATTTCGTATACCTATTTTATCGATGATCTATGGTAAAGTGATTTACTTTTCTGATTCAGCCGGAGGACGACGCATCGGGTCCGGGCGGATCATGGTGCGGGACGTGCCCAGCGGTGGCTGGGAGGAGGGCGAGTACCCGCGCCCGGAGCCCTACCGCCCGCCCCGAGACTCCCGCGCCAACAACGACAGGTACGCCCCTCCCCATGTCCTGCAACAACATTGCTGGCATACGTACCAGCTCCCCCGTCCAATTCAAACGGGGATCGAAATTACGACGGCCCGAGCTGACTCGAGTTGTATCCGTAAAACGTGAGTTGGCCTTCAGCCGCTCCATAAGTCCTTCCGCGGGTTTTGAAGGTCATCTGCACTCGGTATCGTCCGGTGAAGCTGTAAAGGACAAAGAAGCGGTAAAAAAAATAGACCATCTGTGATACCGTAACCTATGGACCCCTGAAACACCAGGCGAGCTATCTGCAGTTTTCCATCCCTTAATGTATACCCTTCTTGAATAACTCCATGCTGTGTAGTCTCTAGAGAATACCTCGGTAGGTATTTCATACAGTGGGAAGAAGCTCCTGTGAAATCACACTGTCCCAGACTACCTTATATGATTACAACCGTATATGATTATAGAGTATAATCGTACGTACTACTTCAATTACTAATACTGTTGTTTTCTTGGTAACTAATTTTTGTTTTTACTACTATAATTACTGGACTACTTGTAAGTTACTGAAGTCGGAAGAAATTCAATATTTAAATTAAATTTAATATATACAATAATAATAACTACGTCTAAAAATAACTGACACATATATAAAGTATTTGTGTATTTATTTCGCTAATGACCTTACAAAACAGAAACGAAGTTCAGGATTAAAATTACATTTAATATTAGGTTAAAAAAACGCAACGCCTATATACACAAAATGATCTTAAAGTTGATTCACCTGTATTGTTTGTTGTGATTGCAGATTTGATCGCCGTTCGTTCAGCCGAGACTCCTATTCCTCTGACATCAAGAGGGAGCGGGACGATCGATTCAACAACGAGAAAACGCGAGACAGGTAGATAAGTTCGCACTATTTATGCATCTACTGATCCGCGCAATTCCGATCGATCCCCCGTCCAATTCAAACGCGGATCGAAATTACGACCGCCTGAACCGAGGTTCGAACCTATCGAATATTTTTATTAATAATAAAAGTTCTTCCGCGAATGATATTTAAGGTAAGCTAAAGGCCAGTAAAAATTAATATATATTATAATTTACGTATTATCATATTAATTATAGCGCACTAGCTGTGCCCGCGGTTTCATCCGCATGAAATTTATAGCTTATGTATTATTCTGATGTATAAGCTATATGATTGTAAAGTTTCATTAAAATCAATTCAGTAGTTCTTGCGTGAAAGAGTAACAAACATCCATCTAGCCATCCATTCACTTTAAAAGCTTCCGTGTTTATATTATGAGTAAGCTATATTATTTAAAGTTTCATCAAATTCTATGATAAATTAATATATTTGTAGATATTGAAGATACGGTTTAGCTAAAGTTAGCATTCCTTCTAAATTAGAACCATAAATGTATTTATAAAATAGTTTTTTACACAATCTTTACGTTATATATTACTACTGGTTACTAAGTATATGAGTCATCAAAATTCTTTACAAACAAAATGTTTCAAATATTTTTAATTTATTGTATTTATAAAAACTGTGTAAATATTTTTATTACTTTTTAACAATTGTATTTATTAATATATCATTTATAGCTGATTGGCGGGGCTCCGTATAAAAATTTGTTTGAAATAAAGTGAAAAAAAAAGCATTAATTGTTTCTTTATTTATCGGTCACTTATAGTTTTTACAAACAATCAAATATACACTCTCCTTGAGAACTGCCTTTTTTTCGGCAAACTGAAAAATCATTTAACAGGTAATGCAGGAAATAAAGAGATAGTTTTGCTTTGTGAAAAAAAAAATTGCACGTTTAGCTAATTTTTGCTTACGCACGTTTGGGGACCCGTGGCCATGGGCCTCGTATAATTAATACAGCAGATACGGCGGTAGCTACTCCCATGTATAGTATACTGATTAATCTGTGTGTATTGTTGTAGAGAGGACAACCGTAGATCTGGTGGTCGCTTTTCTCAACGACGTTTTGAGAAAGAAGATGAACCCGAATGGTAAGTATTTGTTATATTTAGCTGTGCTAATATAGCAATTTGATTGTCTTGCTTCTCCTTTCCTGTTCAATCGTGCGTGGAGAGCGACCTGACATGGTACATTACTAGCAATGGGGTTATTAAACCACATTACACAATCCCCTTCCTCCCGATATAGTACATTGATAGTATATATAATGGGACTAATTACTGGCATGACATAAACATTAACAGATTACTAACATATTCAAAATAAAAAAAAAATACAAACTTGGTCATAGAAGCTGCCTCAGCTGTTGCTGATATAAGCACAACCGCAATGAGGTGCACCTGTACAGGCGCTGGTTTTTAGCCAGCTCTCAATCTCTTTGTCTCCATTACTAAGAATAACTTACCATCTCTCCATGAATTACGTTTTAATATAATGATTTTCAACAGGTTTAGTGGAGGGCCGACATCTCAACTGGAGACTATTGAACTACGCGGTTTCGATGAGCCGATAAAGAAAAACACCAAACAGAATAGTAATAATAAAGAGACTGAGGTGATTATGACATATACATATACAGAAACAATTGAGAACTGGCAAGAAACTTAACTGTGTTTCTTTTTTTTTAAAGCCAGCTTATTTATCTTGTGTACTTATATAGTTCTCTATGTCTAACATTAAATGAAAATCCCGTACATGAACAACTATTGTCATACACGTTTTATCATTTAAGTAATCATTTAGTGAGTATAATAGGCTTTGCTCAATAAACATGATTTAACAGATGTTTTAAACAGGAAGTTGGTCTTTAAATTTAGTATAAATGTTATAATATGTATTGTAATTATATTGCTTGTACAGAAATGGAACAACAGCGGCGGATCACGGTCGCCAGCCGCAGATCGAACCGAGCGGTCGGAAAGGTGGCGCGATACATCATCGCCCAACGACTCGCAGCCAACGATCAACGCCAATGCTAACAACAACGGCAACAGCAACAATTCTACCCACAACCCAGCCAATGTAACTATCAAAAACTTTGTACCCCTTTTTCGATAATTGCGCGGACAGAGTATGAAATTTCGCACACTTATATAGTTTATTTACAGAGGGATTTCAGAATACATTTTTTTAAATTATGCATTAAAAATATTCATGTATTTTTAATGCATAATTTAAAAAAATATATTAATAAAAGGGAGGCAATAAAAACGGTAACAATAGGCAACAACTACTACCATGTATTTTAAAACATTTTCTAAAATCGCTACCATGTATTTGACCCGTGCATATATACTTTTTTATTTATTGTTTAAGTCGGTGGTCAAATTGAGAATAGATTACTGTGTAGCCGTTGCGAAATTTGTGATTATAGAAGTATAGTTTTTGACAATAGAAGCTTAATAATCGGAAAGTTATAATTTAAAAAAATTTTGGTCTGGTCTAGTCGAATGAATGAATGTTATGGTGGAATTAAAAATATTTATTTATATATTATTGGATCTATATACCGAACTGGATAATAGGGAAAAAATTTAAAATATAATGTAAAAAATTTGACGTCCATAAGCGGCTAATATGTCCTACATGAATAAATGATTATTGAATTTGAATATATATTAAAAACTTAGAAATATGAAGTTCCCATGTCAGACTTAACACCTCGAGGCATTTTCTCCCTGTCAACCATAGGGCAAACAGAGATTCATTTGGCTGGTACAATATTAAAATGAACAATGTACAAAAAAGTTGAAATTAATATTTATATAATTTGATTTTAATTTAATATACGAGTAGAAATATTTATAAATATAACTACATACATATATGCACCAATAAAATATGTGTAATGAATATTTCTTATTCTAAACAGGAGAACGATTCAAGTATGGAGATAAAGACAGAGGAGCCGCAGCTGAACAACGACCACCCTGAGTTCAATCTTGACGATTTCCTCAAATTCGATTCCATACCTGATGTACTTACTGTGAGTAAATCTACTTCTCTATGCAATTTTAGCATACATATATATTAAAAGAAATCACAAAAATCGAAACGAATAACAAAATATTAAGAATTTCTTTATTTTTTAAGTCTGTTGAAAAGTCCATTATTATTTAAGAAAGAAATACAGTTGAGCTGTGAATCTGTATATTTTGTAATCATGTACAAGCTCATTTAAGTTAAAAATAAGTAATGAGGACTGAGTTTCTTGTCTGTTTTTCTTAATTCGAAAATACTCTGATTTGACATAAAAGTCTGTAATAGACCTAAAGATATATTGATTTACATTTTTTTATTATTAACCACAAAATATAAGTTAGAAGTTGGCAAATTATAATATTACTCATTTGTGATATTAGTATTGTAATTATAGGGTATTATATAATGTATTCATGTGGCATGAACGATCTAATAATGTATTATGAAATTTTAAATAAAATTGCAATGTTTTCATCTTTCACGATGACCGTTTCGATTTCACGGGAGATTTTCTTCAGGGTGAGTCGTCATATGGTCTCGCCTCACTTTACCTCCCAGAATACATCAATATAAATACAAAAACTTATAAACTTGATTAAAATTTTGTACTTATATATAAAAATTATATAATTGTAACAGAACGGCGGTGGCGAGTCAGAGGGCGGAAGTCGTTTCAGCCGCTGGTTCCGACCCGAAAGTCCTACTAACGATAGACACTACGAACGGCTACTGCATAATATTGTTGATGGTAAGTATCGTTTATTTTGAATGGATTGGATATGGATTTTTATGTAATTGTAATGGCAACCAAGTGAAATAAGAATAATGATTAAGAAGTTAATTTTTGTTTACGCAAGTTGCGGGCCCCGTATAATTGATGCGGCAGATACGGCGATACCTACTCCCCTGCAGTCCTCGAATATGGTCATGTTACAAACATGATTAAACACAAAATATTGTACTTACTATTTTACTTGTCTTAGATTTAGACAGCACGACGCATATAGAGCAGCCGATGAACTCTGGCATGGGCGGCGGGTCCCCGCAGCACGTGTTCGCGCCTATCTCCCCGGCGGGCGGCGCGGGGCCCGGCGCGGGGCCCCCGGGGCCCGGTGCCGGGGCGCCGGGAGGGCCCGCGCCTGCCGCCCGCCTGCCGTCGCTGCTCGACCTGCTGCGGCAGGCTAACGCCAACGCCAACGCCAACGCCGACCACAGGCCCGGTCAGTACCCACTGTTTATCCATCTATGTAGTGTCGAATGTGTCAGGAAATGTCAAATAATTGTCTGGGGGTCGAGCACTATAGTTTCTTACTAATAATATAGGTTAAAGTATGAAATTGCCCTTCTATAGTAATACACTCGCGAACAAAAGTATGGAATTACTTAGTTGGAATTGAATCCGCGCGATCTTGAGTTTAAAGATGACAGTTTAACTTTCCAAATGGTACCATTTTTATTATTCTTAACTAGTTATTGAGTAGGTACTCAAGATCGCACGGAATCAATTTCAAGTAAGTGATTCCATACTTTTGCTCGCGAGTGTAGATACTTTAAATTGACATAACACTTTCATGGTGTGATGTTTTCGAATAAAACTTTTTTCACAGGATACATATGAGATTCTTCTTTTAAAAAATGTGCAACATTCAATTTTCGTCTTTCAGTTGCTTTTTATTTAGCTTAGATGTAAAAGATGGATACTTTGAGTAGCCGTGTCATTTATATTTATATGTTTATTTCAAGCTTCTAGATACAAATACGTACATTTTTTTTGTTCGTGAAGCAGAATTTACGTATGTGTACATCCAACTGCCAAATAAAAGATAATGCAAGAACAACGAGAAAGAATAAGTTAGTATTGCCCAAAAGTAACCTAACGTTATTTCAAAGAAATATATTTTAATGGCACATAAAATATTTAATGGACTACCTACAGATTTAATAGAATTCTCAGGACAACATTTTAAAAACAAATTAACTAAATGGCTGTTAGTACACTGTTTCTACTCTATATATGATTATTTCTATTATAAATACTATAAATAAAAATGTAATGTAATGTAATAATAAGAATAAGAATTGTAATAATGATAATAATAATAATTGTAAAATCATTGTATAATAATCATTAAATATTAAATTATAATATAATTGTTACAGCGTATGTAATTTTTAGGCTTAGTAATAAAAATTTGCATGCCTACTGCAAAAAGGCATATTACAGCGCTGCCTGCTGATATCATCACTGTGGCTGTGTTTACTTATATCTGTCTGTAATGCAAATAAACGACTTACTTACAAACCATATTAATTAAAATATATTGTGGTCGTTAGCTCACTCAGATACTAGATGGCGGTGTAGTCATTGAATTCTGCATTAGCGGGGCACGCTTGCGAACGTTTTCCGTTGACGGTAACACTCAATATCTAAAATTAATTTCATATATTTTATTTAGCCATGAACTCAGCCGGAGGCAAGATGCAAAGCCTCGAGGAGTTGGAGGCGCGGTTAAGACCTCAACACCCGTCTGCTCACCATCCAGGGCCTGACCATGACCTCTCTGCCTTCAAGCGACTCGTGAGTTATTTTTTTTATAACGCAATGTTTTTTTTTATTATTCATGGAACTAGTTTTGTAATATAGCACACACTTTTAAGAATAGTTATGCTTAGGTCTTATTATAACTTAGATCGAAATTACGACAGCTTGAGCTGAAGTTGGAGAACCTAGCGGTGCTTTCAGACTATTTATTGATGGGATTAGTTTTGCAATATAGTGCATACTAATAATAGGTATACTCAGGTTGTCTCATTATAACTTAGATCAACATTACGACAGCTTAAGTCAAAGTTGATGACCCTAGGGTCATCACATCACTAGTGATGCCCTCAGACTCACGTTGTATCAATTTGGTTATATATAGCATTATAATAGTTAAATTAACGCAATTTTTTAAAATCATTCGTTCATAGTTTGCTATTACTTTTTGCATAAGCAGTGGAAGTGTGGAATTACTTGAAAATTTAAATAATATCTATCTGAACACCAATAGTTTTCGGATAGATATTATAATTTTTATAAGGCTCTAGATATACATGCACAGGATGTACATGTATTATACATATAAATCTTCCTCTTGAATCACTATCTATTGCTAAAAACTGTATTAAAATCCGTTGCGTATTTATTTAATTGAGGCTACTTAATTTCAATATAATTTATGGCTTATAAACAATATTGAAATCAATATAAATTGTCTGTGTGGTCACGGCACTGACGACGGCAATCTGCCACGTTAGCCCCAATACAGTAGTCCTTCATGAAGGTCAGTATGTCGGTGGGGACCCGGTGACTCGACTCCACTTGCGTCACCCTCAATCTCAGTTTACTTTCGGTCCGTGTGTAGTGGACAATGCCCTGTTGGCTATAAGTTAGAGGGCGTAGTGAGGGTGTAGTGCTAGTGTGGTGTGACGTCACAGCTGGCGCAGGTCTCGGGCGGGCACGCCGTGCCGGCGGCGGAGCCCGCGCCGCGCCCGCCGCTCCACCACCACCCGCACCACCACCACCACCACCACCAACCGCACCCGCACCACCCGCAGCAGCAGCACGCCAGCCTGCTGCAGATGCTGAACAAGGCCGCCGACCACAAGCACCAGCAGCCGCAGATACCCTCGGAGCTCCTATACAAGCTCCTACAGGTTCAGGTATGTGCATATCCACATATGTCATTACTAGCTGTGCTAAATTTATAGCCTATATGTTGTTATTCTGATATATGAGCTATATTACTGTAAAGTTTCATAAAAATCCATTTCGTAGTTATTGCGTGAAGGAGTAACAAGCACTCATCCATACTCACAAACTTTTGCGATTATAATATTAATAAGATAGTAATTTGAAAATAATAAACAAAATTTCCACTTAGTATAGTATACATACATAGAAAGATCAACTCAAACAAACTTATGAATATTATTGCTAGTATGGTATCTACACCCATACTGCGACACATGTCTCTCTAAATAAGGCATTATCTAACAATATAGTTTAAATATAGTTTGGACCTCTGTACCAAATAATAGAAATAGAAATAATCTTTATTCAAATAACTCAAATACAAGCTCTTTTAAATAATCAAATTTTTGTATTCTACGAGTACCACTCATTCGGAACGCAGATTCATCAGAAGAAGAGCAAGAAACTTGTGTGTTCTTTTGAATAGATAATCTTTCAAGTTGTCGTTTAGAGGCAAAACACGTATCGCAATATGGGTGTAGATCTTAATTTGATATATGTATTTGATTTGTTGTAGCGTCAGCAACAACAACAACAACAACACCAGCAACAACAACCGCTCGATTTAGGTATGCACAGCGCGGACAGAGAATTGCTGCAGAGGCCTGAAGCTCAGGCAATCGTACATGGTGAGATTTGTTTCTTTTTAACTAACTTAAAAAACTGTTATTAACTGACTTTAGTTTAATTTTATTTTTTCTTACTTTTATTACATGCACATCTGTGACCCACACATCACTTCCTGTGTCACGCTGTTTTGGGTTGACTGGAAGAGATCTCATTTAGAGATAAGTCCTCCTTTGCAAATAAAATCTGTGACATATTTGTGACAATATTGAAAACCTTGTATTTGAAAGTACAATAAAGTAGAAGTAGAAGTACACTGAAGCAGGAGGTTTCAATCGGTTGTATTTTTAAATTTACTTAAAATAATTAATAATTGTACTTTATTTTTTACTTTACCTTCAAATACCGTTAGACTTTTTCTACGTGGACTAATTACGATTGCAGCGACAACATGGAACATATATGCGATAAATTTTGTTTGGCAGGTTTGAAAGCGGGAGAAATTACTGTGCAACATCTCATTCAGCAATTAAGTAACCCTGGGCTGCAGAGTCGGCATCGGGAACTTCTACAGACCATACTCAGGCTTTACCAGCAGAGACAGGTGATAATAATAGTTTTATATTTAGATAGAACTTTTATTTACCAAACTCGACCAGAGGTAGAGGTTACTTGGTGGAACAATATTAAGAAGCAGATGGACCAAGTATAATCTTACTACTCAGACAAAGAACAGAGTTCTTGGGCGAAAAAGTACAGGGAGACCCGACCCCAAATAAAATGAAATTTCTTTATTAATCTGCTCACAGAATAAAAATAAATATGTATACACACTAAGTACATACACTACTATGTATAAGTATATAAATATATAACAATGAGCAAGAGAGAGGCAACAATGGACAACCTTATCGCTGACAAGCGATTTCTTGAATTTGATCTTGAATTGATTTACTAAATTGTGTCCGTGTTGTTCAGATGGGCGGTTCTCCGCTGCCGGGTGGCGTGGCGGGCGTGGCGGGTGTGGGGAGCGTGGGCGGCGTGGCGGGCGTGACGGCGCCGCACCTGGTGCTGCCGCCGCACCACCAGCCGCTGCGACTCTCGCCGTTACCGCATCCAGGTATGATGAAATTAAATTTACTTATTTTATTTACACAATTACATACTCTCCGTGAGTATTTACAGTATAATATCTGTATGAATCTCGATGAGGTGCGTGGATGTAATAGTTAAAAACAATTATAAAACACCTAATTATAAATTAAATTGTTATAATCTCGATATAATCAGCGGTTAATCAAAATCAAAAGACAATCGTAACCTTGAGATCACAACGTTCTCTATTTGAAACTGATGAAATAAAATATTGAAGCGGTTTTGTTAATTATTTCTTTGGAGTTTCCAACACATACCAATGCACTCACCAAGGAATAGACATACGCAACTACTAGTATGATAATTAATGTCATAGAGATTAATGATAATTACCTACAGTATGAAACAATTAAAGTTACAAAAAACACTACATCACCCGTCAAAAGACTGCATTTTGATACCTGTAGAACTGTACGAAAATTCCTGGAAATAGATGAAAATGACATAAGATCTGTCATATAATTGAAAAGGCTCACAATAAGTACGCACCGACACTCACAATGAGTGTGTGTGTGTACACACACTCACTCGCGTTTAAGGTTCTACACCGGGGCAGGGCAAATTATCTATATTTATAATCACCAAGTTAAAAATAACTAAGCTCCTAAGTATATCCTTCAATTCTTATCCCTGATGGGCTTAGGTAGCGAACTTTGAAAAAAGGGAAAGCATAATAGATCTATGTGTGTCGTAGTGCTACAGGTCTTAACATGTGACTATAGTCAAAAAGCTTCAGTAAAAAATAAAATTACCAAGTACTGGGACATGAAATTTTTCACAAGTTAAAAAAGATACATAATAATAACTATAAAAAACGCTTAGATACACCGTGTGGTTTTAATTACCAAGGGGGGGCGGGGGGGTCGTTTGAATGTTATTCACACTATAAAAGGTTTTGTTTTAAGATTTTGTATAAAGCTACAGATGACTTTATACAAAATCTTGCTTTAGCCTAATGATTTGTTTATTTATAACGGACGCAGCTTTCTGTGTGTCACCCATAATGGCCACCAGCCCGAATACTTTGACAGTTCATCACCCAGGTAAAGTATTTCAATAATCTTGATTTTAATTTAAATAAAATACGTCCATAAACTCTATTTGTATAAAATACTCTTTGTGGATGTGATAATGATTACTATAAGGCAATTTATAGTTAATACTACGAATTAGGGATATTGCTAAAGCAAAATTGTGGTTAATGATATTGCTATATATCATTAACCACAATATGTATATATAAGTTTCATCAAAATCCGTTCAGTAGTTCTTGCGTGAAAGAGTAACGAACATCCATACTCACAAACTTTCGTGTTTGTAATATTATTAAGATTAAGATACGATATATTTGCTAATAATGTACACTTTGTTATAACCAGGCGTGCCGCCACGTATACCATCACCTCGCGAACTGGTCGCCCACACGCAGTCCATAATGCAAGGCGCCCTCATAAAGAAGAAGCTAGAAGAACAGAAGGAGAACTTCCGTCGCCGGCATGAGATGCAACAACAGCCGAAACAGTCTACACCCATCTCTTTTACACCCACCTCGGTGAGAAATTTTACTAATATTCCGTTTCAAATAGAAATAATCTTTATTCTTTTTATTTCTAAACTTAATATAAGCACTTTTGAATAGTCAAGTTTTTTTTTATTCTACCGCTTATTCGGAATGCAGATTCATCACAAGAAGAATAAGCAAGAAACTTGTTTGATTATATTATACTAGCTAACCGCCATTGTACATGTATTTTACATGTAAACCTTCCTCTGTATAACTCTATCTATTGCTAACACATTATAGTATTTTCTCTAACATAGTTTATGTTAGGGAAAATACTATAATGTGGAAGCGTCTGGCTCGTATATGTATGCCCCTGATCGGGTTTCCTGGGCTCCTTAACACGGGCCAGCGTCCAGGTGATATTTTCTCTAGATTTCACACACTGTTACACTTAGTTTATAATTAATTTTTATTATAATTAGGAAACGTACTCGCGCTAGCCATGGCGGTCTGTACTGACATCGTACTAATATAATAATCTGTGCATACGAAGATCGAAGGGACCAGATGGTGGAAACGACTTTATTTTATACTATATAAATATATCGCCTCAATTACTCAACACATTACAACATGCATTAACGACCTCAGTAGTGTACTGGTTTAACACGACGCCTTATAGTGTTCGATTGATGGTCGCCGGTTCGATTCCTCGTACGGTGAAAACATTTGTTTACATGAGTACGATTGTTTGAATTGGTGTGGGTGTTTTCTATTTATATTATGTATTTATTTACAAAAGGTATTTGGTGCGGCGGTGGCTATGATCTAGCCTTCTTCGATGGACTATATTGTTGTATAGGAAACTGGCTGGTCAAATATGAATGACTTACCCTTACTTCAATGTGCTTGTTCTTCAGTGGGCCCACACGGTTACGGGAATCTCAGGAATTCACTCAGGTTGATTACAACTATTAAGACATGCGTGCGATATGAGTGCGACGTGCGCGCGCGGCAAAAGCTATGACATCACTGATTATTGAATTAGCCGGGAGGGGTGTCAATGCACAAGACAAACCAGGTACGCATCGCGTTTGGCGTAACCATGCCCCCCGCCTTGACATAATGTCAAAGTAAAATTAACAAAAAAATAAAGGAACTACATAATTGAACCTTATTGCGAATGCGACAAATACAAAAAACAAGAAAGAAAAAATACAAAAAATATCAAATGCGGAATTTACTAAATAAGAAAAATGCAAAGGATTTTAACTTAACTTATTAACCTATTATAAATGCGTACTACCTATCTTATAGAATACATATTATTGCAAAGGCAATGGACATAATTTTACCACTGGCCTTTGAAAAATACCAGCCTTTGTTTTGACTGAGGCAACGCGAATAATGCCATCCTTACCCTTATAAACTCGTGTTATAAGACCAAGAGGCCAATGTAATGGAGTTAAATTCTCCTGCATAACAACTACTATCGTGCCTTCCTGGATAGGAAAGGCCGGCGTGTTCCATTTGCGTCTCAATTGCAACGTATGCAAATATTCACGATGCCACCTCTTCCAAAACGATTGAACGAGTTGGTCTAAAAGCTCGTGTCGTTTCAAAAGATGAGGAATAGCGTCACTTACGTCATGTGCTGGGAAGTGTTTTAGCGGTATAGTGTTAAGAAAATGAGCAGGTGTCAATGCTTCCAGGTCCGACGGATCTGAACTTAAGACGGTCAATGGGCGAGAGTTTAATAGCGATTCTATTTGTGTAAGAACAGTCGTAAGTTCTTCAAAGGTTAAAATTTGTAGCCCAATGACTTTACTTAGATGGCTTTTGACACATTTTATATTACTTTCCCAGCATCCTCCAAAATGCGGTGCGTTAGGAGGGATAAGGATCCATTTAATTCCATTGTTAGCTAATTCCTTATCCCAAACAGATCTACATTCTTGCGATAAAAACAAATAAAGTTCACGTAGGTAGGATCGTGCCCCTATAAAATTAGTACCATGATCCGTATACATGCATTGAATAGGACCGCGGCGAGCGAGAAAACGTTTTAACGCGGCGAGAAAACAAACTGTACTCAATTCACTTGCGAGCTCAATATGAACAGCCCGAGTGGTTAAGCACGTGAATAAGCAAACGTATGCTTTGCGAGTGGTTATACCACGACCGCGATAAGGGGTTACAAAAAACGGACCTGCGAAATCACAGCCACAATGGACAAAGGCTTTAGGAACTTCCTTCATATAGTGCAGGCAGATCACCCATCGGTGGGAATGTAGGACGCGGTTTATTGCGGAAACAAATATTACAATTAGCTACGATCGTGCGAATCATACGTCGAGCTGCGAGAATCCAATATTTAGTACGTAGTATTGACATTAACAATTCTGGGCCTGTATGCAGGTTTTTACGATGAAAGTGTGTTACAATTAATTGAACTATATGATCTCTGCCCGGAAGTAATATAGGGTGTTTATAATCGAAATCTTCATCAGAATGAGTCAGACGACCACCAACTCTTAAGAGATTGTCTGATAAAAATGGATTTAATTTAATTATTGATGCGGTACAAGGTTTGTTATTATTTAACTTGCTAATATCGTTTTTAAAATGAAACCCCTGCACAGCGCGAATAATTATACGTTCGGCGAAATCCAAATCGGAACTGGATATGACGCCGCGTGGAAGAATGTTAGCGAACTTATAAATATAACAAATTACACGAAGTAATTTCATCCATGACGAAAATTTGCGAGCGAGCGAATATAAATAAGGTTCCATAGAATCTTCAATGGTAACCAGTGCGATAGGTTTTAATTCTGGAATGTCCGATGAATCCGCAGCAAGAAATGGCTTAATTGGCCATTGTCCCTTTGGTTTACAAATCCATGGTGGACCATTTAACCAAAGGGGGTGCGTTGCGAGTTGAGCAGGACTCAGTCCCCGAGACAGGCAGTCACTGGGATTGTCCGTGCCCTTAATGTGATAAAAATGCGTTGGTTCCATGTTTTCATGAATTTGCGATACTCGATTCGCAACAAACGTATGCCATTTGTGTGGCGACGAGTGTATCAATTTAATGCGACCGTAGAATCCGAAAATGCGAATACCGATTCTATGGGGTATCTTGGCGAATAAACTTGATAAATAATTTTGATTAATTTAGAAAGAATTACAGCGGCACACAATTCCAATCGTGCCAAAGCAATTACCTTTAATGGTGCTACCTTTGACTTGGCACATAAAAGTGTAATATTTGAAGTACCATCTGGCAGTTCAATATACGCGTATACACAAGCACCATATGCGCGTTCGGATGCATCAGCAAATCCGAGAATGTTTAATTTGCAATTATCAATAACACCTATATGACGAATAAATTTAATGTTAGAAATGAGTGGTAATTCAGATTGGAATTGATTCCACGTGCGAACAATTTTTTGCGGGGGCGTTTCGTCCCAATCGAGTTTAAAATCCAAAGTTGTTTAATTAAAAGCTTTGCATATAATATTATAGGCGCGACTAAACCTAAAACATCGAAAAGTCGTGCGACTGATGATAAAATATTGCGTTTGGTGCATGGACGATTAATGGGAGTAACTTTAAATGCGAAAACATCATCTGATGGAAACCAACATAAACCTAAAATTTTAAGCGTTTCATCCTTATCGAATTCCAGATTTTGCGAAAAACGATTACTTTCTGGAATGTGCTCTAAGACCTTTTTACAATTGCTAGTCCATTTTGCCAGTTCAAATCCACCAGTCAAAAATAAAGCGGTGAGCTCTGATGCTGCCTGCGAGGGATCTTTACTATTCTTAACTGAACTAACAACATCATCAACATATATGTCTCTCTTTACAATTTCATGCGCGATTGGAAATTTATTTCCTTCATCGGAAGCTAACTGAGCTACAGTACGTAATGCTAAGTACGGGCTGCAACGTAAGCCAAATGCAACTTTATTAAATTCAAAGACTTGGAGCGGTTTATTAGGACTAAATCTATATACAATACGTTGAAAACAACGATCTTGCGGGCGAACTTTTATTCGTAAATACATTTGTCGCACATCAGCTGAGATGGCGACTGCGAACAATCTCATATTCAAGAGAATAATAAATAAATCCTGTTGTAAGGAAGGACCTGTATGTAGAATATCATTAAGCGAAAATCCAGTACTAGACTTCGCGCTTGCGTCTAGTACCGGCCTTATTTTCGTGGACACTTTGTCCTCACGTAAGACTGCGTGATGCGGTATAAAATAACTAGGGCTGTTATTTTCAATTACGTCTACGGGAGAAATATATTGTTTTTCTATATATTCGTGAATTACCTCATCATAAAGGTATTTCAGTTGCGGTTGCGATGCGAATTTACGTTCCAAATGATAAAATCTGCGTTTAGCGATATCGAAAGAGTTCCCTAAAGACTTAGAACTATACTTAAATGGTAAAGCGACTTCGTAGTGACCTGATTCGTTACGAGTGGTCGTTGTGGTATAAAAATCTTCACAGTATTTATCGTCTATACTTGTTATTGGTTTGCGATCTACTTCTTCAATCTCCCAAAATTTGCGAATATAATACTGAAACCTCGCACGAAGTGGTGGAACAGAACGAGAATGAAGAAGACGTAGAAGTTAAGGTGGGAGCTTCACCTAAAATAAGATAACCGAGAACAGTCTCCAACGCGTTTGGAGTACCAGGTGAATTTATAATTTTACCTCCAGACAAAAGGGTCGCGAATAGATTGACACCAATCAAAAGGTCAATTTCTGATGGTGTTCCCCACGTATCATCTGCGAGCGGAATATTAGTTAAGTAACTGAGCGCGCCAACATCAATTTGACATGTTGGTAAGTTACCTGTTATTTTATTCAAAACTAAAGCGCGAATATTATAATATTGCTCATGATTAAATCTCGATCGGAAAGAGAGATCAACTGCACCCTTAACTGGTTCAGTGGCGCCACCTATACCCTTAACGGTGGTATGTGCGTCCGGCTGCATGGTTAAACCCAATTTTAAACAACACTTAGAAGTAATATAATGCTTTTGTGACCCGGGGTCCAATAAGCAGCGAATGACAACATCACTCCCATTACGAGCAGTAGCAAATACCTTGGCAGTAGCAAGTACTTCAGTCACATACGGCTGCTCATGAATGGACGATGAAAGCGTGCATAACGACTCCTTGTCTCCACCAGTGGTGGTTCCAATAGGAACGGGAGTTGGTTCTAATCGTGTCTGTTGTGTGGGTTGTGTGTGCGCAAGCGGAGGCAATTGCGACGAAGAAGATGGTGGTAATTGGCGACCGTGCGTAGAAGATGTCTGTGCGTTTTTCGTACCCTAGATACTTGCGTAGGTGCGGAATTATTATTTTTAAAACAAAGCAACGTATGATGTCTCGGATTGTTACAATTTCGACAGGCGGAAGTTGATTGACAACTGAAAGAGTTATGTTGACTACTTAGACATCTAGTACACATACGGTTAGTTTTAATATAATTAAATCGATCATTAATTGTGAAAGTTGAAAATTGTTTACATTTATATAATTGAGAATGTGAATCACCTTTACATAAGGAACAATAAATGCGTTGCGTAGGATTAGTACCTAAAAATGTACGTGGCGATCGAGCGATCGATCGTTGATGCGTGTGCACGACCACTGGCGGACGCGGCGGCGGGACCGTCCAACTTGGTAGCGGCAGCGGCGCCGGCGGTGCGGTTACACGTGCGTTGTAATATTTTTACGTGTTGACGTATAAATTTTATAAAATTTTCAAACTGCGGTATGTCATCTTCTCCTCTAATTGATGACTCATACGACTGCGCGGTAGCCTGATCTAATGCCTTTAATCCCATATAAATAAATATAAAATCATCCAGCCTTTCAATTTTAAGTTGCTTTAATGCTGCGATAGTCGACGAGAAAGTATCAATAAATTTTTCTAAGTTTATTGCCGAAGGACCGTTAATTGATTTTAAAGAAAATAATTTATCTAAATATGACGTTGCAAGAGAGCGTTTATCTTGATACTTGTCGATTAAAGCTTGCCACAATATAGGATAATTTTCGGCTGCTGGTACTAAGCCAGCACACAGATTTCTAGCCTTTCCTGACAGGTGACTCATAAGATAATGAAAACGTTCTGAGTCCGAAAAGGATTCATTGTCATGAATAACCTGTTTGAATGTTTCGTAAAAGAAAGGAAATTCTAAAATATCACCTGAGAAGACTGGTAACACAATTTGGGGGATCCTTACTGATCCCTGTTTGTTGTCTGGTAAAGCAGACTGACAAGCGGGAGCTGGAGTTCGCGAAGATTGAGGTTGTAACGAGACCGCCATCATCTTTATAGAATAAAACATTTCGTCAAAAGCGGTGAGAGATTGATAATTAACTACATAATCAGGGTTTAGTTCCAAATTAAGGAGAATAATTTCATCGACAATTTTAACATACTCGGTGCGCATTTGATCGATCAGGCTAACTTTTGCAATAAAAACATTACGATGTTTCTCCATTTTAGTTTTCAAAGATAATTCATAAATAGACTGAAGTTGCGAAAAATATTGTGCACGTTTTGCTTCATACATTTTTAATTTTGCGTTTGTGTTAGCCATTATTATTATTTATATATATACTTCTTAAAAAATAACAAAGGAAAACCAATAAATGCGATATATAAAACTATGTGCGGTAATAACGTACAACTATACCTGTACTACCGTAAAAGGGCGAGCGATAAATATAATAATAGAATAATAAAGTATAATAGGTATTTAATGTACTAAATACCTACAAGAAAGACAGAAGTACTTGTAGCGAAAATAAAGTACACAAATGCGAGAAATGATGCGCGATATAAACTAGCATACATAAAAAATATATGCTTACTATGCTATAAAACTACTAATTAATAATGCGAAAAATAGGTACAACTATTATCTATATATACCTATATGCGAGAAAAATAAAATAATGCATAAAAGCAATATTTTAAATATGCGGTGCGAGAAGTAAATCACAATAACGTTTTAAACACTAAAGCGCGTGACAAATAAATTTATATATACCTACTCATAAGCGGTAGTATGTAGGTACATAAGTGCGACAATACGGAATGTAGGTATCGACCATACATCTACAAAAAAAATATGCGAGCGAAACATAAACTATACATAAAGCGAAATCGAAGTGAGTGATGTCATAGAAAATCAGATAATATATCTATAATTATAACTAAAAGATATAAAATAACTATGTTCACAACTATTATTTTACGCGGGAGTAGTCTAAAGCGTTGTTGTTAGTCACTGTGTCGATACACCACGTATAACTTAATCATAGGTACGTAGGGCACGATCTTTAACCGACATGTATTGTATAAAACAGCTATGCGAACTAAATACCCAAACAATTTACAATAACCAGCGTATTATACGGCGAGTACTGCAAGGAAATAAAATATCTATTACGAACAGAAATAAAATCGCTGCTTATCAATAATTATTCAGATTAAATAGTGTGCTTTCCCTGCTCACTTTCTTGTGTAAAGACTACGGTAACCAACACTAACAATCTTAACATTCAAACACTACAATCATCATACATAATATTCGACAGGTAATATTGTTTCGTCAAATAGTATAACGACAACTATAATATTTCTAGAAGCTTCGATCGATCGAACAATATCGATATAATGCGGGTGAATGTGAAATTAAATGAACGAAACAACGCAAACAGATATAAAGCGAAATTGAAGAATTGACTGCGAGTTATGAACAATTCATAAGCGACATAAATATAAACTTATTTATTAACGAAAATACCAATGTATCGTTATATTTGTGCAACCGTGGTATGCAATTTGAATAGATCCTATTACATGCGCAATAAGGTTCAATATTACATGCGAGTCATTCACTCGACTTTCACAATAGGAAAAAATTAAAACAAATTTTAAATAAATAAATTGCGATTCCTATTGTGATCCGGCGACGGAAGGCCAATAAATGGTGCGGCGGTGGCTATGATCTAGCCTTCTTCGATGGACTATATTGTTGTATAGGAAACTGGCTGGTCAAATATGAATGACTTACCCTTACTTCAATGTGCTTGTTCTTCAGTGGGCCCACACGGTTACGGGAATCTCAGGAATTCACTCAGGTTGATTACAACTATTAAGACATGCGTGCGATATGAGTGCGACGTGCGCTCGCGGCGAAAGCTATGACATCACTGATTATTGAATTAGCCGGGAGGGGTGTCAATGCACAAGACAAACCAGGTACGCATCGCGTTTGGCGTAACCAGTATTTATACTAGTTGTCTAGTACTCATAACACAAGCTCTGCTTACCGTGGGACTAGATGGCGCTGTGTTAATTGTCTAGGGTTATTTGTCTAATGGAATATTATTAATTTTAGGTTCTACGTAAAATGACAGCGGAGAAGGAATCAGAAGCGCCCAGTCCAAAGCAGCAACAGTGGGGGCAGCCCTTGAAGATGCCACAAGGAAGGCCCATAGTCAAAGTTAGTATTTTTTTAATCGGGCTGTGCTTCAGTCGTAATGTGGATACTAGTGAAATTAGTGATCAGAGACATGACGTCTTAGTTCTCTGAAATGGGAACGCATGAGTGCTATCACAGGTATCACATACTGTTCGTATACCTATATGGCGACTATTACCACTTACCATCAGTCGGCCGTTAGCTAGTTTGACCGACAGCCATAGCAGAGTCCCAAAAGCCCAAATGGCATGTCAGGTCAATCGCGATTGCCAATATTTTTCCTGGATGTATTGAGAAGCAACAGTGAGGATATTGGTTAATCCATCTACGTAAAAGTAGTGAGGATATGTTTTGTTTCGTATCCACGGCCTCGGTGGTATAGCGGTTCAGCACACCGCCTTACTTCCGATGGTCGCGGGTTCGATTCCTTGCATGGCACAAATATTTATATTCATGAGTATGATTGTTTGTATCGTTCTAGGAGTTTCCTATGTATAATATGTATGTATTTACGAAAAATATATATTAATGTGTTTGTATAAATTATCTAGTACACAAGATTTATGTAGCTTAAATCGGGCCTAGAGGGCGCTGTGTGAATTGTCTTGAGATTATTATATTACTAGCTGAGGCCGTACTTTCACCCGCGTTAAATTTCTATATATAAATTTCAGTAAAAAATATAACCTATGTATTATTCTGATGAATAAGCTATCTTATTGTAAAATTTCAACAAAATCCGTTCACTAGTTTTTTCGTGAAAGAGTAATAAACACCCATACTTACAAACTTTCGCGTTTATAATATTATTAAGATTTTTATTATATGTTATAGGGCAATCAAAGTGGGGCGCCTCCAAACATGGCCTACGCACCCGACTACCAGCAGCAATATCTCACGCAGCAACAGGTTAGTACTTCGCCAATCTATATTAAATGCAATAATCATCAGTCCACTGCTGGGCATAGGCTTCTCCCAAGGCACGGTCATCAGCTCTTCTTGTCCATGTGCTGATATAGGTGAGACTGAGGTAACAACGTAGACGACTTTTAGGGTTTACCTCTGATTGTAATCTATTGTTAATAAATAAAGCAGTCTGGGTTGTTACGACATCTGTTATCTATCTATTATCTATACATATAAATAAAATTGGGGTGTCTGTTTGTAATATTAAATATAATAATAATAGATAAGGTGTAAATGTATATTATTATATACTAGCGACCAGTCCAGGCTCCGCACGAATGCATTAAAAATCGTTGAAATTCTCTACTTGTTCTATACCGCAACAAGCATGTATATATATAAACCTTCTTGAATCATAGATGCCAATATCTATTGCAGAAAACTGCATTAAAATCTGTTGCATAATTTAAAATATATAAGCGAACAGACTGGGGCGACTTTGTTTCATACTATATAAAGATATAATAGACTCGAACATATGTACTTATTTTTGAGCAACAGAATATTCGCAGGCACTCTGTAGCTTCTGCTGAGTTAGACTTCTCATATAAAGCTACCCGTATTTCTATTTTTATAATTTTCAGTAAGATAAGATATTAAGAAAAATATTTTTATGTTGCAGCAAATGGTGGGTGGGGTGCGCCCTTTCCCAGCACATTCGCAGCAGAGACAACAGGTTAGTTATAGCTAGCTACAGGGGCGGATCTATTCTAAGGGCTTTTTGGACTGCAACTACAAAGGGTCTCCAATCTCCATTCAAACTATATTTAGAGTATAAAAAAATATCTACAATGTTAAAAAACCTATCATTAGGTTGGCAACCCTGAGATCAATCAACCCAGGCAAGTGCGCGTCTATCGAAAGGAACGGGGAAGCTGGTCGTTTTATTTTTTTTAGTTAGTAATATAATTAGATAGGCCCCTAAGCAGATTTAGCTCAGGGCCCGACAAATTCACAATCTGCCCCTGGCTAGCTGTATGTTGGGGCACCAGGTTTGCCAACCTCAAATAATTAGCATGTTAGGAAATTTTTGGAAATCTGGTGTAATCTTATTTAGGCGCCATTTGGCACTCTCGTGCAATGTCGTATTTAATACTTGTATGGTTATAATATTAGTATCATTTTGAATTGACCCTTTTTCCTTTCACCCAATTTTGACTGATTTCAAAAGGTGGTTCTCGATATAACAATTGTTTTGTGTTTCTGAGAACTTAGGAAGATGAACCAGTTTGATGATTCTTTTCTTATTTATAAGATGATGTTTCTCATATGGTACCATATATATTCGATGATGATCTAACTGCGATTTGATTTGACCTGTCACAGCCCTATTTAAAAAATGCAAAAACCGAGCAATATGTTGTGTCAAATTTGTCTCCGGGATTAAAAAACTAACTATAGATTTGATAACAGCACAGACACAAACCTCGATTTTCTGATTTGACAATTTAGAATATTGACATTGACGTTTTGTTATCAGTAGTATAATATACTGATAGTTTACGTAATTTATTTATTTATTTATTCTTTTGCACACAAAAATGTATACATGGCGGACTTAATGCCTGATGGCATGACTTAATACGTAATGTTGTTTTATTGATTAAATATATTATTAATGCATAATGTACAGAGTTCTTACTTCACGTATTAATATTGTGATGTACCCTAACTCCTGTATGTATGTACATTTGTATATTTGTTTTGTCCACAGTATAATAATGTGAACAATATGCGCGGTGTGGCCGGCGGCGCCACATTGCAACAACTCCTCGTGCAATCACACCAACGGACGCTCAGTGGTCAGTATTTAGTATATAGTAATGAGTATGAGGTCAGGTCAGTTAGGCCCTTTTTTTTTTTTTTAAGATAGGATTAGTTCCCCGCCAGCGTAAACTGTTAGCGCAGGCGGGTGCAACATTCCATTATCATAAAAAAAAAATAGGATTAGTTACTCCACATTATTAACAATCTCCTTCCCCTCACTACTGCCTGTATTTGACTGCCATATCTCGTCCGTTAGCATGCTAAATTTAGGAGAAGTAACTGAGACAGCGATGCCTACCTGTAAGTTGGTATAATTATTCTATTGTAAAGATCAGATTTAATCCATGTTTAGTTTGTTTTTGTTGGATAAATGCAATAATTTTTAACCGATTTTTTAAATTATTTCACCTATATTAAGATAACAACGTGGAACAAAGCTGTATTCCACACGCTGTGACATCTAGTAAACTATGAAACTATTTCCATAGAAATGGCAGGCGGTGCAGGTTCGGGCGGCGGTGATAACCAGCTAGCGCGGTGGTTTTCTCCAGAATTGCTAGCGCGTGCCTCCGCGGGCAAACTGCCCTCTGTCCACGTGCCCAACGCACTCTCCCTCGAAGACTTGGAGCGGCATCACCACTCACCAGCGCCCCCTGTCCGCAACTGAACCGAACTGCGCCAACGGTATTGACAGCCCTCGTCCGTTCAGCAACAACCCTGTTCGACCGCACTCGATGACTTCGAAATTGAATGTGTTAGCAAATTATAGCCAATTAATATTGTTACCATCGAATATTGTTCGTTTTATCAACGGTAAATATTGTAAATTCATTCGATATTTAAAAGGCAGATTTTTCTTACTTGTCGTGTTCAATAATGATAAAATTAAAAGTAATAATCTAAAATGGTATAAAAAGCATTTATCCTAGCAAATTGTATAGTAATCAGATGTTTTATAATAAAAAGATTTTAATAAAGACAAGTAAAGAAAAGTAGACTTGCCATTCAACACAGAATATGAGATATGGCGCAAATAGCATTGGTCGTTTTGAAATGTTGATAAACTAATATAAAAATAAGAATGTCGCTGTGCCAGTCATTCTTATTTTTATGTCATGTATTCAACGAGTACAGAGTTGAATCTGATATTATTCAACTTAACAAATTCTAGTAAATATTTTGGATTGTGAAATTTAAAAGGAATTTGTCGTTCCATTTAAAGATTTCTTATTATATTGTGTTTTAATACAAATACATATTCGATAAAAAAGACTAAATGGTATTCTATGTAAAAACAATCAATTGGATTGATGTTTGTCACCATTACAAACATTGAAGCAATATAACAATATACCTCGTTAAAAATATTGTCGGAAATATTCTGTTTATAGTTGGTATATGCATTCGATCAAGAAACTAGTTTTAAAAAAATAGATTTTCCTAAATCAGTTGTAAATTCATATTATTGGACTGAGCTGAAATTGATATTGATGAATTTTATTTATTTTTATTGTATATTATGAGTTTTTGATCATACATCAATTTCAACAAAGATTCCTCTCTGCTTGCAAATAATTATGTTGTATCGATATTGGTACATCATGAATAAATAGGAACAACTTTTAAAATACTCGATAAATCAAATTAACACGATTGTATCAACAATGTGAATTGCATTTAATTCGGGATTTGGAAACTATTTTGGACTATAAGGTAGAAGCTGATGGTAGGGATGCAGTTTTTGGTGTATTACTTTTTATATATATACTAGTTTTTAGATTTGGCAACACGTAATAGTTACAATTTAGTTATAATTTTCCCGCCCTCTGTCAGCTCCCTTCTATACATCCAGTGCGTGTATGATTGTGAGAAATGAATGAAATTGTATTGTAATGTATTCGCGAAGTATTTATGAACTACATTCTCAGCCATGGTCATAAACAAGATGTGCGGACGCATGGGATGCATGTATAAACCGTCGAAATTAAACTCACAACGAGCCCGCCTAGTTTGTCTTGCGTCCGGTACATCTGAAAATGATGGGTTGATATTACGCAGAGCGTCTCTAATTGTGCATGTGGGAGTGTCAAAGAAGGATGAGTGTCATGAATGTTTGTCTATGGTTGTGTTTGTAAACAGTTTTGTTACTAAGTCATTTTCGTGAGGAGTAAATATTTACGTTGGAAGAGTAAATAAAGAGATATTTGTCATTTTTCATGTCTATACACTTATTGTTAGGTAGTAGACATTTTAGTGTGACCTTTTCAGTTTTTTTTTTTCACAATAACAAACTTTTTTTTGTATGACGATTTTGGAATTAGCACAAGTGTCCGATATTACCCATTTGTGTTATAAATTCCTAAATATATTTTTTTATAGGATTTTACTATATGCTCCACTGCGAAACTCGAACTCGTAACTAGGGCGCGACCGATCACCCGAGACATGAGCATTCGATTGTCAATTAGTTTTTGTGCGAACCAACATGGGACAACAGTGCATAGAGTTGTAACCGTCCAAAAAACGCTGCTATCTCAGCTCAAGGAAACCAAGCAATATAAGTATACAGCCTATGCCATTCGTTTGAACATACAATATACCACCTTAAAGCGACAGGAACAAGGATTGTTATTCAGTGCATGTTTGAAAGTTTTGTGCGTAAGTGAGGGTAATCATGGATATGTAAGTGCGCGGGCGCATTAGATGTGTCCGACCGTTTCGATTAATTTATATCGACTAGAGGCGGTGGCGAAATTTTTGTTTGTCTGGATTGTGGTAGCTCGGCCCGGTCCGGGCCGGGCCGGGCCGGGCCGGCGCTTACGTAACACGACAAGAGAATGTCTCCTGTAAGCTTTAAATTATTGAATAAAGAAAATTTCAAAGTTGAACTATGTTTTATTTTATTACCATTATATATGTATTATTATTATGATATAGGCTTGTGCAGGCGATGTCGGTTGCGAAGGACAATTATTAAGGGTTATATTAGTTTATTCTTTTCAGTTAGAACTACAAACGATTTCATATTTATTTCCTTATGGATAATAATGGAATGGTGCAACCGCCTGCTCTATCGGTTCACCAGAGAGTGTCATTGCTAAGTGACCTGACTCAGGTCACTTAGCGTCAAAATGAGAATCTCCTCCATTGTAATCTTAAAATGAAGACCACTGAAATGACAAATATGATTTGGGTTTAAAGGTCTTTACCGAGTCATAAATCTATTTATAAAATACTAATACGATACGATAGTCTCCTGACATAATGGATTCAAATGTACCGAGCTGACGTCCAGTACGTCAACAGTTGGCAATGCCTCTAAGGTAGCCATTGGGGACAATCGTGAAGACATTATTAGTAATACTGCTTCCACCTTAAGCACAATAAGATTTTCTGCGTTTCGCCTGACCTAACGTTATACTTGTGGGGTCGTTCCAGTATTACGTAAGATTTATTACAATTATTTACCCCCCATCCCCCTTGTGACTAAGCAAGGTAAAAAAGTAAGTAAAACTCATCCCCACCCCCCCCCATGTTTTCATATATTTTTTTAAAAAGTAAATTACTGATGGCGTAATCATTATCTAGACTCCCCTACCCTTCATATCATCCAAAATAAGCAAAGACCCTTCCGGACCCATACTGCTTCTGTAATACTTGAACAGCCCCTGTACAACAGCAGTGGATATGTATAAGATATGTATGAAGACAATTCACTTCCCCCTGGAAAGCGTCGTGGCAAATTCGCCGCGATTCTGGTGATCGTGATGCGGGTCTTGTTGTTCCGACTTCATACTCCATTGGTATACTCATTAGCGTTCTATATTGATTAAAAAATACACATAATATTGTTATTTTCAACAATTTGTCAGATTTCTAAAATGACAACTGTTTAAAACTTTATAATTAGATCAACTTAATACAGGATAAATATATATATAGATATAATATAATATACATACTTAAAGATCGGGTACGAAATGGGAAACAGGAGAAACAGTAAACAAATAGGAATAATGGTTGCTGTCCTTGTACCTATCTGGCGAAACGGACATAAGTAAGTAATTCTGGTAGGTATTTTGTGGCAAATGAGTATGACAATAGTATTATTTTAATTTATTTATTAATATTAAATAATTTTTAACATAACAACAATACGAATAAATAAATTGACAGATGTATATCAAACAAAACAATAAAAATCAAATAATTTGCTTGTAGGTTGACATTTTGACAGATAGCTCGCTTGACGACTGAAGGCAAAACGGTGTAGCGCAGAAATTGTAAAATAAACTACAACAAATACACACAGTGAACTTTTAAATAAAAATTGTGTTTACAACACCTACCTTACTTCGAAATTAACATCTATATTACAGTAAATATGCTATATTATGGTCAAAATAACACCTAAATAAATATCGTAACCTAACACAATCGTAACGAACGATCACGGCGGCATTCGCAAGCGGACTGGCTGGCGTGAGGAAACAAACTGGTTTGGTTGCTGTTATTTTCGTGACGTTTTATCACAACGCATATGCGCAGTGCACAAAGTCCAAGATCAATAATGTTAGCTGAAGTACGTGATATCAAAATAACTGTGCCGTATTATAGATAAAGGCAACTTAGCCAACAAAAGGCGTTTCTTGTGAAGATTCTTCAAGTCTAGCTCGTGTATTCGTAATACCAATGTCGAATTAGATATAACTAAAATAATATCGATTGATAGTCTTGAGTATATAGACTGTTAATGAACATATATACTGTGTAGAAACATAATATCAGTTACAGATTAAATTACATGTAGAATAAACACAAATATCACACTGTACGGTTGTGTTGCAAATTGATATATGTTGCAATTCTTACATGATTCATCCATGCGATGTTTTGACTAAAAACCTACTTAGATAATGAATAAGCATTTTTATATTTGTTGTACTGAAAATGTGTAAATATAAGCTACAATATACAAATTATTAATGCACTAAAGCTGACATACAAGAATTAATTCGAAATCTAATAGATGCGCCAATTAGGTATATAAATGCACAAATGTTGTAAAGTTTACTTTGTAAATATAATAATTAATACGAAATCTGTTCACTGAACTATTTCTATTTCATAATAATAACTAATAAAGTAGAATTTTATTATATTACTTAGCGAACTGGACATGATAATACCTAATTCGATAAAATTTTATTCTACTAATATACACGAAAGTTTGTGAGTATGATGGATGGATGTTTGTTAGTCTTTCATTAACTTATAATTTGGTTATAAATTTCATGCGGATGAAACCGCGGACACAACCAGTTGTGTTTTATATACTTACATAAAATATAAATATACCTACATACGCCTCTACAAAGTAAATTAACGCGAACAGCTTATCAATAACTAGAAGGACAACCCAATGTCATAACGGCAGTTAAGTACCGGTTGCTAAGGGCGTGACGGCACAAAAAAATCCTTACACAATACGTCAATCCGAGCAGACTGGAGCGGCTACCCGATCGCGGATGCATGGGACTTACGTTGTGTGGCTTGACTGGTTATTTGTGCAAATAAGGCAACCGAGTAGTGTACTAAATTGGGTGTTTTGTGACACTAGCGTCCGGCCTTACTGAGTCCAGTGATGATTGCAATGTTGTTTACTCATTATTATACACTGGCCGCGGCTTCACACGTACACTTAATTATAATTTATTTCGGCTTTTCTGTACTACAATATATGTATACATATAATACACATAAATCGTCCCCTTTAATCACCGTAACTATTGCAAAATTTGTATACGATCTCTTGAACTACTCAACAGATCGTATACAATTTTTGAAACAAAAGATGTTTTTAACCATGGACAATTAACACAGCGTATCTAATCCCACGGTAAGCAGAGCTTATGCTATGGATACTAGGCAACTAATATAAATATATAGATATTTTTTTTTGTAAATTGATACGTATATATACTCATGAATACAAACCTGACTCAAACCCGCGACCGTCGGAAGTAAAGTGGTGTGCTAAACCGCTGGAACACCTAAGCCGTCAAAATCTGAGCGAACAGACAGCTGATGCGATTTTATTTTATAGTTTGTAAAGAAGATAATGTTCTGTACAATACAATAAAATTTTGGTACAGCTAACCGTGTACCTATAGCGGTTAGAAATAGTATAGAATAGAATAGAAAATCATTTATTGAAATAAACTTACATTGAAGCACTTTTGAATAGTTATTACATTTTTTTAATCTAACAGAATATAATCGAATAGATGTCATTCATCAAAAGAAGAACATTGAAGCACTTTTTGCATAGTTGTTACATTTTAATCTGATGTATCTTGTGGAGAGAAGAGTTTATAGAGTAAGCACAGAAAATTAAGAATTTAAGGAATAAAAACTGGTAAATACTGATGTTCATGGTACTGTTTATGGCCCACAGAAAATTAAGAATTTAAGGAATAAAAACGCAACAGTGCATAATCGTCCATCCAATCAAATCATCGACCCCCATCCAATTCAAAAGGGGATCGAAATAACGACGGCTTGATAGTAGATTTTTCGAAAACCCCAGAGGTGCCATCAAACTAGTCGTATCCGTCAGGCCGAAGGTGGTCTTTAGCCACTCGTAGGTCTTTCCGCGCGTTTGGAGTACCATCTGCGATTGCCCTAATGTTATCGGAAGAGGTAAAGCCAAGTGTAAAGGCCAGTTGCTGACAACAACATTAGAGTTGTCCGAGAAAAAAAAATTTCTTTAACGACAGCTTACGCCAATTTTGACATGTTTAGGTATTTGCAAAAGTTATGCAGCTCCTACTCTTGATGATAGTATAAAATAATACACACATTCCCGTATCTCTCTCAACTATGATTATAATTAGAATATCAAACATATTGTGGTATAAAAAAACATTGTCTGACCGACTTCGACCATTTGAAATATTTATTTATTTATTATTCACTAGCTACTCGCCTCGGCTTCGCACGGGTGTACATGTATTATATATATAAACCTTCCTCTTGAATCACTCTCTAAAAACAATTTAATATCCGTTGCGTAGTTTTAAAGATTTAAACATACTAGGGACGGACAGACAGCGACAGCGACTCTGTTTTATACTATGTAATGATTTGCATTCCATAGTGTTATAATACAGGTTGACATCTATTATTATAAGAGCACAATGGACCCTGATGGGAGCAGCAAGCTACAATGAGATACAGTGGCTTTCACAGATATTAATTAGGTATTTTGTATATTAATGTTCTGATCGATATGTATATATATATACTTATTTTATAATTCATACATTATCTGTCACATATTCACTGACATTATAATAACGATGAGATAAAAAATATAGGCCGTTACTTCGTCTAGCTGCGGACTATTTTATTTGTTTGTACGGAGTTTTTACATAGACGGCATGTATCTTAATATATTGTTCCTAATACTTGTTTTTTTTTATTTAAAGCCGTCTAAACATACGATTAATATTTCCAACGCCATTAGCAAAAATAAGCCTAAGTTACTCCTAATGACATTAGCTATTAGGTAGTGAAAGTGCCGTCAAAAGTCGTTTCAGAGATTAGCAAGAACCAAGAGAGAGATAAAAATTAATTAAATTAATTTTTTGGTGTTAGTATATGTAGTTTCATAAGGATTTAGAGAATATCTGTTAACTTGAAATTTCAAACAGACACTTATATTTTAGTTATTTGTATAGATAAAGACAAAAAACCTACCTACATACTGTTACCACAGATAACATAATATTACATTTGTTACTAAATAACTTTATAATTTCCTTCGAGTAATAAACACATTTTCATTTATGGTTGCAGTACTTACGCTAAATAATAATCGCAAATCGTACAATACAATCCTATTAAAAACTGAACAGTTTCTCATATTTTAGGTTGAAATGCTCCTACATTAATAGATTTCTTTCATGGATGAGAAATACATTTTCATGTCTCCTTATGCTTGAAATTTCTAATGAATATTTAATACAGCTTAAAAAATCAAATCATATTTACTTTGCGATAAAAATAGGTAACCTACATGAGTTGCATATCCCACTATATCTCTCCTCATTAGGGCTGCAAAATGTAAAATTAGTTTGTTTAATTCTTTATCAAAAACACATCCCGGCAGATTCGTTATAAATACATACAAACATTATTACGTACCTACTTAAAAATTCGATTAAGGAGTAGAAACTTTTGTGGAATGACCAATTATTTAATTTATTCACCAATTATCCTCGTGAAATCTTCTTTATGTTCTTATAATTTTGTATCACTATATGAAAAATATTATTTTTGACCATACATAAATTCGTTCCACTTCATAGTTTACTTTACTATTCAAGTAATTTGTAAAATATAGGCATGATACTTATAGGTATATCAGTACATTTGTACTTGAATACGTAAACAAAGAAATGTAAAATAAAACAAGAGTACTCTATGCTTTTCACGACATTTAATTAACTGGTTAAAAGTACAGTATATTTACCTATTCGCGTAATAATTTCTCTATAAAGCGATGTAATTGAAAAATAATGAACTTCCATAACTATACTGACCAAAATATCACATTTTCCGCGACAAGATTCAATTTGCATAAAACTGTTGAATATGTAGTTATACCACTGTGATCATCCTATATGTAAATATTGACTAAACGATTGATAAGTAGCTAACACATTAAATTACTGCATCTAAATATAATTTGAAGAAATCGCCGGAAAATTATTAGGTTCCTAATATTAATATCATGATTATATTTACTAAAAGGATATCAAATACCTATTGCTGGGGGGTAGGGGCTTGTTAGTAAAGGGGATAGCAGCCCCAATACATATTGCCAACAATATACCATGTCAGGTCGACCTCCACGCGGTCGCTCCTGGAAACCATAGTGATCAATTTCCACTAAATTCTCCACGATGGGCATACTGACCTGATTATATTTTGTCTGGTGTAAAATCAATATGCCATATTTATTTTTAATAAATGTTCAGGATGTGTTCCGAAAATTTAACTTAATACTTACTTCCCCAAGTAATCTAAAAATTAGAAAATTAACTAGATTTCTTCTTAACCTAACGAATACTTGATCTATCCTTATCCTATTAACATAAGCTAAAAAATATTCATTACTAGGCGGACCGGCGCGACTTCGTCTGCATCACACTTTTTAAATTATAGCCTATGTGTTATTCTGATGTATACGCTATATAGTTGTAAAGTTTCATCAAAATCCGTTCAGTAGTTTTTGCATGAAAGAGTTGCAAACATCCATCCACACTCAGAAACTCATATACCTACGCGGCGTACCGGCAGATACACAAAGAAACTATTACTTCACGAACTTACACAATGAATGTACATTCTGAGAAATTCACATTCAATTGTAATTGTTATAGCTGTCTGTAATAATAGGCAGGAAAGCAGTAGGCCGGGCACTGTTTGAAAACTAGTTTGTGAAGATCCCAAATGTTGAAGCTTATTCAACATTTGGGATCTTCGACACACATTTTAAACAATTAATAATACCTAGGTAATATTAATTGTATAAACTTATATATTCAAAGTGGCAAATTCACATAAATCAAATTGGAATTCTTACTGACATACTAATTGTGTCGATGTATATTTTAATACGCCGCTCATATTTTATTACTTCGACAATTCGTCAAAACTTACGTATCAGATTGTAAATCGCACTTTAATATAAATAACCTACTAAATAAACTACTTTTGGGTTCTCTATCAAATAATCCAAATAACACTGTCGTTGAAAGAATCATATTTTAGTAGTCTGTATACGAATTACTCTTGCATGACACTTGACAAGTTTGACATGAAATGTTTCGATATTTTGTCTTTTCCCCGTCATCTTGCTTACAACTGGCCGATAATCAGTTACGTCACAGAAAAAATAACTCGCGAATATTCTAGAACAACAATTGACTAGCGTTTGCGGGAATACCAAGAGGAGTTTGGTTTAGTGCGTACAATCACCGCGTACCGGGAATATCAATAATCCCAACAAAATAAAAGGAACACTCAAACACCGCGCCGCCCTGCGGTTATAGCGACGCTCGTCTGTCGAATGATTTTAGGATTGGCTCAGCGTTGTTGAGCCCGTTTGCGCGGTGGGGAGCTAGTTTGCGTCCTTGTTTCGATTCCACTGCATACTGACTGCGTTGCTCGCACTAGAGCTGTGTTATACGGTCCCGAGAAGAATCGCCATTACAAAGGAACGACTCTTTGTAACCACGGAATAATGTTTTATAATACCTGCGACTTGTGAACGTGATTAGGATTATCTGAATGTTTAGTTTTGTTTTGAGTTATACGGACAGGTTAGTAACACTTTAAATATAAACCTACGTTGTAGATGCGGATACGTTATGCTGAAAATTAATTAATATTCCGACATATGCATGATGGCGACGGCTATATGCGAAAGCGCGTCCCTTCTTCGATCAATTTAGTGTAATAGATGTACCCTATAGATAATTTAATACGTACTTACTAGTTTCTGTCTGTAGTTATATACTTTTACGGTGCCTATATGGAATTGACATATGTGAAACATGCTTTATTAAAAAAGTATATAGTCAGGTTGGTGCATACTGATATATTTATCAAAAGTAGCTGTTTTAAAACGAATGGCATTTTACATTGAATAAACATACAGGTACAGGTTTGGAATAAATTAAATATATTCAATATTAGTGTATAAGATGAGTATAAATATTTAGGTACTTAACAGTATTAATGTAATTTTTTGATTATGTAGTGCGTTATTAACATTTTTGTCTAATTCAATAGCTGCTCAAGCGGATCGTCAAGATACAGCTACGTACATAACTATAAAAAATGATTTGGATAAGGTAAATAAACTACAGTACACCTATTATTACATAAAGGTATTTCTTTTGTAAGTTCAACAATTAGATATTACTAATAACGTAATTATAGTAGGGGTCTAGTTTTGTGGGTTTCTGAAATAGGCACCTATGTATTTAATGTATTTTAATGAAAGGTATTAGTAGAGGTTATAATACGTAATATGCATTTCCTAAATTCAGTTTTATACACCTGTTTTAATAAAATATTATTTAAGAAGCAGTAAAATATTGTAATTATATTTAGAAATGATTTAAATATAATTACAATACATAAGTTACCTATATATATTCATATGTGAAGGAAATGAAATAGTATATGTATTTTGTATACGTATGAGTACATTTAATAATACGTTTAAAACAATATGGCCGTCTTAAAAAAATTGGTGTTTAAGTTTAAGCCAGTTTGCCACGGACGGGCGTTTGTGTTCAGTTGTCGAGCGTCGGCAACGATATTGTACTGATCCGTCGTTCATTGGTCGAAGCCGACCGCCATTTTGTATTCGTTGTCTAGCTTTGATTTTATTTAGTTGCGTTCATGCGTTCATCGTGTTCATTTAATTTAATTTGTTGCTGAACTAACAATGTAACAAACTTAACATTTAAAAAATAATATTTAAAATATTGATTTTTGATTAAATATTTTAAAAACTAAGCAGTGGGTGGAATTGATATTACCGTTCAGCTAAGTTTCTATTTTAATGTATTTTATTAACTCATAGTTTTTGGCCGAGAGAAAGATAGGTGCAGTGAATATCAACGTAAGTATAATGGCCGACTGATTTTCGTTACGTATTAATTTATACATGTAGGTGTTTTGCTTATATTATGCTACATGCTTATGTTATGTAACTGCCTGGTAGGTGAAGGTCTACCAATAGGTTAGACTCCGAATGAAATCTGGAGTAAATGCTATATAGGATAAATCAAAAATAAAACTAAAACAAATAAAAATAAAACGTTTCGCATTTTTTTAATAATGAATCAAAAAAACATTTCGATTTTTTTTCTTTCACATATAATTTGTTGTGTGTAAGTTTGATAAATAACAACTTTACATAACCTAATGTAGTAACAATGTGTAAGAATCTATTAAATATATATGAATACTTGCAACCATTTTCTACTTAAAACATTTATACAACAATGGCGTCGCATTTTTAGTAGGTACATAGATTTCCGTCTATATTTTTTCTATTACAACTACTGAAATAATTGCTGGTGTTTGGTAGAACGATATTGTGGATGTAGTTATAATATTAATTATAACATATCGTCGTATTTTACCACAAAACAAGTAAAGAAAATAACTATAAAGTTTATTGCTGCTACCATAATTGATTACTTTTTAATTTTATGTTAACAAAATTTTGTAACAGGTTCTGGACTAGTTAAGACCATTTAAGTTAGTGTTGCCAGTTGGATTATATTTTATTATAATGCAACATATTCAACATATTTTGTTAGATATTACGATTTACTGAAAATAAATTAAAATGATGTAATTCCTGTTAATAACACCAGTTTTTAGTATAATGTGTTATACAACCATAATTTCTTCGATTTGTAAAATGAATCTCTAAAAGTATGGAGTAAGTAAGATTTGCTGGGAGAATTGCCATGTTTAAGGTATTGAAAGTGTACCTAAATATGAACTTTCTACTGGCCTTAGTAACCTAATATTTACTAAAGGTTCTGATAACGTGGCGGCATTAATGCGTGGTTGGGAAAGACAAAAAAGTTCATACGTGCATTTATACTATAACAAAGATGCCGAGAATGTAATTGTATTTGTGTAGTGGGTATTGATTAAAAATACTGTTTGGAGAAAAACTTACTACCATTATTAATATGTTGCCAGTTGATGCCGGCCCAGACCTACTTAGGTAGAATATCTTCACAAATTTCATTACTTAAATTTTATCATATAAAAGTAACAATTCTTGTGCATAAATTGTTCTAGCGATTAGATTGGAAACTTGAACTTAATATACCTACATGTACAGGTTCTGTTAAAAATATGATTTTACTAAAAAGTGAAGTCGCTAAGTCTGACCTATGATTTTTAAAATAACTATTCAGTTACGACGTCCATCAACAACGTTTGAGCTATTTATTATTGATTCCTGAAAGTCTCGATCGAATACATTGCTACTTTCTTCTTCCTGCTAAATGACTTAAATTTACTTAATTTCATACAGCCAGTCTTTCACGTTTATATAGTTCCCTAAGTAGTTAGTTAAAAATTACAACTTCTTTAATTTTCTTTTTGTACTATACATTGTGTTTTTTTTGTGATCTTGCGCAGAGGTTCAATTATCGATGTATGTTTTCGTAGACCTACTCTGTGATGAAGAATCCAGTTTTCTGTAGACAAAAATTACTAATAAAGTAATAGTTAATTTTATTATTGAATATATATAGATATTTATTTACATATTGATTGTAGTGAGGAACCTCATCGGGAATGCCCAGTAGTATTTTCGCTACTATATTAGTTCAAACAACAATATCACCACACTAAAATCTGCAAGTATTAAGATATATTTAAAACAAAACCTTATAGATAACTTCAAATTGTGAAGATATTTGTCAACCCTAAAATTGTGATTATAGGTATAAATAGGTATAAAATCGATGTTCATCAGCACTTGTGAGAAAGAAATGCACACTATCAATTCACAATTATATTAAATTAATTACTAACATAGCGACATCTCACGATATTCTTTTTTTCAGCAATAAAAATGGATTCGGAGTACGATCGCAAGTTCGAGGAGATGAAGAAATATGTTCCATTTTTAGAGAGTATGATAAAAAAACTGGAGAGCACCAGTTCAGGATCATTAAACCCTCGGCAGGCGCAACTCGACAAAATCAAATCACTGCGGGATCTGCTTCTGGACAGGAAGAAAAGGTTTATGGCGTTTAATACTTAACTATGCGTTGGACGCCGTAATATAATTATTTCCAAAATATTTTGACGGTGTTTCTCTGGACGGGACGTATGTTGTTAATGCCACCATAGTAGTATAAAAAAAAAATGCAGAAGAAACGAAAAGATGTCTATTTGATCTGATTTAAACGTTTTAAGAGGATTTGTTGTCCTTTTCCTAAACAATTGTTGCATTTACTCTACATGTTCTATCACGTGCTTATGAACGTCACATGCGATTTAGTTCGGAAAAGCCTGCGTCGTGAGTTATTGCATTTTACTATTTTTTCTGTACAGGGTGTACATGCTGTGTTCACGCGTGATAGAGTGTCTGTTTCATATCATTTCACTTTTTAAATTATCTTTTTTAATCCTCAGATTTTATTTTCCAAAGATATAATAATTGTAGTTACGTTTTTGCTAATAGCCCTAATATCGGGCTACTCGAACAAATACTCCAATAGACTACTGATATTGAGTAAAAACAACATATGCATGATGACTAGGGCCCTCACAGGACACTGCAAATTAAACAACCATATGGCTAAACTAGGCCTATGCACGACAAGAATCTGCAGATTCTGCCAAACTGAAGAGTAAACGCCACTGCACATCCTATGTGGTTGTAGCCTACTCATGCATAAACGAAATATCTCCTTTGGAAAGTTTACACCCTTTCCCGAGGAGATAAAAACCATCGCTCCTAAGAATATCCTTAAATTCTTGTCCCTGACGGGTCTTGGTAGCGAACTTTGAAAAAGGGTGAGCACACTAGATCTATATAGGTCGCAGTGCTACAGGTGCTAAAAACATCTGACAATAGCCCAAACAACCCAATAAAAAAAAATATATATGTCTTTGCTCCATAGAGAATGTCCGCAGTTTTGCAATAACAGTTTTTACAAAAAGTACTAAAGGACGCAGCAACGGGCCAACAGGCCGGGCCATGGTCTTTCTCGTTCTCTTCGTCTACATTGACATGTATATTCCTTTCTACGTGAAAGCCGTAGCGCGCGCTTAAAAGAGCATATGTGTAAAGGCAGCTTTTGTTGTTTACGATAAAATATACATATACATATAATATAATAGACTAAAGGTATACAAGCGTATTATGAATGGAAATATCCAGTTATTGAATCATTGTTTTGTCAGTTCGAAATATTGTATGGTACTAATGTACTTTTTCTAAGGGTGATTCTATACAAAGTAGTTTGTCTGGGTACTTCTGTGTCATCTCTAACCACCAAACACCTGTAAGTTATGTTTTGTTTGGAAGAGGGAGACTTGATAGTGAAATACAGCGTATTGTGGATGGAAAGATCCAGTTATTCATTAATTACTATTAATTACTAATGTACTTTATTCAAGGGAGACTATACAAAGTCGTTTGTCCGGGCACTTCTGTGTCACCTATAACCCCCAAAGAAGAGTGAGACATGATAGTGAAATAACAGGGCATGGAGACGCGATTTTAGTTATCGGAAATGGTATTTATTACCCAAGGGTTACCACGAGTGTTAAATGGCGACTTGTTGTTTGTGATATTTACTGTTCATGTATATATTCCTACTTTTAAGCAGAAAGAATTCCATTTAAAATAAATCCTCGCTCAATATTTCTATTAGGTTAATTACTCATAGTAAGGTTAGTTAATGGTTGATATAGTCCTGAAAGGAAGGGCTAGAGTGTATGCAGGAAGATAAGTCCTAAATAGGAATGAATACCGAGATGACTGCGAACATAGTACAATAAATGAGAAATACGGGTTACCGAAAGGACTATGATTACGAGTTTTTAGTTTAAAATTTATTTTGATGTAATTGTCTATGACCTCACCTAATGCCACATGCCTTTATAACTTATTGAATTTGCCTAACATTCTCTATTTTAATAATTGCCCAATTAGATTTTTATCAATTTTAGATTTATTTATGTGACACTGCAGGCAAAAAGAAGTCGTCTTTGGAGCATAGTTTTAAATTTACCATTTAACCTGGTTTGACATAACAACGTAGTACATTTTATTTAGGCATTGGGATTGCTTTTGAGTCAAATAAATGTCGACATTAATCGGCCTTATTATTTATATTGTAAATGTGGATATTATTTTATTTTCAGAATGAAAATGGACAATTTACTGAAATGCGAACAAGTGCTCATCAACTTGTACGCTAAAGTAGAACAGGTCTGTACAACAACAAAATAACAAATATTTTTATATAAACTTTCTAATTTTGAATAAAACGTTATTACTAATTTTTTAAATTTATTCATACTTAATTAATTACTTTTGAGATGATTAATTATTTTTATAATTTCAGAGAGACTCTATGTCCAATAAGGAGACGGCAGAGTTTAAGCCAAAAGAAAACGCGGAGTTAGAAATCGTCCGAAATAAATTAAAAACTGTGGCAAAACGAAAGGAGGACGATTCATTGCCCGAAATAGCTGGTGCGAATGAGATTCCAGAAACCAGTATGGCTGGCAGTAAGGAACCAGCCTTATTCCAAAGGAGACCCAATAAAAATTCTCTTTCTCAAGAAACGTCATCAAAACGTAATTATACTCGAATTTTGGTTTCTCCTGAACCCAATACACCGCGTTGGGCCAACCTTGAAACTGCAGAAAGGGCTCTTTTTAGCAGACGATCACCTCGAAAATCGCCCCAGTGCCATTCACCAACATATAAAAGAGAAAGAAAAAAATCGTCTAAGTCATCACGTAAACAACAAGATTTGAACATTACGTTAAAAGTACCAGAGGAAAGTTTAAATTCCTTAAATACAACAGATATTCTTTCTAGAATTATAAATTGCAGCGATGGAGATGTCGACATTGACACTTTAAGAGTACTAAGAACACAAATACTAGGCGAATTGAAACATACCGGAGCAACAGAAGATATTTCTGATTTAATACTTAAAACTAGTTCTAAGAAAAAGAAACCGAAAGAGAAAGCGGAGGTAGAGGAAGGAGAGCTTTCTGACAGTGAAAGTGAAGCCATTGAAAATATATATGGTAGTCTTGTTATATTAGATAAAGACCAGAAAACACCTGGGCAAGTTAAAACAAACAATGAAGATAAAAATCCGCGTAAAATACAAATTCGTCTTGTAATAAACTCGGACAAAGATACTAAAACTGATAGGGATAAAGACCCATCAGGAGAAACTATGAATAAGAATGAATTTGATAATTTCGATTTTGAAACGTATCAAGGAGATAAACTTGTAGAGTTTGATACAAATGATTGTGTAAAAGAGGACACGTCAATACCTTCTAAAAATAAATGTGACCCTATTCATATTACTACTAAGAACACTGAGTCCACTGATATTGATGAGAAAAATATAGATGAGACTTCTGCAAAAAATATGAATAAAAATACTGAAACTGATTTAGTTTTTGTATCAAAGGATGAGTTAAATGTGGAGAAAACACAAGATACTATATTCAAACCTAATTTTTATAAACCATTAGTACAACTAGATCCTATTGCAACTAATAAATCTGTTGAAGATAAAAGCGGCAAGAGTGTGCTGTCACAAACAGAAAAGAAAGATGACATGCTAGAGGCTGTTGCAGAGAAGGTAGACGATAATACAGAGATATTGAATACAAAGGAAAAAGATGTAGAGATACCATTACTGAATGAACAAAGTGTAGTTTCGCAACAACCAAAAGAAAGCGTAGTTTCAGAAATAGACATTTTACAAGCTTTGAAAAATGAAATATTAAGTGAAAATATAGCTATTCCTGGAACTGATGCTTCAACACCTCCTTTACATCAACCTAAGGTTACTAAAGTAGCTAGCGCTCAAGAAATTCTTCCTAAAAAAAGGATATCTATAGAAAATTACAAAAAAAAAACGAGTAGTGCTGCGTCTACATTATTTCCTTCAAAAGAAATTACATCCTCGTCTATTAATGATGAACATAACAAAAAACAAAGCCTTAAGCTTACAGAAAAGGAGTTCGAAAGATTTAAATCAATACTAAATGACATCGTAAGCTCAGATGATGACAATGCTAATGGTTCAATTGCTTCTGTAGATGATATTTACAGTGATCTGGCACCTAAATCTCCGGATGACGATAATAGTGCTAGTATTGGAAATAATGCTCCCATTATAATACCCATAGATCCTATAAAAACGGCGGAAATAAATTCTAAAGCCGATATTGATATGAGAAAAAGTAATACAATACCCTCCCCGCATTGTAGTACTGGAATTCCATTAGGTAATACGACACCATCTGTTACTGATACATTGCAGTCTAGAGATGACGGAAACCTGGATAAAAGCAATTCCGAAAAAATGAGAACCATTGCAGATCCTCGTGTAAAAAAAGTATCCGACAGTAGCGTTAAAGAAAACGGTAATCAATATTCACTGACTCCCGATAGGACACAAAAACCACTACAGTCTGTTAATTTTCCTATCATGACGCCAACAGTGGCTCCAAGTATTATTCCAAATGTAACTACGAATATGAATCCGAGTATGACACCAAGTAGGACTCCCAATATGACACCCAGACCATATGATATGATGCATCAGTCATTCGAAATAGAGGACCAACCAAAACGAAAACATGTATACGCATCACTGTATGATCCACGTGACTATAGAGATCAGTCCGTAAATCGTGATGCTATAGATTCTCATTGGGAAAAACAGGAGAATTCTACTGAAATTCGAAAAAACAAATGGGATACACCGGAGACGAAGGATTCTAGGAAATGGGATGAGTGTTCAAGAAGCAGTTCTTTACAAAGAGACTCACAGGACTTCCAAAAATACAAAAGGTACAATGATCCATATCATTACAATAAGTATAAAAATTCAAGACGTGACAGATATAGTTTTGACAAAAGAAATGAACGTTATGGTAAAATGGATCCATCTACATCTAGTCATCATTATAGTAGATCTGAGTGTCCGTCAACACCCTCTCATTCCTTCGGCAGATCTGATTGCCCACCTACACCTAGTCATCCATTTGGCAGATCCGATTGCCCACCAACACCTAGCCATCCGTTTGGCAGATCCGATTGCCCACCTACACCTAGTCATCCATTTGGGAGATCCGAGTGTCCATCAACACCCAGCCATCCTTTTGGTAGATCTGATTATCCGCCATCTGGAAATAATTCATTTGGCAGATCTGAGTATCCCCTTACACCTAATCATCCTTTTGGTAGGTCTGAATGTCCACCAACGCCTAGTCATGCATTTGGTAGGTCTGAATGCCCTCCAACGCCTATCAATACATTTGGAAGATGTGAATTAAGTTCAGATTTGCCTGTGACACCCAATCATCCATTTGGTCGATTAGACCGAGACCCTAGACTCAAAAGAAATTCAGAATTTGAATCTAACATTGCAGCTGATGATAAAGATCGTGGTCACTTCAGAAGTCGAAATATGCAATTTGGTTTCTACAGTAAGTCGTATAAAAACACCGACAATTATAGAAATTATAAAGGTGATGGGAGAAATGAAAGACATAGATATTATTCTTATGAACAAAATGAATGTCATTATTACAAAGATTCAACTTTACAGGAACAATATTGTAAAGATCGTAGGTCTACCGGTAATGATTACCACGAAAAGGAGAAAATAAGAAATCGAGAACGAAGTGTTGGGCGTAGTATACCCTCTGAAGGGACGATCGTAAGAACATCACGAGAACATAGTGTAGGAAGAAGTTTTGAAGTAACGGATACTGATAATACATTGTCTGTTAAATCACATGCCGGTCGTTCCTTTACTATTGACACCAGAGTCGATAGAACATTTCAAGGAATTAACGATAATGAAGACTCAACTGAACGTACTTTTGATGTCAGACGACAAAGAGCTGCAAGTGTAGGTCGATCATTTTCTTCCGTTCGTGACACGAATATTGGAAGGACCTTGTCTCATTCTTTTAAATCAAATGATTCACATGTGGATGGAAATATAAAAAGAAATTTCAGACGAGCACTTAGTGTTGTACGTAGTACTGACGAATCTAACATGAATAAAAGCTTCAAAGAAATCAAGGCAGATTTGAAGTCTTATAAATTAGAAAACAATAAATATGAAAGACATTCTCTTACCCTTGATAATATTCACTCAAAAGGAGACAATAAAATTATTACTGGAGACAAAGAGAGTAAAAATGCCAATAGTTATCCTAAAGTGTCATACTCGCCTCGGAAAAATAACAGAGATCCAAGATTACAACGCGAATTACTTTCAGACAAAAGTAAGTACAAATACAGCAAAACTAAGACAGATTATGACAGGAAAAAACATGGTATTGTATATTCGCATGACAATATAGCTAGTGGATCTATATTAGGTTCGGGTTACGGCGTTAAAAATTATAAAATTCCCAAAATAAAACGTGTAACTGAAATCGAACCTACAAAAGAACTACCTGATGATTCTAAAAAAATCGAAAAACAGACGGACAATAAATTAGATGATAATTTGAAGAAAGATGTTAAGCAAAATAAAAGGAATGATGTAGTGTCCAAGAAAATGCCTAAAGATTTGAAAGAACCCAAACTTAAAGAAACGGAAAAAAAGTCTGCTGCGAATTCTCAAGTGAATACGGCAACCCCAATGGAATGTACCGAAAAAAGGATCACAAGATCTAATAAGAAAGCTGAAAGTGAAATATCGTCGGGACAAGAAAGTATTACAAAAACGAAGAGACGAATTCGTGTTTATAATTCTGACTCGGATGACAATTCTAAACTTAGTGATACGAAATGTAAACATTCGAATAACGAAAATGAATCCAACAAACAGCAATCTGTTGTGGATAGACAATCACCAAATGAACAAGACTTAGATTCTAGTTTCGGTGTAGATGATTTAGAAATGTTTTCAGACAATATTGTAGATCCTGTACTTGAGAACATTAATGCTTTGATAGCTGACTTAGACCATGATATAAACACTCCTAAAGATAATGCTAATAACAATTTGAATAATGAAATTAGTATTGACAATATGTTTGAAAATATTACAAGTGAAGTAATAGATAGTTCCAATAAACAAAGTGCGGACGATATATCTTTAAGTGATATCACGGAAATAATAAAAAATGACTCCCGGGAAGATCAGAATTTGCAACACAATGCTGCTAACTTAACGAAATCTTTAGGTAATGACATAATTTCACAAAAATCCCTCCTTGGTCCTAATGAGGGAGAAAGTGTTAAGCCCGATAAATTTGTTGAAATAAAAATTCTTCCTGAAGCTTCAACAAAACCTCTTGAAAATTCTTCCTTACAAGATAACTGCGAAAATCACCCTGTAACATTATTTCCGCCTAAAGAGGGTAACGAAAATTTAGTTTCCACAACGGATATTGATTCCAATACCAAAGACCAAAACCTTAGTCTTACAACGAATGAAAAAAGTGAAGTCAGTATTGTAGATGAAGATAATAGTAGAAATAGCCGCCATTGTTCTGTACCCGATAGCACGAATAATGTAGTTGTAACAAACAATTCTATTGTAGACGAGGATTTACCAGATAGCACTAATGATAACGATTTAAAAAGCGAAATTAATTCTGATATTACCTCCAGCCATGATACAATTGAGATAATAAAATCTCCTATAGAACAAAGCTCTTCAAACAAAAATGTAACACATGCAGTCGATTCTATAGACAGCATATTATCGATATTGCAAAATAAATCTAAAATAAAGGAGTTATTGAGTAAGTTGGTAGATCAAACTAGTGATAATGAAAAAATTAAAAAGAAACTTGAAAAACTAAGTGAAATTGTTTCTGACGATGAAGACACTAAAGACGACACTGATCAAAACATTACTGATAAGATATTGAATACAGAGTCCTCTGACCAAAATGATGCAAACAGCGAAATTGAAAATGTCAATTTAAGCAAAGAATCAATTGGTACAAATGCAAAAGACGATTTAAGCAAAGAATCAATTTGTGCAAATGAAAATGACGATTCAAGGAAAGAAACAATTAATGCAAATGATAATAAAATATCTGACGACAATAAGTTAACAAAAGATGATAATGACACAAAACAGGTAGCACCTGAAGTATCTTTGAACAATGAATTACATAATACGACAACTGACAGCGAAGTAGTAAATAATAATCTTAATAAAAAAGTTCCTATTAAAAAAGGTAAGGTAGTAAAAAGAACTAAAATTGGAAAAAATCGAAAAAAAACCTTAGCGGAAGGAAAACGCGTAACCAGATCTGAATCTGCTAATATACAAAAACCGAAGAATAAAGTATCAAGAGAATTACTGCAATTGCAGGAAGATATTAAAGAAATGTTTATAAGTGAAGATATTTTGAATGCTACCGGAATTAGAATGTGCCGCTTAGCAAAACTTGTGGATGAAAAAATTGTTAGTCACAAGGAAAATGTAAGTACGGCCGATAACGAACCAGTTGTGGTATTAGAGAAATTTAAAAATACTCAATCGAATCAAGATGTACCCCTTTTGGAGAGCAAAACTGGTAAAACTATAAAAAGAAATCCTGGACCTAAATTCAAAGTGCGAGCTCAAAATGATAGCTCTGTTAGTGTACAAACAAATATTGACAAGTTAAAACTCAAATATAAACCGGGTCCAAAGTCAAAAACAAAAGTTGTTAAAAATCACGATGTAGATCCCTATGAATTTGAAACTGATTCGGTTGCCGAATCGAGCGTTAGCAAATTTAGCGAGAGTAGTTTGAAAGACAGTTCAGATTCCGAGAACGAATCTCTAGCATCTTCTAAAAGTTACGAAAGCACAGAAGTGTCAACTGAATTAAAAAAGAAAACGAAACGCAAAAGGCCTGGTTGGAATGCTGGAATTATTAAACCAAAGAATAAGAAACGAAAATCAGACTCTTTAAAAAATGTTGATATTTCACAAAAATCTGAAAGTACTGAAAGAACAGAGCAAATTGGAATACCCGACATGAACTGTTTTACTGATAAAACCTATTGTTTTCAAAAACATGTTAACTCATACTCTTGTCGATTATGTGTTTATAGTGGTGACGACATAGTAGCACATTATAAAATACAACATCCGCATTCGGAGATTCCTTTATCTCGATTGAATCCAGAAACTGCAAAAGAGGCCATTGAGCAATGCGAAGATATTAATTTCCAAGCTATTAGTAAAATACCTATGAATAAATTTGTATGCAGATTTTGTTTTAATAAAGAATTTGGTAAAAAGAAAAACTCATTAGAATCATTTTTCTGGCACGTCGTAAGCACACATACTGGTGAATATAAACAACTGTGCTCAAATTGTATCAACATTACCAAATGTCCGTTTAATTTGGATATACCTCCACCTCCGAAAGATACAAAAGGTCAGCTTATTGGTTATATATGCGGTAAATGTAATTTCACTCAGATATCTCTAGAAAATCTCAAGACTCATGTTATAGTTCGCCATAATGACGAACAGACGGAAGTTTATACAATAAACTTGGCAGTAATGTCTAAGAAGATGATGAATATTTTTTCAAAACGTAGCAGTGCCTCTGAAATAGAACAACCACGTCTGCTTAGAAGTACTCGATGTAACCAAAATATGGCGGAAACGAGTGATGATCGCAGTGACATCACTGATACCAGTGATGCAATCGAATCGATGGATAGCACACAACAATCTACGAAAGATACAACTAAAAATATAGAAGAAATGCTACGTGAGTCCAATTTTAAATCCAAAATCACCTTCGAAAATGATGATAGTACTAGTGAAATATCAAATATGAATACAGATGATACCTCAAAATATATAGTAAAACAGGAAGATGATGACGAAGAAGTGCAGCAAGAAGAGAGACTTTCAGATGAAGTGATAAATACAGAAAGCGAACTTGACTCTGAAAATGTTGAAACTCCACAAAAACCGATAAACAATACCATTTCAGACGACATATTTGCATATCCACATTTCAGGATCACCTATACAGAAACCGGAAACAAAGAATTTGTTTGTTGTATAAACGGCAATAAACACTATACAACAACACTGCTGATATCTATGAAAAAGCATGTACAACTCAAACACAACGAGAATTGGGACGGTTTTTGCTGCGTCTGTAAAGTGATTGTAACACCTCAAGGGCAGCATAAATTTAAAGACTGTTTGCAACATTTCCTTGATAAGCATATGGATGATTTCCCAGTATTGGAGAAGGTTGCACTTGAGCTGGAGGAACCTGCAGAGTCTACACCCGCTCCAAAACAATACATAAATGTTCGTCCTTTATCAGAATTGAAAGAAAAGATAACATCAGAAGAAATTCCGGTTGCAGCAGCTGTTTTGCCCAAAATTGAGAGCGTTATTAGTCTTAGCAGCGCCGAGTCAAGCCCCAGTTATTCTGTATCTTCTGCGAAGGAGAACATGCCCGCCCCACTACTACAATCACAAGACGAGCAGTATAATTATGAAGAGGCACAAGCCGAGGTGATGTCTAAGAAATACCATATAGTCTTAGAAGCAATGATGGCACAAGAAAAGTTAGTGAACGTATACAAATGTCCTGGACGTTATTGTTCCTTCACCACGGACTCTGCCGACGTGGCTTTGATGCATGCGAAGACGCACCAGCAAATCGGTGGCGAGAATGCATTGAGATGTGCATATTGCGATTTTGATTGTGGGGGTCACCCTATAGATTTAGTGGTGCACGTATTCAAGCATAGCGCCTGTTGTTTCGTTTGTGGGTATTGTTTCTACAGATCGGTAGCTAGTCAGCTGGTAATTGCCCATATAAATAGAGTACACACGGGCAAACCCTCACGTGTGCTGTGTGCCACTAACGCTTCACCGCCGTCTACTGAGAATGCACCTGCCATGCTACCCCGGGAAATCGTCGTACCTTTCTACGTGTGTAATCACGGTTAGTAAAACTAATGATATTTTTAATTATTTAAGACTAACCGCAAATTAGGATCCTGGATTATATGTATAATCTTGTAAATAATGTGTCTTCCCCTGACTGAGCGACCCAGTAGAAGACATAATAGCTAAGAAGATAGGGATATTCCGATACCTACTCATTTAAGTAGTACTCAAAACTGTTCGATACAACAGGTACTTACTCATATTAAGATTATTTTATGCATACAAATAAATGACGGCCCGTTTGTAATTTCAAATTAACGAACAGCCTGTCACTAAATGTATATGAAAGTACATACGGTATTTACATAAATAAATTTAATTGTTTTTCCGTTAGTTTGTCTAACGCTGGTGGGGCACCAGTGGAGGATGCCCCCCCCCCGACTTTACGTCAGACGTAATTTATTAATATTTAGTTTTTGCTCCGATCGATATCCAGTCTAATTAATCCTGAGCCTAAATTGCCTGAGCCGAGATATGAAGTCCTAGCGGAGCTTTCAGATTAAAATCGTATTAGTCGGGCATTCATTAGCCTTCAGCCGGTCCAAAAATCCTTCTTTGCATCTGCACTCGCCCTCTATCGTCCGGTGAAGCTGTAAAGTCCAGCTACTGGCAACGGCATTACAATAATTCGAAAAATAACAGTTAAAAACAAACAGAAAAGTTCATTTAAAGAAAACTAAAAAACAATCGAGTATTTTCTGTATATCTGTATTGTATTTTGTTGATTGACCAATGTAATTTGTATGTACCTTTATGTTGTTAATATTACGGTGCCTCGTGTGTGTGTGTCTTTAGCGTAATAAAAAAAATTATCTATTCTATTCTATTATTTTCAGTGGATAAGAACGGACGATGCAAGTTCCGCTCTTATACATCGCGCAAATTTAGTGACCACATCCTGCAGCTACACGGCGATGTAACCACTTTCAAATGCGACGTAAGAATTAAATTAATTACTATACTCCATTACTAATATTTAATAGAACTTACCTAGAAGGCAAACATTTTATCATCAACACGGGTATACATGTATTATACATATACACTTTCTAGAATCACTCTATCTATTGCTAAAACTGCATTAAAAACCGTTGCGAAGTTTAAAAGAGATTTTAGATCTAAGCGAATAGACAGTGGCAACGGCTTCATTTTATACTATGTAAAGAAGTAATACACTAAATGAAAGTAGCTCACACATATATCACTCTTCAGGGTTTTAACAATATAGGGATATCACCTCTTTTTGTAACAGTACTTATTTGTTTTCACTTTCTACATTGTATTACGAATATCATACAAAAATTCAGAGAAACATGGATAAATTCAATTTATTTCGCGTAAACACGTATGATAAAACAAATTATAGTATTAATACATCCAACACAACTCATAATACTTGAACATATAATCCCAATATATTGTATATAAATAACAATAATATATCAATTATTAAATAATAATTTAAGCTTAAAAATAAAAAATAATATTTACTGCATCTGTCAGATATGATTTGTCAGTCATATTTACTTATTTGTTTTGATTAAACATTCAATAGAATAATCGGAATAATCAATACAATTATTCATTTTTATTTCGTATTGCTTTTGGTCATCTGTAGACAGTCTATGGACGGGTTACCCGTTACCATGGATGTTATGGATATGAAATTTCGGATACGGATATGTTTCGTATATAGGAATGATTATAATATCGGATACGGATACGGATACGAACAGATACGGATGCGGATATGAAATTATTTCGGATCATCCGTTAGTTTCGGCAAGTCGGCGTCTATAGACTGCGTTCAAACGACGACTGTAAATGAAGACTTCTATTATTTGATAATCAAATAATTGATAGAACTTATTCATTAATCAAATTATAATAAATGACTGAGTAACTACAGTTGTCACAGTAATGAACTTAATGATTTTAAACTTAAATTGAATATGCATATTGTAGATATAGTGTTGTTTGCGTACATACTTCGTTAGTGTTTACAATTGGTCGCCAATGTAATCAATTAGACGATGTAAATTGTGCTATCTCTGCTATATTAAATTGATTCACATGTAATAATCTATTATTACATACAACAACCAACAAAACTAAGTGTATTAAACTCACGCTTCCTAATCTAAGACAAGTAAATACGCAGCTATTGCTTAATGATGAAATAGTAAATTTTGTTAATGATACAGTTTTTTTAGGAATAACAGTGGACTCGAAGTTACAATGGGGGCCCCATATTTCAAAATTGGCCAGTAGACTCAGTTCTGCTGTTTATGCAATTAGAAGGATAAGGCAATTAACAGACGTGGTGACGGCAAAACTTGTATATTTTAGTTATTTCCATAGCATTATGTCATATGGCATACTGGTATGGGGTAAAGCTGCCGAAGTAAATACTATATTTATTTTACAAAAGAGTGGCTCTCTTTTGTAAAATAAATATAGTATTTATACGTTCTATTTATGGTATGGGTTCTAGAGAGTCATTACGTCAATGCTTTTAACAATCAAATATCCTCACCGTTGCCTCACAGTACATTTATGAAAATATTATGTATACAAGGAAAAACTTAGATAGTTTCAAGAAACTTAAAGACTGTACAAGTAAAAACTTACGCAATAAAAATAAGCTAATTTTACCTAAATGCCGTCTACACAAAGTTAGTAATTCATTTTATGGTAATTGCGTAAGATTCTATAATAAACTGCGCTACGCTAAATCTAACAGAGAGGCAATTCAAAATTTATATTAAACACATGTTATGTAAAAAAGCCTATTATAGGATAGATGAATTCATAGATGACAGCAATATATATCAAGTATAAGGCTTTTAGCGGACAACGTTATAATTTGTTTTTCATACTGCTTTCTTGATGTATGATAGCGTAGCGGCTTTTGTATTGATTGCCGCATGCATCCGCATGTAAAGTGCGAATACTGTAACTACCATATAGTAATTTTTGTAGCTGTGACGTGGTCGTGTGGATTGAGTAGTCATGCTCACTAAAATGTCCAGACATGTGGCGGCGTGGTGGGCCGGGTCATTGGGCTCCTTAAAATATTGTCGACCGCAGTGATGGCTGGCTCATCCGTCATACTCGTGAACGAGTGCTGCTTGGGATTAGGACTAGGGACTGGTCTGCTCTTATCACTACGACTGATTTAATCTTATTGTATATTTATATTTGACCCAAAAAATTTGTGTTGGTTGGTAGTTTGTATTCACACGCTTCGACTTGTAAATGTAAACTTACAAGTATTATTTAAAAGAGCAACACACAAGTTTCTTGCTCATTTTTCTTGTGATGAGACAGCTTTCCGAACGAGTGGTAGATGAAGAACAAATTGTTATGACTATTCAAAAGTGCTTAAATTAAGTTTATTTAAGGCACAGCTTGTATGTAATAAAGAATTAGTTTGTATGAACTAGTAATAAGCCTGGAAATTTATATATAATATGTAATATATAATTATTATCACACATCGTGATATTTAATGAAAAAAATCAAATCTTTGGTAAATGTAAATTTTGTCTGACAAACTTACTAACTCGCGTTACAGATTTGTTCAGAGCCGCATGCGTCTGCAGCGGAGTTGATCCATCATATGAAGGAGCACAACTTCAACCTGTACCAGTGCACGTGGTGCCTGCACGGAGCAGACGGGGAGCCCGAGTTGCTGTCGCACGCTGCCACCCACCACCCGGCCCGCATGCCGCAGGCCTATCTCCGCATCATTACTTCCAAGGTATATTATTTCTTTATTCTATTATTTTGCTTTTCAATAGAGGATCTTCCTCCGTTACTGTTAGCACGCCAAGTTCCTTGTGAATTTCGAAAAACTTCCTAGGTATGACACGAAATAACTATTTTAGTATACAGGCAAGAAGGCATTCTGCTTTGGTAGTTCAGTACTAGTTATCGTGTTCATAGGTGGTGAGTGCGTATTATTTAAATCAATACCTAGTCCGTCAGAAATTTTAATTGACACAAAGTTTTTATGCAACAGAATGTGTAACATGTAGTCGTTGATAATATTGGTCATAAATATTTTATAAATATAAGATAAGATTAATATTTTCACTCTCCATTCCGTTTGGGATTAAAATCATAAGCTTTATTTTTAAAATAGTCAATTACCAGTTACAATATCCATACATGTGACAATAAGACTGATTGCTGCCTGTATATGGAAGATATATCAGAAAAATTATTATTGTAATAGACCACAAAACAATAGATAGTAGATTATATAGAACACAAAACTATAGATAATAGTTAGATTTGTCTGTTTGTCTGTGCGTTTGTACGCGCTTATCTCAGTAACTGCTTATCCGATTTAGGTGCAGTATTCACTAAAGTATTGTGTTAAGTTTTACTAAAAAATGAGTTAGTTATATACCAATTGGCTTACAAGCAAAAGAGACATAAACAATAGTTATACCGAATAAATATATTTTTATTTATGTTTACAGGAAGGCACGTCGCAGTACCGAGTCTTGCCATTAGCCTCTTTCCACAAGTCCAAAGTGAAAATCATTGAGGTCACACCAAACACCACTCATGAGAACCCAGTCAGAGAGGCTGAGAGGTCCATCGAACTTGAGAAGCTTATTGGGTTCACTAACCAACTAACTTTATCAGTGGGCACCACAGAGTCAGAACAAGACAAAGAAATGCAGGATAGCAACCCTACATTTTCTGATAACACACCTCAAAATATAGCAGAACAAGAACCAATTCTGACTGAAATAAAAGGAGTTGACCCTCCTTCAATACACACGAGCCCATTACGTACATCCACGCCACAACCACAACCAGATATAAGTCGGCAGGAAACACCTGTGTTGAAAACGGAACCAGTAGATCCAATTACTCCGTCTAAGGATCAGTCAGATGATATTGTTTGCTTAGATAGCGACGACGAGTCGTCTAGACTGACCATCATCGATTTGTCTGATGACGACGCTATCCGCCCTAGTCTTCCGAAAACACCTGAAGATGATTATAAGAAGATTCCAGAAACTATTTTATTCAAATGTCCTAAATGCAAGCTAGTATTTAAAAGCGCTGCTGGATTAAAAATACATCTTAGTTCATGTTATGCAGGGAAAGTATCGAATGTTCAGTGCGCACACTGTACAAAAACGCTTGAGAATAAAGAAACACTTACCATACACTATATTGCTGACCATGCAGTGAAAAGTCGGTATCTGTGTGGCGTTTGTGGCTTAGTTAATATGTCGTTAGCCATAGTAAAAAGACATGTTAAAAGCGCACACAAGGTGACCAAATTAGCGGTTATGGGCAAATATTCAACGGATGGTACCTTTGAGCATATAGTTATTGAATCGAACAAATCTACAAAAAATACTCGAGCACCCAAGAGAAAACTTTCATTGAATAGTTCATCTGAACCACAACCAAAGCTGAAACGTTACGGACCGCAGGATATTCATTTGTTACCTATCAACCCCATACTCGATGATTTAGTGCATTGCTCAGTGTGTAGTTTCAGTACAAAAGTCCGTTTGAACATGGTTCGGCATCTGCAGTTCCACGCGGAACAACAACCTGTGCCACAGATGGCGCCGGTCAATCCTGTTCCTCATTTGGAAACGAACGAGAAACACTTTGACAAAATGCTTAACCTCGCTTCCAGCTCTATTATCACTCGACTTCCCGAAAAAACTGCAAGATCGGAATCGACTCCAGTGGTGTCTACACTAATTCCTCCCGAAGTAGCATCCCGATATCCCAAGTACGTGCCCGAACGCCAGCGCCACACTTGCGGTGCTAAAGGTTGTTCATACATCTCTCTGGATGAAGCCATGCTCAGATGTCATTGGGAGACTTTACATTCGGGATCGAACGATTTCCACTGCGTTCATTGTCCACCTTATCAACACTTGGATACATCCAAGCCTTTGACGGCTTCGAGGATAATAGCACATCTGAAAATGCACGACACGACCTTGTATGCTTGTGTCTCATGTCCATACTACCATTATAAGAGGGCGGCAGTCGAGAAACATCTATCAGACGTCCACAAAGGTGGTCAAGTATTAGTTGTTAGGGAGGAAACCACGTCTATAGTTAACACGCAGCCTGTTCAGCCAGCTGCTGCTGCCCCAACTATGGACTTGAAACCTTGGCAGTGTGGATTATGCAAATTCAAGAGCATGCTTCGACCAGAAGTCGTTGAGCATTGTTCTAAGATACATCAGTCGAAAATGCAGTTTAAGTGCGCATATTGTCCATTCAGAACTTCGGCATTGGAAAATGTTACTAAACATCAAGCGAATGCGCATGCAGGAAAAGTTGAGGATATTTTCTATTATTACTATCGCGAAGGATCAATCCCCAATGATGCTAGTGGTAATCCAAGGTGGTTGATTCAGCGACAAAGGAGTGGCGTAACTGCTGAAGCTGAGGTTAAAACTGAGTACCCAGACCCTTCCCTGCCCAAGGAATCATTAAGTGCCCTTGAGTCACTGCAGCCACGGCTAAGTGTCGACCTCAATATAGTAAAGCAGGAAGTGGATACAACACCTGCCACAGAGCTCACCATGGAAGACCTCTGTAAGAAATATGGTAATTTTTGTGACACAAATGGCTTGAAATACAAATGTCCTCTATGTAAGGTTGTAACGGAAGATGACAAGGAATCTATACAATCACATTTATATGAAGAATTACAGTACAGAAAGTGAGTATAATATTCAAATTTATTCGTTACTTTTACTATAAATGAAATATGATTTTTATTTTAATAATTAATGTTACAGATGGGGCTGTGTTGTGTGTTCTTACAAAGCTTTCCATAAGACTGGTCTACAGGAGCATATGTCTTCTGAACACCGTGGACAGTACCAGTCGCCAATTGAACTGCCGGTCGATATCAATATTGAAAATTGGGTAGCTGGATTAATTGAACATCAAACCAAAGTGATTGTGAAAAATAAAGAGAAGTTGGCTAAACAGAGAATACAGGCGCCCCCCGCGGTTCCTTCGACATCCACTGTATATAAGACAACGGTAGCACCAAGTAACACGTCTAAAGCTAATATAAAGGAGCTTGAACAAGCCTTTGGATCTTTCGGCGGGCCAAGCAACTCATTATTCAGTTGTCCAAAATGTACTTTCAAAACTAACGACGAGGTTGCCATGCATGCTCATTTGGAAAGTGAATTGACCAAAATTAGGTAAGTCCACTTTATTGTGAAATTTATGTGTAGCTGTTGCACCTTGCATAGTTTCATGTAACTTGCTTGCTAATGTCTGCTTATAGAATACAACAACTTATCAAGTGTTCTCGAGTAAAAGAGTTGTACCATATATATATGTTATATTGTACAAAAAATATAGAAAATCTGCTTATGTATAATATAGCTTATTTTTATCAATTTTATCACAAATGGTTGCTAATTAACACAAATAAATGTAACGATTTTGATCAGCATATATATTAAATTTTCTTATCACAGAGTGCATATAATATGTGACGTTGCATTCTCCATATACATCATCATATATATTTTAGTGTACCATACAATCATTACAGATGGTGTTGCAGCAAGTGTTCAGATAATTTCCAAACGTATCACGAAGTGCAGTTCCATTGTAAGAGTGTACACGATGGACAATTTGCTCGGCCTATAGAGGCTATACGGGACCCCGTGATGCGAGCATCATGGGTCACTACCGTGCTACAGGTGCAAAAATTGAATATAAAAAGTCAACATATGGAAACCGTCGAGTCCTCACCAGAAAAAGCGGATATGGATAACTCGGAAAATTCATTATTAGTGGTCCGATATGAAGAAAATGTCTCCATGCCTGAAGTCGGTAGAAGGAAAAGACCGGCTCCAGCGCCATCTCGTGACAGTGATTTGGAAAGACAGTTTGTAATTGATGTATCATCTGATAATTCCACTGTGCCCAAGAAATTAGAAGCGAAATGTCCATACTGCGACTACACAACAAGCTCTCGGCATGGCCATGAGATAAAAACCCACATTCTACGGCACTACAATTTGAAACCGTACAAGTGCCCGTTTTGCAGTTACAACAGTCAAAGAGCTTTTGTTTTAAAGCATATCGAACAGAGACATCCGAATTTGCCGGTATTCGCCACAACTGTCGACATACCTAATGAACCGCCTCTTGTTTTAAAGCTATCAAAATCTGGCAGTTCTGATGATAAACGTCAGACCATGCCCTATGCGCAATCCCCGAATGTTCCCATAAATAATGTGTCTCCGATGGAGTTGAAGACTCCAATAAAGAGAGTTGCAAAGAAGTCCACTACTAAACTACCACCACAAAGGATCGCAAAGAAATCCACAACCAAATTACCATTCTATGCCGATTCTGAGCTCAAAGAGTATTCCTATTACGGAACAAAGCCGGACTCCCTCGATAAATTTGCAAATGTAACGACACTTATGTCATTTTGTAATAGAATGATGCCATTTAATATAAAGAAACTCAGTGAAATTATAGAGATTGAACCTAAGGTATTAGTGAGAGATATCAAAGATGGAACACAGTGATTTGTGATGGATATTGGTAGTGTTGTGAGTTTCAAGGGTAATTAACAATTGTCCTAGATACTATTTAAGGAAGTTTAGAGTTGCATTGGTCCAACTAATGTGTCCAAATGATTGTTTATTTCTAAAAAATGTTGATTCCAAAACATTCATCAATAGCTGCATAGACTTTTATATCAACGATATAAAGATCTGCAGCAATATAATCTGTGATTATTATGTTTTTTAAGTATTTAGTGTAAGTAGTCACTAGTGATTGTGACGGCATTTATATTTTTGTAGTAAGAATCGAAACACTTCATTAATTATAGAGGCACTTCATTTGATTTGTTGTTTGCGTATATGCTTTATTTGTTCTAACATGGCAGCTCATAAAATAATCACATGTACAGTGTGAATGTTTTATGTTATTATACTTATTATACTTCATTTGTACTAGTAAAATTCATTTGAGAGTATGTGGTCGTCAGCTCTGTATCTACCTATTTCGACCGCTAAACCACTGGAAGGGTGAGGTAAGGCAGTAAAATGACTTTGGAATGACAATGCCTAAGTGGCACCACGAGCGTGTTGTATACAGTTCATGTATACACGGCGCCGACTACCATCAGGTAGGCTTTCAGTTTGTTTGTCATTTCAGTTATATAGGCGACAAATATTAGGGTACAGTGGGTAACTGAATATCCATTATTTGATCAGTGGCGACGAATCGCAATCACGCTAAGAAAAATGAAGTGCCAAGGTTATAGTGTTCTCGCTGAATTTATGTTTGTACAGCTTTATTATAAATATCAAATATGGACATAATAATAATTAGTGTATAACATTTACCAACTGCGGTAACAATTTGTTACAACTAATTTGTGAAACCACCAGCCAACTAGTGAATGCCTGATATACGATGTCTTAGAATAAGGTCGATGAGAAATTGCAACTGTAATGTACACATACCGTGTTGTGAAAAGTAATAAATAATGTATAATATTTTCAGAAAGTATTATTAAGAATTGTCGGTTAAAATAGAAAAATGGTAGTATTCCAAATGTACATTTTTTACAAGACAAGCATTTAAAGTTTTTGTTTTTTTAATTTATTTAAATTATTTTTTCCTTGTTTTAAATTTACACAGAAGTACATTTAAAGCTTTCAATATATATAATATATCATTTTAAATATATTTAGATAATGATTAAGACGGCGTGGTTAATTTAATTTACTTATATAAAATGAGGCAATTCTAGCTTCTAAATTTGGAAAATGATGTTTTTCTATTTATCGACGAAATATTGTGAAATTGTTTACATTCTTTAATATCATGTTTCATTAGACTGTTACCTTAGACAATTTATATGTTTTTGCATATTAATATAAGCTCTCTATTAATAGGGATTAATCCTTACACTCTGAAACCACAGAGGTTTAACTGTCCTGTTTCAGTTCATTCCGCGCACGCTCAACGTTTTATATAGTTATTACAGCGTGGGGGTTGTCAAAAGCGTATATTACTGTAAAATACGTTTACCGTTTTAAACGCAAAATTGTTGCTTGTTTGCAACTAGTGTGTTATAAAATTACATTTGTGCCATATTTTAACCTGAATGATTCGATCCTCTATTATTTTAAACGTGTGATTTGTTCTAGGAGTTGCAATAAATACTCTAGTAACTGTTATATAAGCTGTAGTATTTGTATATTGTTAAATTGGACCTCAGATTAGGCATTCAATAAGTGGCAAGTCAAAAACCTAATTTTGTTATATTTAAGATTTATAAGGAAACCACACGGTTGGTTATATATATTTATTTAGATATTAAGTATCTTACTTAGATTTTTGTAATTTCTCTGTCCTGCTCATTTTTAAATTAAGAAAGGATGATATTACATGGAAAAATAAGAATTAATGTTCTCATTTTATAAGTAGGTACAACAATACAATTTACGGATAAGATTTTCTATAATCTTTTATCTGGTTCTACGGACCAATTGCACAAATACTCTGCCAATAGTATTTCACGTGATTGTACTAATTAAAAATATGTATGTAGCGTACACGATTAATTTTGTTTCATAGTTCATTAGGCTTCGCACGGGATGTACATGTTCATAGGATATGGTAACCATTTACCATCAGATGGAGCGTATGCTTGATTGCCACAATCGTAGTATAAAAAAAATCATACATAAAAACCTTCCTCATGAATCACTCTATCTATTGCGAAAAACTACATTAAATTCCGTTGCATAATTTAAAAGATGAAAGCGAAAAGAAAGCGGAAGCTACTTCATTTTATACTGTTTAAGGATGTAAACAATTTATATATGTGAGTATTTATATATTACTATATATATGTTTATACGAGTAATAAAAAAAATATTAGTGTACGCTACAGATACATTAGAGATGTGTTGAGGCAGTCGTGGCCAGAGTTATAAATATTACATTAATAATTAGAATTGTGAATTACTGTAAATTACATTTGTTGTATATAATGCCCTCAGATATTTTAGTTCTGCTACTATTCGTTGTAATTTTGCAATAAAGTCAAGAATATCGTGCATACAAACTAGAATGCTCAGTCATATGGTCTTTTATCTGCTCCCAATACAAAGAATTGAAACTACAGATTAACATACTTTTGTTATTAGTTGAAATTGCTTTTTCTTCGTATCTAAAGCGAATAAATTTATCAATATAATTACTTATTTGTGATTTTTTAAACGTCGCCATCGAGCTGCTTCGTGGAAACTTAAAAGATTACATGACACGAATTAAAACTATAAATGTTAATGGAAAGCATATTAGCAATAAGTATAATAAAAACGTTTTTGTAATGTTGGTACTTATATTAAACTAAATTGATTCTACTTTGTTGTATTATAAATTTAATGTCCTAATTAATTAGTTTTGGAAGAACAAGGAACATTGGAGTAGGAGAATAGGTATTAGTTATAATAGGCAAAGGCACACAACCCAACTTAACTCATACCAAATAAATAACTAAGCATCCATTGAAATGAAATCTCTATCTCTGGTTCATGCTAACAAAACAATGCCAATAATTTTATCTGCAACAGCTATGACTCCAACGATTAAAAACTAGTTGTTATCGTCGACTTTTTCTGCTTTTTGTGAGTGATTCTATCTTCATATCAAATTCCGTTATGCTGTGAAAAAGTAAGACTCGTATTTATAAAACCAATCTTATACATACTAAGAGACACCTATTTCACTTGCCAAGCAGTTTAAGCGTGACTTATGGACGACTCCTAAACAGATGCTCATATTCAAATGTACCTGCTTATTTGTTTTCTGCTCGATCCGTTAGATAGCGCTGTATATCAATTGTAGAAAAGTTGAATTGAGAATTAAAAGTTTTCTGCACCACTGGTAAGATAGTTAGTTATGGTAAGATAGGCAATTGAATGGCAAACATGCTGGACGAACTCATCTTTTTCACCCATTCGATCGATCCCTCGTCCAATTCAAACGGGATTGGAAATTATGACGGCCTGAGCCGAGGTTCGAACCCTTAGCGGTGCTTTTATGCTAGTTTTGGCATATTTTTAAGTTGTTTAGCATATTTTTTAGCGTATAAGTATAATCATTTAATATAAATTTAAGCATGAAATAAACGATCCGAAGTAGTTCTACTGACAAAAGTTTGCCCCTTTCCCATTTGCAAGTTGGTATGGAGAGAACAGACTATTTTATCAATTAAATTGGTGAAATATATAGTTATCACGTTATCAATTTATCGCATTGGATTTGTGGAACTGCTAATCTTTTTTTATGATCAATTACACCAATTACAAAAGCAACTCTAGGTCCCGTCAATTTCTTTAACTAATACTATAATAATAGTAGAAAAAATCGGTTACGTCTTCTTTTTCTGAGTTAAAAGATTTCGTCCATCCGCTTAATGCAATCTACATATTTTCACGTCAAATATAATTAAAATCTGTACAGGTGTTGTCTTCAAACATTAACAAATAGCTAGGTATATAGACATACATACTTTCGTAACTACTTCTACTTTTTTCAAAATTAGATTATTTTTTCATATTAGGGCTATATTTTTTGTCAAAATATAGCCCCAAGATCTTCATGTTGAAGTCCATTAAAATCTATTCAGCCGTTTAGTCCTAAAGGTATAAAGAACAGACTGATAGAGAGAGACACTTTTGCATTTATAATATTACTAGTGGTCGAAATTCGACTAGGTATCTTCTACTTCATCCTCGCCTCTTCCCGTTACTCGGGGTCGGCTTTTCTAATCCTGGGGCGCCATACATTTCGCTGGTAAGCATCGTCATTTGACAGGCCCAACTCCTTCATGTCCCTATGGACATTTGTCAACCACGTAGTTGGTGGCCTGCCTCGTCCTCTTTTTGTTGTAGCCATGGAAAGGCACTTTCTCACAATGTGGTTTTCAGGTTTACGCAGAATATGTCCATACCACCTAAGTCTATATTCTTTAAGCTTTTCGGTAATAGGTACCACTCCGAAGCTGCCCCTTACATGCTCGTTTCGGACTTTATCTGTAAGCGTAACTCCACCTGCCCAACGAAGCATACGCATTTCAGTAGTGTGTAGTTTTTGCTCATGTACTTGCTTAGTAGCCCACGTTTCACTACCGTATAGTAGAACTGGTCTAACTGCTGTTTTATAGACCTTGCCTTTTGTTTTTATTGGCATTTTTGGGTCGCACAACACCCCCGTGAGTTTGCGCCATTTACTCCACCTAGATGTAGTTCTATGAGTAATGTCGGCTGTAATCGTGCCATCCTCAGAAATAACATAACCCAAGTATTTGAACTTGCTTACTCTTGTTAGGATTTCTCCGTCCAGCTTCAGTTCAGTGTTTATTGTACCAGATTTGTCGGGGCCGAAGTTCAACACCATATACTCCGTCTTAGTTCTACTAATGCGCAATCAACCAGACTCGAGAGCTTTTCTCCACATATCTAAACTGCCCTGTGTTTCCAGTGTACTTTCCGATATCAAAACCATATCATCTGCATATAAGAGGCAATACGGTACTGGTTTCAGTATGTTCTCTGTGAGGTAATTCATTACCATA